GATCCGTACACCTTTGTACTTGTTATGCGTGCGCACCATTTTGTGTCACTCGTAGACAGCAGATTGCATGCTTATTGAACCAAAAAATAATAGATAAATATGTATGTATTTCTTCTTTTACTGTAGGAAATACCATAAATTTGTAGAAAATCAGAATAATGCAATTATTTTATTGCATGGTCCAATGGGCAAAAAATAAATCCCCCGTTGCCTATTTCCATTCAGGAGAGATGAGCACGCATGTAAAATCGGACATCTTTTGTTGTCACTTCAGGGGAGTTAGTGAAGGATGGGAATTTTGTTTGGATGTCGCACGATGGATGAAAAAAACCGTTTTTTATTTTTGCAAATAATATATTGTTTTTGATTGAAACGTGAATAACAATGGGTTTCCCACGACCTACAGAGTTTGTCATTTTGTACGAATTTACAAACTGCGAGCTATGTAAATGAAAGTCATGGATAAATGGGAATAAGTAAGAAACATGTCGCATGAGGACAAACAAAGAGGTGACACGCGTATCGTACGTACCACCTACCGCCGCCCTATTTATTCATTTACTTATGGGAAAACTTAATGATAAAGTCAACCCACCGTCACGCACAATGGAGGATGATAACCCCGGCGTGACTACTACCCGGGTAGTGGTAGTGGTGGCAGCAGGCTTATGTGTGTCAACGGCGTCAACCTCCATCAATCTACATCTATTATTTTCCTAATGGCTAACTAACTCTGCAAAGAAGCTAAATTATCTATCTCTTCGTGCATGGACAAAGAAAGGGAAGTGTAATAAGTAGTAAGTATAATACGTAAGTGGTGCTCTAGAGTAACGAAAAAACTGAGAAATCGGTCATTCCAGTTTACTCATCCACTTTCCCCTTCCGTCCAGTCCACGCACCCGGGTATTACCCAGGATAATAGAGGCATAAATAGGCAGACGACCAGACCACTCCCTCCCATGCGTCGTGTACTGCTGCAAAATGGATTACAAAAGCAAAGTTCTACTCAATTTGAGTTTGTTTGGCGTATTTTTTGAGTCTAATATCGACCGAAAATTCGACAAAATCTCGAATAAGAAATATCATACTCTCTAAAAACAAACATTAGGATTTAGCAGCATGGTACATAGTACAATAAAATTTTTACATTTGTGCCAGCTCGGTTAGAATACTTCTCTCCACTAAAATAATTAATTTCAGGTCATTGCATCAGTAATTTCTCATTTAAAATTATGTAAATTATCAAGGTAAACCATTTCCTCCCTGTAAATATAACTCATCTAATAGAGTACAAATCTATTAACTGGTTGATTTATAATGAATGAATTTAAATCGAGTATACACACAAACACAAACGGATTTTGACAGGTGCATGCATTGTATCCGCGTAAGCAGTTAGCGTGCATATGAACTCGCATACATAGAAAATGCATAATAACAATAATGCTGAATCTTCATCATCACCTATAACGCTACATATCCACCGGTAACCGGAACCACGGGTCTCATCCGGTCACAAAAAATGTACACCCACCCTTTTAACTTTTTGCCGTTTTTTAAATGCTTACGTACATGCATCCACCTGCAGCCGTTTCATCCATCCATGTCAAATTTTTGTGAGTATATGTACTTTACTTTAATCAAAACCCTATTTAAATTCAGTCCAAGAAATTATTTTAAACTTTGGCTGATTTGCATATTATTAGGTACTATTTGCAATTATTATTACCATTCAACACTCTCTACGACCCCTTACGGTCCATCGTCTAAGCTGGTAGTTGGCAAAATTGGCAAGCAAAGTATTAACAAGTCGTACGTAACTATTTAGCATAAAATTATCACTGTTCTTTGTACTGCATTCAAGACTTGTATTACAAGCACATACGTATTTATTTACTACCGCATGGCATGCTGCATGCATGTATTTCATCCTGAGTGCAACAATACGTGCACGGCAAGCATATTCTTTTAAGCACGCAATAGCTGGTAGGTAAGTAAGTAGAACTTGTCTAAAGAAAATTCAAGGTCTAATATCTTGTCTTTATTTGTACGCCAGAAACAGCATGCACAAGACACAGACATCATTACAACAATTGGCAAGCTGTGGGTATAAGCATGCAAATCTTGATAAACGATTGGCCAGTATAACACATGTATAGTCACAAAATTACGTACGTGTATATAGAATAACATGACTTGTTTTACTTTAAGTGTATAGAAATTAGAAGCACTGTAATAAACTGGAGATAAACTTGACTCATAAAATGAAACGAGTGGACATACGGCTGACCATTTCGACGCGTCATGTCACCAGAATGGACATCAATCTTTAAGCTCACTTCCTCATTTTTTGCCCCTTTTCTCAACTAATTTTATATCGTAAAATGTTATGTGAAGGAATCATGGTTCGTTTGGAGAGATGGTGTAACATAAAATGGAATTGTATTTACGGTACGTAGGTAGACGGACAGCTTACATTTTGTAAATTTCGAAATTATATGTACATGTTTTTTTAAGTTTTTTTTTCTAAATTCGGGTAAAATATAAAAATTGACACGTGTAAATACTTTTTTATGCACCATATTTTAAAACAACACGTCTAATTTGATCCACGTGTTACACACACCCAGAAAAGTTGAGACAGAATATTGATCACAGTGATTATCTACTCCAAAACCTGGCCAGGGAGAAAGATTATCAGAATTTTATTACGGCATAAAGCATAAAGTACTCTGTCCTTCCGAATCCAGTCATTTTGATTTAGGCACAAGCATAACACACACCTTGATTTATGGCTTATTGACTTTTTAGGTGTGGTTCAGTCAGAGTTCTTCTGCTACTCCCTGGGCAGAATATGGACATGGAAAATCGGAAATTTTTCCTGGATATGTACGTATTTCGTTCGTCCCGTTTATTATCTAAGAAATATGTAGGCCTTGCTCGCGAACTATTGAACTTTCTCATGCACCACGATTTATCATCGTATTATTATTAATTCTGAACAAAAAAGGGAATATCAGAAGCTCAATTTTTCATATATCGCATTTTCTCCTTTGTAGATATTTAGTTTCGCATTTTAATCAATTCCTGTGTCGGGGTATTTGTCATTATGACACCTTCTGAGACTGACTGACACCAGGTGTGGTGTGGTGTGTTATGTTATTGGTACTTGTCGTCAATTCGTGACAAGAAATTGTCCCGGACAATGAAACAGGTAAATAAAACATTGATTACTTTCTACGTCAGAATATGTAGTAAAGTCAAACAATGTCGCACGAATTTCACTTAAAAAGTGCCATTCCATGCTTTCATCGGTGGCATTAATACTAAAACTGGACAAAATTCATGTCAAACTTGTTCTAAAATATAGCCAACGAAAACGAACATTGTCTGGACAAATATCTATTCTATAATACCTAAAATGCCAACATAACGGAACTCATACCGTTGTTTGTTGTGTTATGTAGTGGAAAATGCAAATCCAAAAGCACATGAATGTTTCACTCGTGTAGTAAAATGTATAATAAAGCTGGACTTCAACTACATGGTACTAAATACGAGCAAAAGCTAGAGTTTGGTTGGCTTGGCTTGGCGTGGATTTTATCGGAAATCGAATCCGTTTCCTGTACCAGCAGCAAAGCACCACGTACAAAAAGCGGAATGCAGACGACTATAAAAAACGCACCACCTTCTTCTTCTCATTTCTACCGCAGTTATTAAAACACAAAGATTATTTCGTAACACAAAATCTAATTTTCAGGTGAAGGAATGCAGCAGTTTAGTTTGAGTGGAGTGTCTCAAAGTCTCAAATAAAATTATTGGAAGGGATTAATGCCAAAATAAAGTTTTCTTATTTTCAATTCCAAAATGCAAATAAAATAAATATTTGCAAAAAGGTACTAAACGCATTATTTAACAAAACCTAACCCATCCCGTTCCTGTTACAATTTAGCAATTATTGCAATTTACTCGTTCATCTAAATTCGCAAGCCTGATGACATGCCACGAGAATGATGAACTGCTGACTGTGAAATGTGAATCACTTCACATCTTGACTCTCATTTCATTACACCCGGAGTGATAGTACATAATATAAATCCGCAATGAAGAAAACTACCAATCTGCTCCTTAATGGGAGTCAGCGACGACGACTTTTATCCACTCCTTGCCATTTAGCAAAGAAAGTAGCTCCACTCCAACCTTATGTATACAACCAACTACTTACTTCACTACTTCCCATTCAGGGATTTTTAGCAAGAAGTTCCTTGAACTTGATATACTGCAAAAAAGAACTCTCTTCAATTCTAAGAGGGCAGATTATAACATAACATGTCGTCCTCCTCCGTGGTGTGGTTTCATTTCTTTTGAAACTCTTCTCTCTCGGTTGGATAAGTTCGTGAATGAATCTCATCTCATTTTGAGTCATTGTTGTTCAAGAGGAAGAAATATGTCTCAAAAAACGGAGAGACTCTTAGTTTTCTTACACACTATTTTATTTATGATATTCGAAAATCTCACCATACGAACGACAACCAACCACAATATAATTTACCAGCAGTCCGCAACTATTCCCACACCTGTTATGTCATGTTATTTAGGAGTAGTTCCTTCTTCTCCGAAGAAGTGGATGGATTTCTTGTGCGAAAAAATAATTGCAAATTCTTCAAACAAGGAAAGAAACAGGAAAGGAATTAGAAGAAGTTTGAATGATGGAAAAAACTGGAGCAATTATTAGTTGACCTCAGTCAACAGGAGTGAACGATGAGCAGTGCGGTCTGGCCTTTCCTATGAGAGTGCATAGTGTAATGGCAAATTAATTTATCGAGAGGTGCAGGCAGGTAGTTGATCTGATCTCATCATCGTTTTGTAATAATAAGAGGTCAATAAATTCTGGTGGTGTGATGGACACGAACATGACATGCAGTTATTTATGTGTGTAAACTAACTGGGCATCTTGTAATAAGTAATTAATAATTAATTGCAAATATTTTAGTACGTACCTTATCTGAATTTCCAGGTTTTCAGTTGTATTGCAACTTTGTAAAGTGTATATGTTTAAGAGAGAATGTCCAACATTTTTAATGGCAAAAATCGTGTCCAACTTTAAAAACCTTTTCACTTGCTTTCATTAAGACTTTACTGGAGAGTTTTAAACGAAAAACCTTGAGTCTTTAAAATTTTGAACTTTTTATTTTTTAATTTATTTTTTTGTTTTATCTTGAGATTTCTGAGAGCCTTTCAGATTCGCGTAGTATATCTATCATAAAAGATTTATTTATTTGTTACGCTGACTGCATCGCAAGATTCGCAACGAAATTAAGTAAATAACAAATAAGTGACTGGACCGGTTTTATTAAAGCCTTGCCTTATTCTTTCACGATGATATGTTATTTATTGTTGCTGAAGTTTTATAATTCTTCACCGGAGTGTTGTTCATCACGTAGCACACTACTTTCCTGAAAAATGCGCAATCCTTTTTGCATAGATGTGTTATTGCAAAATTTGCATATGTACTTCAAAACAGACAAACAGCTAACAGAGTTAAACACACTGAAACTGTCAAGCAATTAAGTTCACCTTTATTTCGTCTAACAGGGCTCTACAAGCTCGTTTATCTCAATCCGACCGAAACTGAAAATTCGGGGATAAGCTGAAAACGAGTTGAAAAACCTGAAAACTGAAAAAACTTTACTTTACGGATACAATTTAGGACACCCAGCCATGAGGCGTCTCTCTCCAGCCAAATGTGAATTCATACTGAGTCTCACATTTAGTGGCTGGCAGTACCTGTGAGAAGCAACCAATGGGTTACATTTACCTGGCCATGGTAATGACTTTGTAGTGTGGACACCACGAGTGAGTATGGATGGATACATATATTGGCAAAAAGTGGATAGCTTAATTTAACCAAAGCATCTCATTCATTTGTATGAAAACTGAAAAGTGGCATGAAAAGGTTTGTGTTTGTTGTTTTTCTTTTTGGTTAATTTCCTCATTCAACTCTTTGGATTTTGGATTAAATAAAACGACAAATACTTCCGGATATATACTTTATGCTTTGGATTGATGAACGGAACTGAATAAAACTTGAAAATTGTTGACCTCACACATCTATGCAATTGTTCGATGTATGCACAAAAAAACGAAAATTCCAGAATTTGAAATTTTGCTTGCGAGGACAATAATTGCTGATTAAGAGTCATAAAAATATAGCAATCGTTTAACATATGACATTTAAAAGCAGAGCAATTTTCGATAGAATCTGAAATTTACAAGTTTTAATTAAACCTTTCAAATTTCAACTTGAATTTTTTTATGTTTAAGATTTTTTAAGTCAGTAATCTTAAAACATTTGTGTCATTAAGGTCCCAGTTATTTCTGAAAAAAGTTTCTGTTAACGAACGAGCCCAGATTTATATAATATTACCATTAATATTCTGGTGGTTGTGGTGTGGTCAAAGTCGTTTGATTTACTTCCTCATTCCCAAAAACCAAATTTACTCAAATCCATTAATATAAACATCTTATGTGCATCTTAAACAGAGTCGAATTAAATTTAACAATGTCCTTTTTATGCTGTTGCAGTTTGATTTTACTTTTGTTCATCTTAATTCCAATGCATTCACTCGCTAACTTGTCTCTCTCTTTCTTATCAGTCCCACACAACCAAAAAGCGATCAATCAATGTGTAAACCTATCATTCACATTTGTAATGTATCCAAATTCGCATTTATGCAACATTTACACGAATTGTTACATTATTACATTAGCTTTTGTAAAACTTTGTCAAATTTTTCTGAACGAATTAAATTTACGAAATTTTGTAACGTTCTTAAACGGTTTTTAATTATTTTAATAGTTAATAAAAAGACATGCGTGAGAAAATGTCACATAGTTAAAGTGATTTACGACCAATGAGTGAGTGTGAATTTGTGTATTTTATCATAATCTTTGCCATAACAAGGAGTCCTTGAGTTGCCCAATTTTGCATGACATTTTAATTTCTCATTACTCACAAATCAACAGCTCCAAATAAAAAGATGCAGAAATCCAAACAAACGAATACTTGACAAAATGCAAGGAATAAATATACATAATTCCATCGTGCCGTGCTTAATCGACACGCATTCAGTCATGGGAGCTGCCAAACCAAACTTAACTTATTTCTACTCGTCCTGGTTCTGAATGTCTTCTAAAGAAATTCCATACATAATTTAATGCTGGATCATTGAGATGTGGATAAAAGAAAGAGTTTTATATGCAATTTGCACTACTACCACCTTCCTTCCTGTATCCTTTGTTTGTTCATCTTGAGCAGGTTCAATGCTCAAGAAGTTACATAGAACTCGCGTGATGAATAACTTAGATTTTTGCTAATCTCACTTTTGTATTGCAGATTTTAGATTTGTATAATGAAATGGATTTATTGAGTTTGTTTGTGCTCACTCCTGTTCAGCTTGTATTAATACGGAAGTGTGAATAATGACGAAGAATTAAAATTCAAAATTTTGAGTGGTTGTGAATTATATACCACGGTTTATCTTTTGTATTATATATCAATCATCAATACAATAGTACAAATATTTCTGTCTTCAATGATAAATTATTGGTATTATATAATTCATTAGAAAAACCCAGTAAATTTTAAGTACGTATTATGTGAAAACGTATTTTTAACTTAATTCATCCTCGAACTAGAACTCGGTCCACCTCCGGATATCGCAGATATCATGGAAGCTTCAATCTGTTCACAGCAATTTTTGACTTTCGGCAACACGGAGGAGGTCACGTCCTTGTAGCTGCGGAGTAGAGATGTTCCTCCCAGGTTGGAAAATAAGTCGGCCATCCTACTATTCCCATAAACGAGGTTCCCAATCGTGACAAGGAGTCGGAAGAGAGCTTCGGGCTCGTCAACCTATAAAAAATATGGGTAACATTTAATTAAAATATCAGTTTCAAAATTTCAAACTTTTTTTTGTTCATTTACATGGTCCAGCATTTGGACAGCAGTCATCAAAATTTCAGTTTGAGCGTCACTCGTTGCCCACTTCAAGATCTGCAAAGTAAATTGTCACGAGTTAATCAACTTAATTTCATAATTAAGTAATTAGCTTAATTAATTCCGTACCGGATTCTTATTCAGCCCAGCCACCACAATGGAATAATTGAGTATCAACGTCGCTGCCGCAATCTCATTGGTTTTCCCTTTCGCCAAATTGGTCAGCATTCGGCTCACGACGATAGACCTGTCCTGTGCAAGTTGTGGGGTCAGCGGGCCAAACGCATTACAGAGGAGACGAAGGGACAGCATTTGATTCGTGGGGGTCCCCTTATCCATAAACTTTCCGCAGAATTCGGTAACCACGTTGATACTAGAATCCAGTCCTAAAACGAAGGATGGTGTGGCGACGGCGAGGCGAAGGAGGTCCAAAATTGGGAATATTTTGTCTAAAAAATACAACACGGATTAGTTAACTACACATTAAGTTTAACTGTTGCTTTATAAATGTATGTATACCAACCTCCCGGCCACGATCCCAGACATTGTCTCACTTCTTTCTCCACGCCCACATTCCACTCCGCCTTCCTACCGATGTCGAGCAATGTCTGAATTCTTCCGCTCGAAGAATCTTCTCCCATACTAGTTACAAACTCGACTAATTTCTTTTCCAAAGCGACATAGTTCGGTGGGGTGGTAAACCGGATGAATTCTTCTGTTGGGAAACAAGGTCCAGAGTTGGAGTTATTCAGCTCGGTGGCGGATCCAGTACTTTTCTGAGCCGGTTGTGACGTAGAAGTTGTGTAAGCACCCGAGCCAGTGAATGGATCGAGAGCGGCACCCACACTTCCAGCCGATGAAAATCCGCTTCCTCCACCAGAACCGGGCATGTAACGATTCCCACCGGTAAAAGGATCGACAAAATCTAAACATACAAACATCAAAATCTTATTAATAAAATTAATTAGTATTTAAATTCGTGGTTTTCTGGCTGGGTCTTACCATTGCTATCTGACGCATTACCCAACTGCATCCCTTTTGTATTATTAATGATAAAGTTGGCCACTTGATCCAAAAAGAGTTGACTCAATTCATTCTTGTCGATAAACTTTTGTGCCGCAAACCAGGGATCTTCAGTCACATTATACGGCAATTTGAGCGCCTTTTGTCCTTCGAGATCCACCGCAAACACATAATCGTACTCCTTCCCCTCGTGCAAAACTTTTCCAGACGTGTTTTGCGTAGCGCCACTTGCGCCCACAACGTCCCCCACCTTGTCCCATTTCTTTTCCGCCGCGGACCACGAGTAGCAGCCGACTTTCTCCCCCTCGCGGACCATCTTTGTCTCCCCGTCGCTCTTGCCTGGAATAAAGAGACATTCTCTTCCGGGTAGTTCAGAGATCTTCATCCCCCCAAGGTCTTGTTGTGCGGCGAGGACGGAGTGAGAAACCTCCTCCTCGAAGGCAGCCAACGTTTCGTGTGCCGCATAACGGTCAGGGTCAGAGGTGAAGACGCGCAATGCTCCATCCGATGAGCCAGTCACAACATCGCCATTGGACAGGCAGGCTACCGTCCACACTGAAATGGCAGGATGAAAGAGAACCTGGGAAGTGGCGCCGTTCTGCCAAATACGGAGGGTACGATCCTCGCCCACCGAAACGAAGCCATTGGAAGACGGAAGGATAGCGATGCTGAGAAGGGATTTAATTATGTAATAATTTAATTGGTGACCAAAAGGTTAATGATTAAAATCAATAAAGAATTCACCTGTATATAAAATTGGTATGTCCATAAAACGTTTGCAAAGTCTCTCCATCTGCAATACTCCAGAGTCGGATGCTCGCATCGTTTGAGCCTGATAAGAACTGATCAGAATTTATCACAGCCAACGTTCGGACGCAGTCAGTGTGACCAGAATAGACTTTGGAAGATTGATAATTGATCCAGAGCCGGATTTCTTTGTCCGCGGATCCAGTCAGAATTCGGTGCTCTCCTGGTGCAATAAAATCAATATAATTATTAAATTGAACAACAACACGTTACATTGACATAAATACTCACCCACTGTTCCAGGCACTGTTGCAACTGCCCAAACAGCTATAGATAGAGAGATATTCAAGTATGAACAAATGAATTAAGTACCTGAATTTTACAATTTATATTTTAAATTTTTTTAAAAGTAATTACCAGCCGTGTGGCCTGTCAGACTGGCCACGCAGTTTTGTTCCTCCCATACTTTTGCAGATAAGTCCCAACTGCCGGAAACGATGAGTGAATCCGAGGTTCCGCCGATAGAGCATACTAAATTTACCATCAAAACTTGTACACTTTTTTACCGAATGAAACAATTAATTATATAAGTTAAGCTTATCAAGTTTAAAAGCTCACCAGTTCCTTTATGTCCCACTAGTCGAAACACGGGTTGATGTTTCCCCATTTCGTATGCGAGAATTGTGTGATCATGTCCCCCACTGAGAATCAGTCCAGTCGGGTGCTTATCATTTGGTGGAATTGTGTGAACACATGATACAAAGTTTGTGTGCCCTTCACACGACTGAAACTGAACAAATCCATTGTCCGTGTCCCTAAATACACAATTTTATTAGCAATTAGTTAAATTACCTGACTATCAACATGGCATGTAATCCCCTTAATTAATTAATTAATCACTTACGATGGCATCCAAACCTTGCTTGATCTATCTCTCGAACCAGACACGATGAATTCCTTTCCTCCTTCCGTTTGCCCAGTCGCTACGCCACGGACATCCATTGAATGACCGAGGAGGGTGCAGCGCAGCTTAAATAGGCCGGCATCCACGCCCCCCGAAGCCATTTTCTTATTAATCAGTGCTAAATATTAATTGGAGAACTAACAAAGTTTAATTGAAGCTGAAGCGAAGAGATGAATGACGAGCAGCAATTTTGTCTCTCTGACTGACGGCTCAGTTCCTTGCAATCCTCGCTCCCGGAATTTGTTTAAACTTATGGTCATCATTTAGTCTCATTTACTAACTTATGAAAATAAATTATAACAAAAAATAAAAATGTAGTGCATTTTCTCGTGTTTTCAAAAAGTAATATATAATATTATGAATATATTTTAGTTTTCATAATTTGGTATTGTTTCTGGTTGATGTTACAGAGAATTTTAGGGGTTTACAATTGAGAATTTTGAATGAGAGAGATGAATTTTTCATGAAAATCGGTAATTTTGTGGCGCATAGCGTCGTCGCGTTGTGGGAGGATTGTCTATTACTTGATTCTCGAGTTCTGTACATCAAATTTCATAAAAATTTATAAATGCAGATTCTTAAAAAAGTGTAATAGCAAGTGTATTAGCAAGAGCAAGGGTCACCTTGAGGTATAGCTTTTCTAATACCAACTCTCCAAACCTCGGATGTTGATTTTGGACAGGGAATAATTTTATGTTTCCGGAACATTCGTCCATCCCAACGACATGATGATACGTTCGAGTCTGGGAAAGATGTGGAAATCCTGCTGGATTCTGAGTTCTGGACCTGTATCGTGACGACAAAGCCTCAACTACTGTGTCCTTCTGCGTGCTGGACACTGAACACATCGAAAATAAGTCAATTAATTTTTACTAATTTCAGTAATTTCTTACATTGTGTATTATAAATTAGTCTAACCAGAGAATGGAGAGACGACTCTGAGCAGGCTTATTTCGCCACCAGCGACATTGTACGGGGCACGAAGGTCATAACCTCGTGGGGCGGAATAGGCTCCATTGAAACTCATTATTAATTCGTGTGCTAATTATTTAGTCCCGCTTATTTTCGATTTAACTACTAATTAGATAACCCCTAAAATTATGATATGTTACATTTATTAGACGAAATGTTTAGCCACTCTAATCGAATTAAATTGAAATATTTGAATGTTTCCATGAATATTTCATAACGTTTTTTGGGGGGGAGGGGGGATTGACCACTCTCCTGTTCTACGTCTATTATATGACTGAAAGTCTTGCTTTGCAGATGGTGCCATTTATTAAATAAATATCAAATTATGATAATATGACGCTTGATGACAACTGACAACGAAACTAAGGCCATCATGACACTCCTCGTTGTTAGACGTGCTCTGTCCCACCGTTGGGGACAGGGTACGTGCAGATTTATTATTTTCTCATCCACCGACCCCCTTGTAACGACTCATGATCGGTGGAAGCGTGGTGACAGAGGGACAATGTCGTCCCCACTATTATTCGATGTTCTCATTATCTGCCCATGTTATATAAACCCATAATTGTGGGTGTCTTTCTATTAATAAATAGATGTGTCATCCGATGGGCGACCACTGTCAACCGCGTACAATGGGAACAATATACTACTTAAAAATAGCAAAATTAGCACGTTAACGTAGAACTTGACTCATCGTCAAAGCCAACCCATTTTAAAAATCATTTATTGGCCTGGGAATTTATGTATTTAAAAATTCTGGACGGCAAATTAATAGATCAAGTCGTTTCCAATTAAAAAACCTACAGTGCAGACTCCATATAGCCCGAGTCAGGGACATAGTCCCTGACTCAATAAGTCCGAGCCCGCTTCTAATTTTTTTCCGAATTGACCGACATAATAGCACAAACTTCCGCGTTGTGGATGGTCAAAAGTTTGTTAGATAGTTTCTACCATTTGGTACCAAATTTTTGAATTAGTTACAAATCATGTTCCTTGACCACCATCACCAGTGGGCTTCTTTAACATCCTGAAGTTCTAAGCTGTATGCATGTGCTACCCAGCAGTGGTTTTCACTTTTTCAGCCTCCATATCAAATTTCAGCTCGATATAACGATTTTGAAAAATCGGTATGGGTCACCCCATAGGGTCGCTCCAGATAACAATTTTACCAATATCATATCACATTCTTTCATTAAAACCCATAAGCAACCTCTCCACCAAATTTCAGTTCGATATGATGATTTTTAAAAATCGGTATGGGTCATCCCCTAGGGTCACTCAAGCTAAAAAATTTTCCAACTAGAAGTCATTTTTATCTCGTAGGAGCCATTAGCAACCTCTGTACAAAATTTCAGCTCTCTATAGCAATTTTGAAATTTTGGTGCATAATACCCCATCCACTCCGATGACCCCCACCGGTCAACCACTGGACCGATTTCGCCCATCTTCGAACTCGTTTCCTAACTTTGTCCAATATGCATATGGTAAAAATTTCAAGTCAATCGGTTCAGCCGTTTTGGCTCTATCGTGCCGGACAGACAGACAGACAGACGGACGGACGGACGGACATGACGGTTCCATAAGCCCTGACTCGGGCTAAAAATATACGCTCCAGATTTTTACAGGTTTTGAAGGGAGAGATCAGAATTTTAAAAGATTAAATCCCAGAGCTGAGAAATGATTAAAAATGCATTAATTTTATTTTGACGATTTTGGGATGCGTTAATTCATGGAAATATATCTAATGGAATGTCATACATATGTACATATAAGGGAATGTAGTATGCAGATGCAAATGTAATGGTGTTTATATATTTAGATAAGATTTGTATTTGTAAAATGTACTTTATATTTTCGTAATTTTATGCCTTTGAGTAGTTAATGCATGACATTTACGTAATTCTTTTTTGAAGTAATGGAAGTTATGCGTATGTAATTGATGCGATGTGTGAAATGTAAGAGTTGTTTAAAACTTTCAAAACTTACAAGTTTATTCTTCAGAGATTGCCACTAAATATTTACAATGTCAAAATATACAAGATAGGTACAAAATTCCTAACCTATGAAATTAATATGTAATATGGTTAACAATTTAATTATAGCGGACATAAGTCAAAAAATAAAAATATGTACGAAAAAAATAATTCGATTTTCACGAAATGTATACAAAGATGTCAAAACAGATACTATCTGTTTGGACATCTTTGGAATTTTGGATAGGAATTTTGCATATATTTTGCATATCTGTCGGATATGCAAAATATGTACAAAATTCCTAACCATGAAACCAACATGTTTGATAATTCAATTGTAGCGTAAGTCAAAAAATAAAAACAAAAACGAATGCGATAAGAATAATACGTAACGAATAAACTTCCAAAACTACTTATCACAAGCAAGAGATTCCTCGATTATCAAAATCTACTCAAATTCTCCATCCAAAATTACATTATTGTTATTGTAGACGCCAAAAAACTAATAACGAATTAATTAATACTCGAAATGACTAAAATTTGAATAAGGCATCAAACTCTCGCTAATTTTCCACTGGGCCAATTTGTCATCTAAGAGCTGGCGACACATTTCCGTCTCTTCGAGGTCCTCCTGAAATAGTCAGATAAAAATATACAAAAATTTAAATTTATTTGTACTCTTTACAAACTTCTTCGCTGTCTTCTGACAAGAAATGATCTCAGAAATCAAAATAAATACTCAAATACTCACCCCAATGCAAAATCCGGTGAGGTTAAGGACGCTCAAGGACCTGGTGCATAACATCCCTTTCACAATGTAAAGTGGTAAGTTGAATCTGGACATCGGTGGCATGTCATCCAAAACAAAGTCGACCCGTTGCAGTTCTGTAATTTAGAGAAATAAATAAATTTCCAATTAAAAATTATTCCCATTTTTTTTCTCTTTTAAATTTCTCAATTAAATTCAAAAGGTTTAATACTAATGTCAATATTTATATGTAAATAATAGAAATTAACTTACCCGAAAATTTGGGCAAATAATTCACCAATGCTGAATGAAATGAAGCCGCAACCCTCTCGGATCTGAGTTCAGCACACTGTTGAAATTTGATCTTGAGCTCCTTGATCTTGGATTTGGCCAAAGTGTCTAAAACTTGACCCACGTACACGTTGTGATACGCGAAACTGATTGTGAGCTCCAACTCTTCCACATTTGGAAACATTTTTAACAGTTTTTCCATCGAGGACAGATTTTCATACGAGGGAACGAAGACGACATCAAGAACGACCTTCTTGACATGGACGTTGGCATAATTCGGCGTAATCTTCCCCCTCTTGTAACTGCTCGGACTGAACATGGTCCCCCATACGGTAAGCTGTGGACACAGCATCATATCTGCCAAGGAGACTTGATAGTCGCGAATCATCACCTCCAAATTTGGCAACCTTTGCAGAAAATCTTCACCCCCAAGTCGCAAGCCTTCATAATTCTGATGCTGCAAGACCTTGAGTTTGGGCATAAGGGGGAAATCCATCGTAAATCCCTCCTCATACCTCGCCATTCTCCCCTGCAACCCAAATTTCCCCCGTTTGTCGCCAAACATGACAAACTTTTGCAGCGTTGGGCTCAACTTTTCTAAAAACTGGACAAATTCGGTCTGCACTTGGGCCGAGATGAGGGTATTGACCTTGAGCGAGGCGAGTCTGGGGAAGGTCATGGAGTTCAAAATATTCATCGCCACCTTGTCGAGTGGTCCACCGCTGAGGGAGAAGCTGGTCAGTTGGCCCGAAATCTGGGAATCTCTCAACGTCATGAGGAAGTACATGAAGGTTTCACCCCCACAGAGGCAGTCGGTGTCGAGGGTGGTCGCGTTGGGGGCAATGGCGAGGAGGGATTTCAAAACGGCCATGCAGTTCAGGGCACGTCTTGGTCGGATGAGGGAGTTCCCTTCAAAGGAAATGGTCAAGTGGCGGATGGAAGGAGAGGTGAAAGTCAATCGGGATTCGATTTCAGGGTCGAGGTAGTCGAGATTTTGGAGGTGGGTCAGGTTCAAGTGGATCAAGGAGGGGCAGTCGCGACCCACAAGGTGCGACACGACGGAGAAGAAATGGTTCGTGCCGAGGGAATTGGCCGGGTCTTGGTGGGCGTAGGCTTGCAGGGTGAGGGAGGTGAGGGAATGACCGAAGGTGGAGAAGAAACTGGACGCTCTTTCGGACAGGAAGGGGGTCGAGGTGTGGTGGAGGTTGTAGGTCAGGCTGGCCATGGGCAAGGTGTCGGTGGGGGTGAGGGTTGAAAGGAAGGCGTGACTCCGGTCGTCGTGGAGGGGGCCTTCGAGGTGGATCTTGGAGCGAGATCGGAGCAGGGGGGTGGCCATGACGGACCAGAGGGAGGATACTTGGCTGCAGGCTTTCAGGGAGGCGTGGTCCAAGTGGGGGAAAATGACTTCAAGGACCTTCGAAGATATAAATTGGAGGATATTAGTCATTTCATAATTACATTATAGTTACCTAATTCATAAAACTCGCACAATATTGTGAGCACGAGTATTGTATAAAAATATTGAGCAAGTTATTCCATTAAAGTAAAATTAAATATTTGAGAAAATTTAATACTCATAATTTAATTGTGTATATAAGTAGTTGTCTCAATACTCCTCTTTTTTACATTTTACAGCGATAAACCATTACATTATTACGAATTGGATGATTTTATATAAGTACAAATCACCATTGGATGTCTCAATCTACCTCACATTTACCCAGATTTTTTATTACCAATAACTCAACTTTTAACAAATCAGAAACGCCTTCTTACATATACAACCAACAAAATACTTATGAAACTTTAAGTTGAATAATTCCATCAAAATCTCGTATTTTTTAGACAACCATTTCAATTCAATTATCAAATTTTATAATCCAACATAAACAAATCATGCAAATACATGTTCAACAACTGTAATTCAATATTGTGATATTCAACAACTATTTTAAAATATTTGCCCAGAGAAACAAATAGCATTTGCATGGAATACTTATAGGATTTATGAATCACTACTTTGTTAAATATGTACACACCACGTACATAGTATGCACGTGGTTGGTCTGTTCTGTATGCACTGCATACAGAACAGGCCAACCTTTCTAATTTGAGAATTTTTAAAATATATGTACTGCCAAATGTGGCAAACAAATCTGACTCAATTTCAGCAATTATTATTATCAGGGAATATGAGACGGCGTAAACAATCTCATCATGAAATATTTTTTGTACTATAAAATCTCAACGTACATGTATGCAAATTAATTACTGAAACCCAGATTAAATTACTCACATTCGCAATCAGGAGTGGATTAGTTTGTCGCCAGCTTGTCGTCTCCTCTTCGGCGTCTACGACGAAGGGTTGTTCGCCTTGCAGGATTTGTGGCGAAGTCTTCTCCATCCTTTGGGACAACGATTCACGATAATATTCGTTGAAACTGGTTGCCTGGTTGGTCTTCTTGGCGTGGATGCTACGTCTCGGGACAATATCGTAACCAATCTCCATCATGGACACTCAATTGTTCTTTAACTTCTTCCGTTTAATGGGGGCAGATTTCTTGTCAGGTTTTACGTCTTGGTTGGAACGTGGATTGATTTTGAAGCTTGCTTACTGGACGAGGACGAAATTGCGAATGAGGACTGATTGTCGAATACTGGGCTTTTTATTTACTGGAGGCAGTTAAGGATTAGTTAAATGTGGTGGAAAGTAGCAAGTAAGCAGTCAAATTCATAGCAGGCCATGCAAAGTGAAGGGTCACTTGTTCGCGGAGTCGGGTAGCGCGATACCTGAGGAAGGGTTAGTTTGCAGGTACCGAAATAGGTTTCTTTGTAAATTGGGTGGGATTAATATTTCCAGACCTTCCAGCACATACTATTCTGAAAAATATTGGAGGAAAAATATTCCAATGCTTTCATAAGGCGCAAGTAACTCAATATTTTTGACCGGTGGTTGATACCAAACCGCACATTTCTGGAAATTTTAGCCTTTCTAATTCTTGACGGGTTTTGTTCACAAATAAGTAGGAAATATCTATGAATATAAAGGTGAAGGGTCACTTGTTGGCCAAATCGGGTGTACCTGAGGAAGGGTTAGTTTTCCTTGCTGAAATAAGTTTCTTGGTAAAGTAAGATTAATATTTCCAGAACTTACTATTCTGAAGAATATTGGAAAAAAATGTTTTCATAAGGCGCAAGTAACTCAATATTTTTTGACGGGTCGTTGATAACAAACCGCACATTTCTGGAAGTTGTCACCTTTCTAATTACTGGAGGATATTGTTCACAAAAGCCTATGAATATAAAATGCTAACGAATTCTTCGAACTATTGTGGAAAATATGATAAAACTTGACATCGATTTGGCAACTTGTCTAAAGTGGATTTAAATACAACCAAAAGTATCGACATTATGATATGATATGAATAATTATTTCTATGTATCTATTTAAAAAAACTACTAAATACATGCAACTGTTTCAATGTAAAATTTGCAAAGTGAAGGGTCGCTTGGTCGGGGAGTAGGGTAGCCACGGTGTACCTGAGGAAGGGGTAGTTTTCCTCGTGGCCGGTACCGAAATAAGTTTCTTGGTAAATTGTATGGGATTAATATTTCCTTCCAGAACGTGCATTCTGAGGAATATCGGAGGAAATATTTTCCATTGTTTTTCTAAAGGGAAGTTTCTTAGTAAATAGGGATTAATATTTCCAGAACTTCCATAATACTATTCTCAGGAATATTGAGGAGGAAAAATATTCCAATGTTTTCATAAGTAACTCAATATTTTTAACCTGTCGTTGATACCAGAACCAGATCCTACATTTCTCCAAAATTTTCACCTTTCTAATTCTTGAAGGATACACATTATTCACAAATAATATTATAAATAAGTGGAGAATATTTATGAATGGAAAATGTTAACGGATTTATTCCTAGGATTATTATGGAAAATATGATAAAACTTGACATCAATTTGGCAACTTGTCTACTTTGGATTTAGATACAAGTTGTATCATACAACCAAAAGTTTGGGCATTATGATATGATATGAATAATTATTTCTACCTGTCTATTCAAAAAACTATATACTAAACACATGCAACTTTTAAAATGTAAAATATGCTAAATTCTACTAAATTTAATTGACTATAATAAACTCTGTATGACCCATCCCGTCTAGCCAGTCCTCCCCCACGATTTGGAACTGAATCAGAATAAATATTTGTAAAATTTGTGAATTCCAAATACTTGAAAAACTGTCTGGTCGGGATTTCTCATGCTTATGAATCAACCGACAGGTCGTTCCGACTTTTGCAGACAATTTTTAAAAGTACATGAAAATATTCGTTTAGGAAAATTCACAATATAATCTCATATCATGCACTTAAGTTTAACTAATAATTTTGCATAATATATATTTTTTATGACTTTCAGATATTCCTGAATCATAAAGTCAAAAATTTATAGAATCGAAATTTCCAGAACCAATCATCCTGAATTTTGCACCTTGGTAAACTTTCTTCACATGCATGTGCATCTTGTCGACGAATCGAAACATTTTATTGCATTTAATTTCCGGGAGGTAAAAAACGATTTGTCTCAAATCTCAATAGTGAAATACAAATTAAGACATTTTATTACTCTAAACTTCTCACTTTTGACGTAAATGGTTTACAAATTCTCATTTTGCCTCAAATTATTACTTTCCTCGCACAATTTCGTCGTAATTCTAATCGAAAATAGTCTGTATATCTTCATCACTTTTCACCCCCACTTCCGGTTGCCAGTCAATCTCGTCCTCCTCCTCATCTCGTGAGGATGGCAGCACCCCGTCCCCTCCGGCCGGACGATACGGACAGCTTTTGACATGGTTCAACTGGACAAAGTTAAATTGCTGTTCGTCAATTGACTGGTGATAAAAGTAGTTGAAATTCGACACGATTACGGGAACAGGGAGAGCAATTGTTAGCACACCCGTGATCGCGCAGAGAGGGTTGTTGGTAGATTGGGGGACCTTGTTGAATAACGGTCATGTGACGACCCGAATTGCCGGAGTCTAAAAGAGTAAAACGAGAAAGTCAAAGAATTCACTAAAACTTAGGGCGAATTAACTAAAAAATCAAAAAATTTTAAATGACCTTTGCAGCACGAGCAGCAAAGTGCCACGCACGCCGCACACAGGGAACATTCGATTAAATCATCCAAATCCAGACACATTTTGATACGATTTAACTTTCACTTCCGGTAAAAATTGAGAAACTTTGACGCCTATAACAGCAATTTATTTAACAAGAAACGAAACGAGACAATATTCCAGCTTGTTTTTTTCACTTTATGTAGCGGACTCGCCTTCCTCAATTATATTCTCAATTAGGCAAATATTAAACATACTTCAACCATGTAAAGTTTAGTTAACAAAATAATAAATAAATTATTAGACGCTTTATCATTTTATATTTCTGAAAACAAATTCGAATACATTCAATTTTCATAGTTCTGACAATTCATGGGACCTATGCAATTTGCCATTTATTTCCTGTAACTCTATTGTTCAGAACAATTTCTTCTTATCATCATTACAGTGATGACGAATCTGACAATGTACAAAATCATTTGTGATGTAAAACTAAAAATATAAAGCTTTCTCGATGAAATGAGTCATGATTGTGCCCGTTCCCTACTTTCATGCATACCATATTTTTATTTATTTTTATCACGACAAGCTTATCGTAATCACCTTGTTAATATGATATCACAGCGGAAACACATTATCTCCCTCCCATTCCATTCTATACCACTTACCTATGTTATACGGTATCTCGCTGTGGTGTGTAAACATGAAAATAAGTCATTAGTAAATGTTTGGCAAACCAGGTTGAGCAATGAAAGAATCATGAAATCATCTCTAAAATCGAGTAAAAACTTAAGAATTCAAAGCCGCTGACACAATTTTGTAAAAAAAAATGTCATCATCATCACCACCAGTTCGTCCCCCACGAAGGACCCCGCAACCTTCCAGACCAGTGACGCGTAATGTGTCCATACTTTCGAAAAGGAATACCAAATCGCTATGTAAGTGCAAAATGGAAATATTTAAAATATACACTTGATTTAAACCATATGGTAATAATTTCAGGGAAAATGATCCGCTCCATGATCATTCCAACTCGACTCGTCACAGCTTTTGCGTCCTGTGGGGGTGGTGGCAATTCTGTCGCTGCGAGGAGAAAGCGGCGACTTGACCGGGCTATGAAAAATGGAGGGCAAGCACCTCTGGAACGGCGAATAATTAGTAGTCCTCCAGTCGAAGCGTTGGCAAATCTAAGTTTGGCAGAAGAGGTTGTGGAACCTGAGAGTCAAATTCAGACTCAAACTGTCGAGGTCCAAATCGAGATCGTTCCCAACGCGGAGGCAACCACGACAGTAACATCTCCAACTGATGGGGACATCTCACTCGGAAATACCGGTTCGACTGCTGATACTGCTGACAATACCGTAGAATCAGTACAACCACCACCACCACCCCCACCAGAAGAGATAATAGTGCGACTACGGGAGAAAAAAGATTCTGCTACTGATCGCAGTTCAATTGTTGACGCAGACAAATTTCACGGCTGGCGGAAATCGTCGATTGACGTGAATACCGAGCCACCATTAACTTTGAGTATGAGTTATTTTTCAAATTAAAAGTGTCAAAGTTGAAGATAAAATGGATTATAAAAATTATATATTCCTTCTCAGAATGGATCCCATCGGGCCTGCAGATTGGTGATCAAGTAATCTGGCTCTCTGAAACGCAACCGGAACGCGGTGTGGTGCGTTGGATTGGGAAAATTAGAAGCCAGTATTACGCAGGGGTTGAATTTGTAAGGGAATTGAGCTTATCTGTTGATAAGAATGGTTTACAATTTGCATAATCTCTTATTTCTTGACCTTGCAGGAACGAAGCATAGGGAACTCGTCTGGCCTTTATGGCTACGGAGGTGGACTGGTCGCCCGACTTTTCACGTGTGACCTAGGCCTAGGACGATTCATCCCGATCGATGAACTTGTCCTGCATTCAGACTTTCATGATAAGGGGATAAAGGCCGGCTTCATCTGCATAATTTGCCGTGACGACTTCCTCGAGCTGCCGGACGCCCAAGGGGACGAGGGTCACATGGTGGCGACAAAGTGTGGTCACTTGTATCACGAAACATGTCTCCAGAGTTGGTTTGCTTCGAAGAGTAGAAAGAAAACGTGAGTATTTTGCATCACTTTGTGCTTTGATTCGAGATTAATTATGACATTTGACCTGAATTTGATAAAATTTTAGAAATGGTGCGACTAATCCGGGCCAGCCCTGCCCCCATTGTCAGAGTCCAATCCAATACGAAGACATCATTCGACTTTTTCCTGCACAAGTTTAAAGCATGTAACATGACTTATTTTACTGGAATCTAAAATGAACTTGTAATGAAATAATTTTTCTACGATTATTTAAAGTTCTACATAAATGTATTATTTGTCCATTATTTCTAGATTTCCTAATTTATTACTCAATAATTTAATGTGGAACGAATAAAAAGACAAATTTTCTTCATACTCTAGATACATACCAACACAAGTATATTTTATTTAAAGTAAAACAAGATCTGTACTCAACAAGAATATTTTATTTAGAAAATGTCAACTCAATTAATTAATGATGAATTTTATTAAGAGCAAGAAACATTCCACCCTGCGGTTTGAGTGAGTTTTCATTCGTATATTTCATCGGGATCAACGTCTTCTTTGAAGGTTCAATTCTGAAATTGTGAACCAAATGAGAAATTGCGAGTTTCGCTTCTGTCAGAGCAAATCTCATCCCTGCAAAAATATTAAGATTGTTATTTTAAAGTAAATGACTATTTTTGCCAGCCGAATATTAATAATTCATTAATTTTAAATTACCGATGCAGTTTCTAGGTCCAGCGCCAAACGGGAGGTACGCATACTGGTTGATCTTGGCCTTATTCTCCATCGAAAATCTCTCCGGGTCAAATTTCTCAGGTTCTGGGAAATACTTTGCGTCCTGATGAAGTCCAGCGACAGGGATTTGAACGGCACATCCTTTCTTGAGGAGGTAGTCAGTCCCGGGTACTTGGTAATCTTGCGTCGCTGTTCTTTCCAGCAACCCCGCGGGTGGGTAGACTCGCAGCGTTTCTGCAACAAAAATATGTAGTGTGTTGTTTTGTAAATGCAGAAATGAGCACAATTTTTAGTCAATTATACATAGCTAAATATACGAAAATGATCAATGCCCTGTTCTCACCATTGATAACCATATCCAGATAAGTCATTTTGTGAATCGACTCGTAGCTAAATTCGCCACCGTTATCCTCCAACGTAGTTTCAATTTCCTTCCTCAACTTATCCTGGACATCTTGATTTAGCGCGAGAGCATACGCAGAGTAGAGCATAAGCGATTGCGTCGTATCGAATCCAGCCAGAACAAAGAGCACACAATTCGCCACGATCCCGGTGTCATCCAGCATGTTGCCGGTAGAAGCTTTGCCGACGCTCTTGATTTCGGCATCCTTCTCAAAAGTGGACAATTCACCCTCCTCCGCCTTCAACTTGTCCTCCCTCGCCTCCAACATCAACTGAATGAAATCGTTCCCTTTCTCATTCTTCTTTTGACGGTCATGAATCGAACCTTTTATCGCGAAAGAGAAAAAGCTTTGCATTTCCATGTTGAAAACAGATAACCCCAAGAATTCTGCCAACGGGGGGGCAAGCATGATGACCAATAGATTAAGCATCCCCTTCCCCCCGAAATTTAGTCTCAATTTGTCCCCCATCTTTTCAAATATGGAAGGTTCCCTCTGCTCAAATGCTTTTGAATCCATGGCACAAACGGCGGAGGCGATCACGTCCATGGCGAATTTTGAGTAGCCACTGGACAAGTCCATCTCATTATTTGTCCTCATTTCGTCCTCGACAAACTTGACCAGTTTTTTCCCACTTTGGTCAAATAGAGAGAAGAGACGCTTTATCTTGCCCGTTGTAAAGGTAGGACTCAACTTTGACCTTAGCAACTTCCATTGGTCGCCCCGCAGCGTAAGGAGCATTTTGGCGAAGAGATAGTCATTCTTCGGTATGTAGAATATCCCACGGTCGACAAAATGATCAAAGTCCTTTACCAGAACGGACTTTATGATCTCGGGATCGTAAACGAGGAGCTTCGTTATGCCAAACTCGGTCGAGCCGACGACCTGTGAGTAAACCATAAGCAGACTTTGATATCTGTATTATCATTCTGAGAAATAAGGAGTCACATATTTTAAAAGATGAATTTAGCCATTTTGCAAGATTTCACATAATACAAAAAAAATCACTTGAAAATTTCAAGTTTCAAATTTCGAGTCACAAGTCCAAACTTACTTAGTTTGTACCTCACGGTACAAATTTACATTCAATGGATTATAATGTAGGTTAAAAAATAACTTTTTACTACCTTCGGGTGCAGAGATTTTGCCTGTTTGTAAGCAAGCGTAAAACTATCGACGAAACCGATCCCGGTGAAGAAATTAAACATGAAGCTGTACGTGCCATTGCCGCGATAAGGGATTCCCTTGGACTCAAAGTGGCGTCGATTCTTCTGCTCGAGAAAGTAAAGGAGGGCGATTAGAAGGGCGAAGATGGCGAAAACTATGGCGAAAATACTCATTTTATTTGAGCAAAATAGTTCTGAACGATGTTTACGAAGGCGATGCTGTAACCAGACTGGATAGCAACAAATTCAGTCAGTAAGCGATCATAACCTTGTGAATGATGCAGTATAACCAGTACCGAAAAAAATGGTGATGTTGTTGATCATATTTGAGCGTGGGTTATGTCGTGTGTGAGTTCCATTGCTAATAGTAATTTGCTATTATGTAGACTGGACTGGACGATGCATGACAAGGGCAAAAAATTGTTTCTTTGCTTCGCTGCAAAATATTAGCATGTACACGTATGTTTCATCCATTCGACTTTTAGTCGACTTTAATTTTGTGCAGTGCGTTTTTGAGCAGATCATTTGGCAGATGTGACGTAATATTGCAAGACTATTACAAAGAACTAAGCCGAATCTTAACTGAAGTTTGCAGTTGATATTAGGCTTAATTCAACTATGTACGATGAGATAATTGTGTATGTATAATTATCTCATCCTGAAGATGATGATTTTAATTCAATTTCGTATTTTTTCTGCATCCTCCTAAAGGCAAAAAATATATCCTTGAAATCTATTGTGAGAATAAATTGTGAATATTCAAGTGCAGATTGGATGACTGGCCTCAGTTTTTACGTATTGTTGTGCACGTACAAATGTACAGATATAATAAGTATGCATGTACCTAACGACACTCTGCCAAATGACCGCATGAAGCATTCGCTCTCTCATAATGCTGGACAACTTTAATACACACATGAATGAACGCTTATCGTAAAGAGTCATTGGGTGCTCATCAATATTTAATAGTACTTCAATCTTCCATGAAAAATTTGCCTTTGTTGTGTAGAGTTACTTACAAAATCGTTTAATGAACTCTTCACGTGACAATAAAAAAGTGAACTTTGCTCTGAAGTCAGCATTTTGGTCACATACATAATGTCGCTCAAATTCCATTATTTAATCGACACAGAATAAAATTCACAAAATAAAATGGAACAATGTTAAAACGTAGTTGGAATAAGTTTATAATTTTTTCAATTTCTTTTCCGACTCTTATTGTAATTATACCAAGTTTACAGGGATCTTGCACAAATATTGTTTTGAATACGATTAATTCTTTTCTCATCACAGAGTTTTTAATCGTCGACAATAATTCTGATGAAATTCGACCCTGTGTTATATTCACCTTTAATTTCCACAATTTTACCAAACATACGAGCAGTTGCTCCCAGTTGGCATTCTTTCCACAGGACATTTACGACTTTGAGAAGATTGTCCCGTACATTGAATTATTCCCTCAAATTACTCACAATTCTCAAGCAATCGTCCTAATTTGGATTTCATCCCGACAAGAAAATGAATTCTGGAAGGAATTTTCTTCCCAGAATTTCAATACTTTCTCCGCTCCACTTGCAACAATTTTCTACCAAAACCATTCTCGTGACGTAAAATGTTCCCTATTTTGTCCCCTGTGCATCAATTATAACGAAAAAAACACCACCTTGCTAATCAGCAAGGAATTTAAAGATAAGCAAATCCACGTCACCTCTTTGCCCAATGTCACCTCATTGACCTCCGTGGCGAACTATATCCACCCAAAATTTAAATCCGACCCTAACCTGCGTCATGGTCACTTCCGTCCCGCGCACACGCCCGGATTTGGACGCGGGTTGCAATACTGGATCACAGAGAAAAGTGAGAAAGCTTTTTTCCGTGGCTGGGACTCCGCCGTGAACGAAATGTATCTCTGCTATGCCGCCACGCACTTCAACATTTCTCTCTTTTCGAACGATTCGTTCCAAGCGGTGGACGATTTTTTCGCCCATGATCGAAATCCCCATCTATTTCTCTGCGTTTCAAATTGCCTCATGCCCCTTGACCAAAAATCGTCCCAAGTCGTCTACACGACTGTCGACTCGTTCACCTTGAATTACTGCAAGGCTCGCACATCCGTCTCGGAAACGAACCCTTCCGGAATTCGTGGACTTTTGCGACCTTTCCGAAAGGAAGTTTGGATCTGTCTGGTCTTTATTGCGGGACTGGTGTCACTTTTATGTCGAAAAGTTGACGCAGGATTTAGCCTTTATTGGGCTATGCTAGGTCAACCTGTCGCCATCGGGTCAAACAGCAAAAAATGTCAACAAGCCTTACTTCAATGTTCTATTGGATTGTCCATCATAATATTGCAGACGTTCTACCTCGCCCTGTACACGAGTGGGGTCATCGTGCCCCCAGAATTTGGACGGATTTCGAACATCAAGCAATTGTTTCAAGAAGGTTTCAAACTAGGGCAGGATTGGGCTTGGGCGATCGACCCGTTCATTTCAAGACATGGATTTAGCAATGAAACACTGCCAACTTTTGACCTTGACCGATGCAATGACACGACCCAGGTCAATTCCCAGTCGCATCCTAAATGTTTGGGGAAGTTTGTGGGAGAATTGGCTCGAATTACGACGAAGCGCTATGTCCGCTGGGTGTATCCAAAGGTGTACGAGAAGTATCCGGTGGCGGGGTTGGCGTGCGATAGTGTCGAGGAGGACTGGGGGAGTGTCCAGAATTTTATGGTGATGCAGGGGCACTTGTCAGATGCAGTGTATGATGCGGCATTAAGGTGAGTGGCTTATATGCGGATTTGCTATAACTTTGTGTACCTTGAGGAATACAAATAGTACTCGAATTTTCGTTATAATGGTTGAAATGGTAGTCAATTTCATGCTAACATTTACTTTTCAGTGTTTAAAATTACTAAAAATATTTTCCATTTTTCTGCGAGTAGACTACAAGCCGGTGGATTTCAGAATCAGTGGGACTCAAATTATTTCATGGCCAGCTCTCGTGACACGGAATATTGGATGGAAGCGTGGGAAGAGAAAGCACGAGCGGTGAAAGGACTTTCTCTTCAAAGTCGGGTGATCCTGACGATATTTACAATATTTGGATGGTTGAGTCTAATTGAAATTGGTATCGTAATCCTGGAAATTTTTAGTAATTTTAAACAATATATCATTTAAAATATTAATTTTACATGGTTAAAATTCAAAGTTTATTAAAAACGCAACTATGATTCAGCATTTGCATCTTTCATATCAAATTGCATTCAAGTGCGAAATTGGAATACAAAATACCATGAAATTATGAAAATTAAATTTATTAACGTTAAAGATAATGTTGAGTTTCCGACGATGTAATTGTTAAAGGAGATGAGTTAAATGCCCAATTAAATAAACCGTCACAACGAATGTAACCAAGGGGTGAAAGAAGTGTGTTATCCGTATTTCAATTCAAATTGATGCATGTATGCAATTTGACCTTTAAATGACATTTCATGACCTTTTGACCTTGATGGGTGTGACCTACAGTGCCCATCTTCGAACTCGTCCTGTCCCTTGACGCTAGGAGTTTACGTTCAAAATTTCAAGTGTCTATGTCTTTTCGTTCAAAAGTTATCGGAGCTACGGACAGACAGACGGACGGACGGACAGACGGACATAACGATCTTATAAAGGGCTTTCACCCCTTAATAAATAATTGGTGCGTAGTTAATGCAATTTATATACGTTCCATCACAAGATAATTATGACTTTACACAAACTCCATGAATGACGAGCATTTATCAACACCATGAGTTTTCATTATCTGGCTCAAACAAATAATAAACTTTGCTTTGTCAGTTGATATAATTGGATTGTCAAAAGCAGGAAAAAGTTTAGGCTAAATTAAGTAATTCCACTTGAGAATCAAAACCCAAGTAAAAAACGCAGAATGTTTATTATTTTTGCACAGTATATTTAATATTTACACATCATATGGCAATAAATTAGATAAGTGCAGACTACAAGCATATGTATGTACCTACGTAAGTAATTGCAAGCACGTGAGTGAGGTGAGAACAATGGGCCAAATTAATTCTGTACAGTATGGCAGATCAATTGGCAGATATGATGTAATGCGTTAACAAATCATGTGATGCTGAAATTTTAATATTAAAAGTGCATATGGTTCCGTATTTCCAATTTTATTACGGTTGCAATGATCATCAATTTGTAAAATCACACAATTAAAATACCCGAATAAATTTCCACTAAAATTCTAATTAGTTAAAAGACGCCATCCTCCAGCATTCCTTTCATGACTTGGATAAGTCTGTCCTTGACGAGGCTGCTTGTGTCTGCCTTACAAATTTCAATGAACGCATCCGTGAGATCTTTCCCCTCATCCATGTCCTCCAGATTCTTCACTTCGCCCTCTTTTAGCATAATTGGAACGACCATCGTGGCCATGTAATAACCGAGAAATTTGGCCCGATGAAACCGATATTGGAGCGAATCCATGCAGAATCCGGGCAGTGTGGGCGTATTAAATTTTTCGCAGATGCCGTTGAACGTATCGTGGTAAAGTTGGAGGAGGTCGTCGAGGTGTATTCGTCTGAATTCTAGTGTCGTACCGACAAATATGACGTACTCGAGGTCGTTCACGACACAGGTTTCTTGGGGCATTTGAAGGTCGAGGAGGACGATTTCGAGCGGTTTTCCCGTCTCAGAATCATACCGGAAAACCATGTTGTTACTCCAGCAATCACCGTGACAAATGATTCGCCAAGGTTCTGAGGAACAATTATGAACAATTGGGTTATCATAATTAACATAATTGGTTCAACATAAATTAGCATAAATCAAATGTTACGTCTAATTATAATATGCTGAATTTGGTAGTAAATTAATCATAGCAAGTGTATTTCAGTAGTCTTGAAAATGCATTATTTTTTACCTGGATTTTCTGCATCCTTCCCAAACTTTGCCGGATCCGGATTTGTAATTCGCATCATTTTATCCATCCCTACTGCAGTTCCTTTTGCAGTGAAAAATTCACCTATCCTGCCAATCATTCCTGAAAACTTATCAACTGCAGCAGAATAGTCATTATTTTGGCCAAACTCTTTGTCATAAATTCCCTTCGTTTGTTCCAGATTAGCCCGAATAACGTTGTTCCAAGTTTCAAGATCTTCACTCGCCATGTTTGTCACCAAGCAGGGAAACTTTTCTGTAATATCTGCCTCCACATGGTGCCGATACGCCCAACTCATTGCATGCACTTTCGACAAGGCTTCAATAATCAGGCGCATATGATCAAGGTCGAGAGGTTCGAGACGGTTGGTCATCCGAAATCCGTGCGTTTTTCGGAGATCTTCCATCATGATGTAATTATCGAGTGAGCTGATCGGTCCGGACTTTCGAGCTTCACCTGAAAATCAGATAACTTTAAAATGCTGTCAGTTTTTGCATGAAATGAAATGACTAACCTTCCTCCGACTGAAAATCGATACATTCGCCATGCACGAATTTCGCATAAGGCAACTTGACAGCATCCTCCTTATCCAGACCAAACACTTCTTTCTGCATCCGTTTCAATGCCGGAATCCATTTGGAGTACACTTCGCACTCCTTGAAAAACATGTTGCACTTGTTCGTCAACTCTTGTCTTGCGGGATGATTCGGGTAGCATTTTATTAGAAGGTGACGTTTCGTCCCGTCAGATAAGTCGACATCCACCGAGTAAATAATGCTGGCATAATTATCGCCCGGTTTGGTACCGAGGGTGGCAAAATGAGAAATTATTTCCGGTACAGGGCCACCGTTCGCCTCCATTTTTAGCGCATTTTGCAAAAACTCTTTGGTAATAATGTCATTGCAGTTGGCGGTGGTGGGTAAGTCGGTGGGGGTGACGGATGGGTCAGTTTTTTCCGGAGTGGGAGACATTTTCGAAATGCAAATGATAATAGAATCGAAACGAAATTTGGTTGCATACACCACAAGCAACTTTGTTGCACTACCACTAAATGTTTGGCAGCATGCGAGTTAAATACCACGATATTCAACATTGATGGGTATTCCTCGATGATGATTATTATCTTCAGATACGTCCATTTACTTACTTATTTTGTGTGTACTGGTCTATGATTAAGTAAGCTTTTTTGTCTGGACCATTGTGAAAGTTTTGTGCAGCTTGTGGTATGAGAAACGTCAGCTCACTCACATGAATGACATTGACTAGGATATGGACACACAGCCAGCGGTCACTTGGCAGATGTGGATAACATTGTTAGCAATTGGTGTAAGTAAAGTGACCCTGAAATCTAAACGTTTGTCGCTATGCAGAAGTAGTATCACGTCAAATGGTACATTTTTTGTTGCATGTTGCATGTTACAGAATTAATGTGTAATGCCAGTAATAATTAGTGTAATAAAGCAAATGACGGAGTTTTTATAGTATAAAAACTTCAAGGGCGTGCATAAAAGAAAATGGTCACGAATGAGTGTGACTTATTTGAAATCGAGATTTCAAAGAGAATTGGTAATAAATTAAATATAATTCAGTTATTGCCCGAGTCAGGGTCAGAGACTCGTTGAGAAATTTTTGTCACGTAATAACCCGACAAATATTATCGAATTGCGGTGGTTCAACATTTAACGATGGGGGATATATCTCTTATCCTTAAATGCCAGTACTTGTCGAATATTGCAGAAAATATTCGTAATTTTTATAAATTGTCCCAACATGTAAAATTTCATCTTTTTCTGACTTATTACAAAAGCCAATATGAATAATCAATTTGGACCTGCTGGCAAAAATTTCTAAAAATTTACTTCACGGCTGTACACCACGGGCAATTTTTATTTAAACATGAGATTAGGAACATTAGAAAATAATATTAAGAAATAAGTAGTGAACATAATAATCATACATAATTAATAACTATAATACTGTATTGAAAGTTAAAAACCATATTTTCAGTCAAAAACTACCCTGCAATTGTCCCTGATCTTCGTTTTAGGGCCAGCCACATGCCATCCTTTGGTTTGAGAGATCCTGCATTTTGGTATTGCATTGGAATCAGCGTTCTTTTGGAGGGTTCGATATCAAAATTATGAACGAGTTGGGCAATCGCCAGCTTCACTTCCGTCAATGCAAATCTCATTCCTGCCAAAAGCATACGCATAATTTTATTAGTGTCGGAATGTTGTAAATAATTAATACAAATTTTATTAGAATTTTTTATTAATACAAATCAGTAAAAGTCCCTATAATGTTACTAATTGCCCTAGTAGCTCAGAGGTCAGAGCACTTGACATGAATTCAAGGGAGCCGTGGTTCGATTCCCGGCTGGGTAACAATTTTTGGCATTATTCGGGATTTACGTATTTGATTTCTAAATAAATTTGGTTTCCACAAGGATAGAAGTAGTGTTAAAATTAATACAAATTTTCTCACCAATGCAATTTCTTGGCCCTTGTCCGAACGGAAGGAAAGCGTAGGTGTTCATTTTCCCCTTATTTTCAGGTGAGAATCGTTCAGGATCAAACGTTTCAGGTTCTGGATAGTACCGTTCGTCGTGATGAATCCCATATATCGGAACTATCACTGCTTCTCCTTTTTTGACAGTGATGTCAGTACCAGGAAGTAAAAAGTCTTGATTGCAACCCCGATCCGTAATCGCTGCGGGTGGGTAAAATCGCAGGGTTTCTGGAATTTTATATAAAATACCAGTTCTTACTTGTTGATCAAGTATTGTGTAAATTCGAACGAACTAAATTCTCACCATTAATGACCATATCGAGGTACGCCATTTTATGTATTGAGTCATACGTAAAATCGCCATCATTTGCATCCAAAACGCCTTCAACTTCCTTCCTCAACTTATCTTGAATTTCCGGATGGATTGCGAGCGCATATGCGCAAAACAGCAAAAGTGATTGTGTCGTATCAAACCCAGCGAGGATGAAAAGCACGCAATTCGAAACGACGCCGTCATCGTCCAAAAGGTCGGCAGTCGACGCTTGACCCTTGACCTCGCTCTTTATGATGGCATCCTTCTCAAAACTGTCCAACTCACTTTCATCCGTCTTCAGCTTGTCTTCTCTCGTCTCCAACATCAACTGAATAAAGTCGTTCCCTTTTTGCCCAGTTTTGTCCCTCTGTTTAATCGACGATTTAATCGCACCTGCGAAAAACTCGTGCATCTCTTCTCCAAACATTGTTATTCCCAATCTTCCAGCCAACTTTGGAAATCTGAACATGAAAAAGAACTTGAGGAAAGTCTTCGAGTTAAAATTAAGCTGCATCTTTTTTCCCATCAACTCAAAAATTGAGGGTTCAGTTTGATCGAATGCTTGCGAGTTCATGCCACAAACGGCGGAGGCGATCGTGTCCATTGTGAACTTTGAGTATCCTTCGCCCAGGTCAATTTCGCCATCGGTCGATTCCTCCATTCTTTCGTCGACATACTTCACCAATTTCTTGGAGCTGTCGTTGAAGAGGGAGAAGAGACGCTTAATCTTTCCCGTGGTGAAAGTCGGGCTCAACTTTGACCTCAATCCTTTCCACTGCTCGTCTTGCAGAAATATGAGCATTTTCTTTACCAGGATATCATTGCTTGGTAGTGTGAGAGCTCTGCGGTTCACAAAGTGATCGAAATCTTTGACAAATATGTGTTTCAACATATTCAAATCTGTCACCGTGTAATTTACAATGCCCATGTCCATATTCCCTGCCACGTGCACCTTAGCTTTTCTCATTTTGCTATAGTTTTCTTGGATAAGTTCCAACATCCCCATTTTCTTGAAATTCATGTAATAGAGAGCATTTACTAAGGCGTTGCCCAAGTGTAAAACTTTTTTGGAACGGAACAAGAGAACTTCTTTAACCACAGAGTAGACAAAGTAGGAGATGAACAGGAGGATCAGATAGAGGACAATCCACAGGATATCGGTGATCCCCATGATTATTAACTAATTATGAATATTGATCAAATTGCACAAAATTTGCGAATTTTATTTTATGTGAAATAGCAGGACACTACCGCAATTGGACAGCTTTTGTTATAGAATGAGTTGTTATGCTATAGATGAGATGAAGTGCTGCGAATATATGGACATTCGCAAATTATATTTGCATCAGTTCTTTACTCAATTCGCTAGAATGTTGTTGTTATGCTGTTTGTCCGGTACTTGCTTCGTATGAAATATAGCAAAGCAGTTACATCAGTCATGGTCATGAGGCATAGATTGGACGCACAACAAAAAATAACAAGTTATTTAACACGAGTTTGTACACAAGCGTCATGTATTTAATCAACTCTTTATTGACAAAAGAAATCATGTTCACAATATGAAGATGAGTTAACTAAGGAACATAGAATCAAGTACGAAATGAAGGAATTAAGAAAAATCATATTTACTAAATGACCTAAAGTATTCTCAACAACTTAATTAGTTCAGTTTGACGCATCCTTAATTTTTATAAAAGTATAAGCATTTTCAGGGTTATCAATTTGAGTATTCGAGCCGTCTAAACATGGTGGTTCACTTCATTATATTAAAAAAAGCAAATTTCACTGAAATGAAAACATTAACTCTAAAAAGCAGAAGCATATTATCTAGTCATGAAATAATATATGTAAATAGCTGTCATTTGTACAGAAAACAAAAACTAATAAAAGTGTAAATATAAGAAAATAAAACTACTAACAATTACTGAAGATTAGACATTGTCAAATTAAGTAAATAAATCGAAAACCATCATTAGAAAATAATACTCATTAATTCTAATATTAAAAATAAGAATTATGATCATTTATTTATTTAGTAGAGATTCGACCAACTCGTCGATGACGTAGTGAAGGTCATACTGCATTTTCTTCAATATGGCTGCTCCCTCTTTTGCAAGTTGGTGAGCTACCAAGCACTTTTGATACGCGCTGTTTGGATCTTCACTATGCTCTGGAACAATTGTATTAAGGGATATCCAAATAAATATGAGAAGATGAGCTGTGGAACAAAAATAAATAAATCGGTTAAAGAAAGTACCCCTACAAAATTCATATTTGGAAGATGGAAAACATAGATAAGTAGTTAGACATACCCCTTTCTGCCATGTGTCCCGGACACAAAACTTCCACCACTTTTAAAGATTTTGTCGCCAAAGATTCCAACTTTTTTAAAAGCCACGTCAGTTCGGTCTGGGAGTAATATACTCCCAGTAGTACGCGTTCTACAATCTTGTTAATAATGTGATATTGAAGTTTCATGAGCAAGCAATGATTCGGATGTAGTACAGAGGTTCCAGGGTCTTCATGCATCGCGACAAGCGCAGCCAAGTCTCCATGTTGGACTAAATGGTCGATATCTTGCTCCTCCTTGTTGTAAATTTTGGAAAGACATTTAGAATAACTTTTCATTCCTCCACAGGTATTGCATTGCCAATTGTCTTCAGTTTTACCAGGTGGATCATTCTTGCTTCTTTCGTTCTTTCGAGGTAACAGATATCCTTGACATTTTTTGCCCTTATTTTTCACAACAGCTGAACATTTCATGGCTGAACAATATGTTCCCAACTCATCATAGGGTTCCTTGCATTTTTCACAATTGCACCAAAAGTCGAATTTTTTATTCAAGTGAGCCCTCCTCTCAACGATTCCCATCCACATAATGGTCTCGTAGTCGAATCGTTTCGTCAAAACGGTTCCAGAGGGAATATTTTGTGTCGCAAATAGCGCCTCCTCATTCTTCTCCTCATTGCGGATTGTTATCGTGTTGCCGACACAGCTGTGCGCTATGAACCTAGATTTTTCGTAAATTCCCCACTGCGATATTCCTCCAATTCCTGTAAATTTGCATTCACATCGTCCAACCGAGTTGTGCATGACGATACCGTAAATCTTGATGATTAGATCATCCGGAAATTCTTTTTGAGAGAGATGGCAGCCATCACGGAGGAACTTTAGGGTCCCGGCGAGTTCTTTCATAGAGATGTCGATGAGAGATGGAATAGAAATGCCCTTTAATTTGCAAATTTTTGCCCATTTTTCTGGTTGCTTGACCTTGACCTTGAGGAGAAGCACTCTTAGAACTAGAAGGTCTATGCCCCCGAGCAGAAAGCCGTTATCAGGGGGACGTATGTTGTTTTGGGCGAAGATGTCGCATTCGAACTCAAAGTGATTCTTTGCCTGTGCAAAATAAACGTAAACAACAATATGATGGTTACGACGAAGACGACCAATAATTAGCTAATTAATCTATTACCTCTTCACAATTCGGTGAGCACAGTGTCCAACCACACTTTCTACAAGTAAACTGACCCTCCTTCCGTTCCCCGACATATTTGCAACATCCCAAACAAAGGAGGTGACCCTTGTAAGAAGTAGAAGGGTCTCCGCATTGACATGGCGAAAATGGCGACGTAATCATCGGCCCCTCTGCAAATATCTTATCGCCTGCCGCAATGTCCCGTGTCACGACCAAATGTCGACCCAGAGTTTCGTTTACTTCTTCGACACAGGGAAAACAGGCCGTTTTTGAGTGTCGCTTCCAATCCGCCTTCTGATGCTCGGCTCCACAATAGAAGACGGTCTTACATCTTGAACAAGTTTTAGTAGTTTCAGTCCCACAAACGGTACAACGACCGATGATAGATTTTAAATCCATCTTTAATTAATGGGAATGGATTTCGATTAAATAAGTCGAATATTTTATTTAATTTATTTAATTTGAAGCGGAGAGGGGTTTGGGAGGGAAATAAATGATGATGGGAAATATATGGCAGCACGTGGTGTGACTGGACCATGTGCTGCAACGAATTTATGTATGACCAAAGAGTCGATGATGTATTTTTTTTATTTTTAAGATTTTAAATATATGGTTTTATTTAAATGGTAGACCTCAATTTTTTCAAGAAAAGATAACGTTAATATATAACCAAGATGATGATGGGATGAAGTAAGTAAAATTTACGTAACAATTTACTAATTTTAGGCTAAAATTAGTAAATTGTTACGTAAATTTTACTCGTAGTCGCCTGTGCTAAAATTTTTAGCACAGGCGACTACGAGTATAAATATAATATTCACCTCACTTTCATAAGTAGTTTTAAAGCTCGTAGAAAATCATGGATTAAATGCATGAAATAAAATTTTTCTTAATCCCTAATATAATTATTAACGATTAATTAATTGTACAACTGAGTTATTAAAGCTACAGTTTTCATAAATATTGGTTATTATTGTCAATCTTAACATTACAGTCTTCTAGTGTAAGATAATTCTATCAATCACCTACAAAACGATTCAAAATTTTTGTGGCATGAAATATGTAACTTAAAATGCTTACATAAACTCAACAGATAGATCTTTCTTTCCACGTCATCTTCACTATTTAATCTTGTCATCCTCGTCCTTATTAGTCTTCCAGATAATGTAGTACATCGGCGTGGAAAAGGTCAGCCAGGCAATGTAAGGAGTCATAAGGAGGCCAGCGGTCGAATTTATCTGGTAGAAAGATATCGCATTCGCCACAACGGCACAGTACAGGACACCGAGATCAATCATGGCCGTTCCCATCCTTCGCATTTCAAAGAAAAGTGGAGAAAATACCCAGTTTAATGCCAACTGGGCAGAATAGAGCATCAGGGGATATTCGGCCTTCCCCCCACCGTCACGCCAGACGAGGTAAGATGCATATCTGCATATTTATAGTAAAATGTGAGATAATTATTCACATTTAGCCATTCTTAACTCAAATCCCCCAATACAATAAGCGATTTTCAGAAGATATTTTTCATATTCTCACTCAAGTGTGAGACAAAGATTTCAAGTAGCGAACTGCATATGGGAGGAGTTTACCCCATTTTGATAAATATTTAATCAATAATATTTTCTCTAGCTCAATCAGAATTGAAGTTATGAATGACATGGTACTTATGGCATGGAGAAAGCATGTAATTTATAACATAAATATTCTGTAAAATAGGAAACCCAAACTTTTGACCCAAAAAACGTCACACATTCAGCAAAAGTTTATAGGAAGATTGGATATCACTGATTAGAATTAGAATTTTTGTCAATCTAAAAAACCTTCTCGACAATTTTGAAAGAAAAATGAAAAACATTTTCATATACCCCATCGACGTGTATAATCCGGTCCAGATCATTCCAAAAACCCAGTTGGGGGGTCGCCACTTTGGCATCCGAAATTTCTAAAATAAGATACGTAATTTTAATAAAGTGTTTACAGATAAGTTTTCTTATGAATTAATACGAACCGAAATGTTTCTGCTGACAAGAACTGAGCCCACCCAACCCCCCATATTTGGGAAGACCATGGCAGCAATTAATGCGTATCGTGACATCGCTGTGAAACGATTTTTGTATCGTTTTACAAGAAATTTGTAAAATCTTTAAAGAAACTTTATGTAAGATCTTAGATCTTGTCAAATTCTTGTTTCTGTAACCCGAAGAAGTGAGATTCCTGCTGATTTTGTGGATACGTCGTAAACAAAAGAAGAATCTGTATGATTTTATTTTGTATGTAACACGCAAACTCTTACTTCAGAGCACTTTGTTGTCATATTACGCAAGTCGTTCTTCCGAATGCATGCTGGATTTTCACTATGAAACACTGTGTTTAGAGCCATCTCGATTTTTGAGGATACATACAACCAATTAAATGTATACAAAGACAGCAATAAATTCATAGTATGAATTTCATTTACTCCAAGTTGTATAGTAATGTACATAAGTTATGTTTCTGCGTTGCAATAAAAATTGCAAGTGTGTAAAAGCAAGTGTTCTACAGCTTATGTAAGTCGGTAGAGATCACATTAGTGCAAAAATTGTCATATATTAACACCATTTAGTTTTCTGGCATAAATTTGTATGCCGACTTGGATTTTACAGTATTTACTGAAGCATGAAACCATTACTCTAATTTTTAGCTGAACGAAATCTCATAATTTGTTGTTTATGAAAAATGTCAAAACGGTAACAAAATTGAAGTCTTTTCTCCGTGACAAATTGTAACAGAACTCTCAACAAGATTATTATGATTACTGAGAAACTTTGAAATATTTATTAGCATTGTGTCATTTCACAGATCAGCTCATTGTATGTATCTTACTTAATGCCTTAAAAAACGTTACTTTGCTATTTGCAGATTCTTAACTACATAATTTCATCCTCTGCAAATATTCCTTCTTGGCAATCATCACCATTTTTCTAGCAACTTTGTTAATGATAACAAAGTAAGCTTCAAAAATTAATCTTCTTCTTAACCACTACCATTTTACAAATAAATAAGTACTACATATGTAACAAGTCTATGTAATATTCCAAACCACCCCACGAAAAACCGTAACTTGCAAATACGTATAACGAAATCATACCAATGCAATTTCTACATACTTCTTCTTCGTAAAGGTGATTGTCCTGTGTCGGTTACTTGGACGGAATACGTACACTAGATGATTTAAAATATACAAGTTTTAAGAATGAATATGTGCTTACAAAAGCAAGAGCATGATCATTTTACAGGCTACACAAATTCCCTCAGGGGATCGTCGTTCCATCCTTTCAGAAGCAAGTGCAAGTTCACAGTTTGTGAAGAAGAAAGAAGTGCAAGTACCGGTGGTGTGGGTTTGGTCATTATGTGGTGTCTTACAATATGCTGGCTTGCTTAATACCAAGTCAGAAGCACGGGTAAAATAGTGAGGAAAGGTAAGTAAGGAAGATTCTCTCGGTTACTTCCTCACTAAAAAATCTGCACTTGACTGCAACGGGTTTCAACGTCGAGAAGAGTGCAGGTGGGTGAGACGACAATCTTAAATACTTATCTGGCTGTTTTCACTCTTCTGGAAGGATTTTATTTAGGGTACTTACTTACCCAACTAAAATTAAGTATTAACCTTTTTGCTGTATAAATAGAATTAAGCAGGAGAAAAAGAGAGACATATGTAATAGGCAGACAGAGAGAGAGGTAAATATTACTTGCATATTGTGAAATAGAAGCTTGGATTTGTTCAAATATTAGACTTTTGTGGGTAGAAAGGGTTGAAAGTTTGACGCCACGTTGCATTGCTGTTTGTAGCTCGGATCCTTAACGTACGCATTAGATTAAAGGTTAAAATCAAATCAGCACAATTTTAGGGGAGACATTTGAAGCGATAACTTGTCTAGAATCTCGGCAAGACTGGTTATCTATCCGGTAAGCCTAGAAAATTAGAACGAATGGTTTTATTTTTAATACTATGTATAGAAAAAAATGTGTCACAATGTTTGAATTAAGCGAGAGGTAGGTAGAGAGAGGAAACGGAAGTGGCCGTTTTTCATGCAGAATTTTGCAGAATGTAGGGAAACTTTATGTGATTATAAGGTTGAAATGTAGGTCTACATTTTTTATCTGTTTCAAGTTCACACGGTTTATAAACATACAATTTACGGGAGAAAATAAAACCAAGGCTTGCATATGTGCATACTGGTTTACTTATTACGCGAATTAATTCCCTTACTTTTGCTACATAAACATGTCACAAATTCTGCATATCTAAAACACACTTCAAAACTTCTAATTTTAAAATATTTTTCTTTAATTTAGATAATCAACGTATCAACAATTCTAAATTCCGCGAGGAAAATGAGACTCATAATTTCACTCGTCTTCCTCTTCGCGACTACGAATTGTTTCGCCCAAGAACAAGAATTCATAAATGTCGTTAAAGATTTATTGCAAGGGGATGAACTCAAGACGTTTCAAAGTAAGTTCCCAATTTTTGCACATTTAATGTTTCCACGATTTTTTGTCAAATTTCGAAATGTCACAACATTTCGAACACAAAATTATATAAAATATAAATCCATTCTTAACCTCCCAACTTCCAGACGCCTACGCCTCTCTGCCCCTCGAGCTTCGCGACAAACTGACTAAAGACCTCCTCTCAAATCCTGGCAAGTTGGGAAAAGATATCATGTCCATGATGGGCCCTCAAGTCCAAAACCTGCTCAACTCCTTTGGCGGATTCGGCAACAAAAACGCCCGTCGAGAAGCCCCCGAATCCAACGAGGTCGAAGTTGACGAAATGAACATGGACTACTCGAAACATGGTCAGCAACAGAACCAGAAACAGAAAAATTCCGCCCCTGCCGGTGGTCTGGACTTTGGCCCACTCGGCTCCATGCTGGGAAATCTGGTCAGTTCAAATCCACAAATGCTGATGACCATGGTACAGGGATTCATGTCCGGAAATGGTGGGGGTCAAGGCTTTTCGTTTGAAAGTATCACCTCCATGATGACCCAAAATTTCGACTTTGACACCTTAATGTCTATGGCGCAAATGTTTACCGGATCGGCACCCTCTTCCGGTGGTGGTTCTGGCAATATTCGTGGCGAAGGGGGCAACCAAGCCGCCAAACCGGGGAAAGGAATCGCCGAAATGCTCCAACTCCAACAAATTACACAAATGTGGACAGATTTTGCAAAATCGCCTGTCGGTCAAAAGGTTTGATTTTTTCATACAATTAGTTTCAAGATAGCATTATACTCACAAATTAAATTGATTTACAGGTCAACCGAGTCCTACCTCGTCTCCTTAAAGCAGAATCACTTCCGGACGCTCTTCGCATCGTTGAAAAAGAAACAGCCTTCCGATTCGACCAAGTTTTGCGACAATTTAACGACCCCACCGTCCGAAAAATCTTTGTCGCCCAACTTGTTCGTCCAATTGGTCAGTTCGTTAAAGGATTCAAAGTCCCCGCAGACTTTAAAAAGGTCGCGGCTCGGGCTGATGAAGTTTTTAGCAAGATGGAATTCGCCTCCACGGTCAAAGAGTATGCTGACCCGATCACACAATACATTCGGTGAGTTAAATAATAATATTCCAAGAAATAAATTAAATTTTGACATATTTTCTTGTAAATATTTTTACAGAGAAACTTTCAAAATTACGAAGGAATCGTTGTTAGATTTGAGCCAGGAAGATATTGAGAGAATTGCGTCCGATATTTTGAACAAGGAAGTTCTTCTGCCCTTGACATATGTGTACGACGCCTACAACAAAGCGAGAGAAAGCAGTATCTGTGCCAAGTTCATCTTTTGCCAGTTGAATAGAAACTTTTACAATGAAAATTTCATCCGGAGACATGTAATCAAGACGGCCAGCATAATCTCTGCCTTCCAAGCGTCGGAAATTATGAAAAAGGACGCTTTCTCTGGTCTTTACGAGTCCATTCATACGGGGGCTGACGGGTTTGATTGCACGACTGGTCAGAGTAACTTTTGTCTCGAAATGATGCACACAACTGCACATAACGAACTATAAATTAAGTCTATTTATGTAATTGATCAGTTTCTTTTTACCAGGAATATTGCTGCCAGTGTAGTTCTTTTTTTAGCTGTAAGGTTTTTTAATTGGGGAAAATTTTAGAAAATTTAGTAAATGGGACACTTATCAATTAATCAGAGAAACCAATTTTACGGGGGATTTAGTTTTTAGTACTCAAAAAGAAGAGGGGAATATAGAATACGCTATATTTATTGCAGTTTTATCATATTGTTATTTATTAACTATTTTAAAATGTGATGACGTAAATAAAGAATTTATGTATTTGTTAACTTACATCTTTTTTTATTGTTTCCGTAACTGGTTGGATTGGTTTTACACTAAATTATGTATGCACGTATATCACCTACATATGCTTAGTAAATCTTGTACTTTAACGAAAAACTAGACCGGATATTAATTTATGTACAGAATTGGGAAATGGTTTGAAGGAATTTTACAATTTATTCTTATTTTTACACTTACTTTTATTATTATCTGTTTGAGATGGTGCTTCAAATTTAAAATAAGTACAACGGCAGTTACAGTTATCTCCACCGCCACCCACTCACGTTGTCACTGCTACGGTCACATTTCATATTTAGACTAGTTAAACGTCACTACGGCTGAGTTAATTAAAAGTTGATGGGTTTTCCAAAATATGCGGCAAGATTGGCTGAAAAAATATAATATAATAAATTATATTTAGCCAAATTTTCTGTGTTAAAATGTCCCTGCATGAATGAGGAACATTTAACCGTAGGTTATTTGTTTGTCATATCTCACCTTCTCTTAAAGCTTCGGAGCAGGTCTGAAATTGAAATGAAGGGTGTTAAAATTATTATTTGTCTTTAATTGAAATTTAGCATATTTCATTACAAATACTTACAGGATGTGCGTGACAAACTCTAGCAACGTCTTCGCACGATGCACCATATTCCATCGCTAAGGCTGCTTCGTTAATCATTTCACCAGCACCCTAAAAAGAAATATTTTAATTAATTAATATATACACAAAACAAAATAATTATAATTATCTTACCGGTCCGATAATATGGCATCCTAGCAGTCTGTCAGTAGCTTTATCTCCAAGAACTTTAACAAAGCCGTCAGTATCGTTATTCGTTTTTGCTCTGCTGTTAGCAGCGAATGGGAATTTTCCTACGTTAAACGCCACCCCCTAAACGAAAAATGACGGAAATTAAAGCATGTCAATTTTATAAATAGGATTAGTGAAATACTCACAGCTTGCTTAAGGTCCTCCTCCGTTTTCCCGACCCATGCAACCTCGGGATGCGTATAAACGACGGAAGGAACACAGTTGTAGTCAATATGCACGGGCATCCCAGTCATCCCCTCACAAGCTACGATCCCCTCGTCCTCTGCCTTATGGGCTAACATCGGACCGTGAATTGCGTCACCGATAGCATAAATACTAAGAAAGCAGAAAAAATAGTCAGACACTGACAAAAAATGTACAAGTCTTTTCAAAATAAATTCCCTTTACTCACTTTGGTACTACGGTTTGGAACTTCTCGTTGACAGGAATTCGTCCCTTTTCGTCCCTCGTGATTCCCATATCTTCCAAGCCGAGGTTTTCGGTATAAGGTCGTCGCCCCACAGAAACTAGGAGGACTTCACAGTCGAGCTGACCAAAAATCATGATAATTAAGTTTACTGTTAAACACCAAAGACAATTATTTGATTACAAAATTAACCCAACGCACCTCCTCTTTCTTGCTGGGATCCTTAACATTTTCCACTCCTACAAGAATTCGGTTCCCTTCCCTCCTCGCCCCAGTCACCTTCGTACTCAACTTGAACTTGATGCCTTGCTTGGTCAGGATTTTTTGAAAGTTCTTTGAAACTTCGCCATCAATGCCCATCCCACCGATCGTGCCGAGAAACTCGACGGCAGTGACTTGAGTTCCGAGTCGGCCCCAAACGGAACCCTGACCACCAAGAGAATTAACTTATAAACATACCAAGAAATTTATAATTTCGCGTACCAATTCGAGACCAATAACTCCAGCTCCAATGACAATCATTTTATCCGGGACAGATTTCAGGGAGAGAGCTCCGGTCGAGGAAACAATTTGTTCTTCATCAATCTGAACGGAATTATTAATATTTCAGAATTAATTACAAGATAATATTTAATAAAATAATTGAATATATAAATTGTATAAACCTCAATTCCTGGGAATGGCGTAACTTCGGAACCCGTCGCAATCATGATATTTTTAGCATTGATCTTCTCCGAGGATCCATCGTCCTTCAAAAGTGTGACTTCATTCTTTCCCGTGATTTTTCCATGACCGGTGAGTTGGGTGATCTTATTTTGCTTAAAGAGATGCGCAATTCCACCAGTGAGGGCTTTGACAGCACCGCTTTTAGCCGACAGCATAGCATCAAGGTCCAACTTGACGTTGTCGACTGGAACAAACAAACACAAATTAGTGGCATTACTTACAGTAAAAAAATTAAACACCACAATTAACTCACCAAGTATTCCTCTATTTTTAAAATCATGTTGCGCCATGTGGTAATAGTGAGAATTGTTTAGGAGTGACTTTGACGGGATGCATCCCACATTTAGGCAGGTTCCTCCCAGAGTGGCTCTCTTTTCGATATTCACCACCTGCAAATTAACCCCCAATTACGTCACACATACAAAAAACTTGAATTATATGGTCTTCACACCTTCATTCCTAGTTGGGCGGCCTTAATCGAAGCGACATAACCACCTAAAAACAATCGTACCAATTAATTCATGACACTACGAATGCCGGCAATTAGCACACTTACCTGGACCTGACCCAATCACAACGAGGTCAGCTTCATGTGTTGACGACATGAATCTTTGACCTTGTTGCTGCTGGAGCTGGATAATGGCGACCCGACAAAGGATCCCTTTAGGGCCGATGGCTGGCAGTCGGGTGAGAACGGAGGCCTGCATTTTTCTCCTATTGATATTACTTCACTTGGACACGATATTAGATAACTGTAGTAAAGGTTAAAGGTTATCTAATAATTGTTAATTCTTAAATGAGGAGAAATTCGGCCTGGAGAAAGAAAGAGGAGTGAATTGAGTGAATGAGATGAATAAGAATAAGATTTTTTAGCCGGAGTCGTCATGGAGTGGAGCTCACGTGAAGGCTGGACGAGGGGCATCAAGACATCGTTCGATCTCAGATTATGCAATTTCGCATAAACTTGCAAAAAAAGTCACATGCAGAATCCAATAAAAAGTATGTAACAGATAGTTAACATGATAATTAATGACGATCAAATTATACCCGAATATGTAAGAAATGAAATAATGACAACGCCTATAATAACATTTTTTTATACAAAGCGAAATTTTTCGTAGAAATGCTAATGAAAAATGAATCTTTCATTAGCTTTCACAGGGAAAGTTTCACTTCTTTCAATTTTCCATGCATTTTGCATTGCAATTAATTATTTATTTCAGTTACTTAATATCTTTATTTAATATATCGATTGTCTAATCCAGGTATATGACTCATTGCTTTCTCCACATGTATAGAAAATCACAATAATTTTATTATAGTTATCTTAATTTCTTGAAAAGGTAACTTATTTACTTAGTTGTATCAATCAGGAAAAAATTACAGGTATACTCGTACATACACGACAGATCGCTTAAAGTTAAAGTATTAATTAAATCTCATTTCATAAAAAGATTGGAAAATCTCACTCATTTGATATTCATCATTTCATTTCAATAATCATCATCATCTCAAATCTTAATTATCCTGTTGATAAATTCTTCTCCTTAGAAAATAGCTCCACAGTTCGTACACCGTTTATCTCTGAGGGCTAAGCAGCACAAGATTCCAAGCGGAAAGAACATGATGGCGCAGAGGACGCCGAGACAGCTAAAGTTATCTTCCAACACGCCCACCTATACAAAATGAGACCAAATTAAAATAAAAAATCAAACTTTATCCCGTACATTTATTAATTTATTATTTTTTAATCTCGTACACGACAAGCTGGACACCCTCCAACAATTATAACCTATGAATAATAATACTTTTTAGCATTTTGAGTTGATAATGAATGATATATCAAGTAAATATAATATGTAAAACCTGAGTGGCTGGAAACATGACTGGTTCTGACAATATGACATTTGTCGATCCATATGTGGGGGTGGTTCCATAATTCGGCGGGGGAGGCGGAAATCCTGCCGTACTCCATCCTTGAGGGGGTGGGACAGGTCCGGTAGAATAGTACGGCGGAGGCAAGTCCCCACCACCATATTGATAAGCACTCTGAGATGGATGAAATTCGCCCCCTGGCAGATAACCCGGTGGGGCTGATTGACCAGAGGGTTTCCCCAAAATCGCCCCTGGTTCAGACATCATTCCGAAATTATGGTCAATGTAATAATATGAAGTAATCCAGTTCAGTCACGCCGTCACGAGGGTATGTGTGATAGATAAGTATGACGACAGTGATGATAAGGCTGATACGCTTTGTTTATAATCAGAATCAGAGAAAAATAGGAGGGATCGAGTCACTTGACTTGCTGCACAATTAAAAGGGACGACGAATAATTAAATAATTGATTTTACTATTTTTAGTAGCATTCAATCTGGTTATTGTTATTAATTTGCTTTAGTTAGAAGAACAAACAACGAGGTTTTACGACGAGTATAGTGTCACGAAATAATATGGCGTAAAAAAAAGATCGAAGAGAAGACTATGCTAAAATATCAGCTTGCGAATACACGGACGGAGCACAATATATTTCACATTTTTCCATAACAGACTTTTGCAATACAAATACAATCTTGGCCATGTTAATAAAATAGCGTATAGGACATATATGTACAAACAAATGTTGGGTTCGTGTGTATAACAAAGTCGACATTAAACATTTTTGGTCTCTGCAGCTGCCATTGCTGGACTTTAGTGTTATGTGAATATGCTGCTGACAAAAGTACTTAAATTACCATTATATTATTGTAAATAGTGAATTATTCGCGTCACATTAGTCTGAGTCATACTGATATTGAAGGGTATTCATGTTGAAGAGTATAACAGACCAGTTCCAGGTAGAAATTAACAGTCAGTTGGTTGATATATCTTTGTAAATCTCTAGAGTTAGTTAGTTAACTAAAGTTTACATGGTTTAAATACGTTCGGTATAATATTTGCCTAATTGAGAATATAATTAAGAAAGGCGAGTCCGCTACGAAACCTGAAAAAAAACAAGCTGGAATATTGTCTCGTTTCGTTTCTTGTTAAATAAATTGCTGTTATAGGCGTCAAAGTTTCTCAATTTTTACCGGAAGTGAAAGCTAAATCTTATCAAAATGTGTCTGGATTTGGATGATTTAATCGAATGTGCCCTGTGTGCGGCGTGCATAGCACTTTGTTGCTCGTGTTGCAAAGGTATAAGTCATAAATTGCTTGATTTTTAATTCTTTAGTTAATACGCCCTAATTTTTTAGTTAATTCTTTGACTTTCTCTTTTTACTATATAGACTCCGGCAATTCGGGTCGTCATACGACCGTGATTCAACAAGGTCCCCCAATCTACCAACAACCCGGACCAGGTCAAGGCGGTCCGTACCCTTATCAACAAGGACCTTATCAACAATATCCAGGTATTATACTAGTAAGTATTATTAAAGTAATTATTACTTACTTAGAGTATAATAATAATATTCAGGTGGGGCATATCCATATCCCCAACAAGGTCAAGGTTATCCACCTCAAGGTCCCTACGGCCCCCCTCAAGGTCAAGGTTACGGTCCCCCTCAAGGCGCTTATCCGTACCCTCCTCCCGTCCAAACTGCCCCCGGCCCAGGTTATCCAGCTCAACCTTATCCACCAATGCAAAATGCAGGTCCATACCCTCAACAGGCGCCCTACAATCCGAACAATATGTGAATAAAATTGGATACCAATAAGCAAAAACAACTGGAAAATAATTAGTCACATTATGAATTAAGTATTTCAATTTTCTAGGCTTTGCCGAACTTTAAAATTTAAAAGAAATCAGCATTATTTTGTTAATCGTTTGATCTTTATCTTATCTTATTCTCATTATTGAACATTGTTGTATGTATGACGAGAAGTTATATGACTAATTAATGCAAACAAAGTTTCGCTACTTGTTGGGAACACATGAAAATACCTCAGACTAAATTAACTATTAAAAATTTCTCTAATGAAAAGATGTGCCATTTTGGGAAAATGAGCTTCTTTCAAGAAAATCGATATGAATTAATTAACAAATTAATATTAACGTACTAATCTCAATAGTTAATTATGTACTCTATTTTTTCCACGACTAACCACATTTCACGCAAGACTCGCCTTGTGACTCACTTAACAAATTATATTATATTTAATCTCATAAAATGTATACCGTTAACAAAATAAAATATGCAACTTTTTCTGGAAACGTTTTCGACTTCATTGATAGAAAGGTCACAAATACGAAGAGTAATTTTTGTCCCTGTACTTCTCATCGACTGGAATTTGGTCATACATCACGGTAAAGAAATTTTTCCATAGAGTGACCATATTCGAATTGGTGTAACCCGGCTTGAGGCGTAGGGTTGCTGGGAAGGGTTGTTGAAGGGACTCTGTCCGCCAGACAAGAATCTGCATATCCATGAAATTTATTGCATAAGAGGTCAAAGGATAAAATAATATTTAAAAAAATATGTACCTGGGTCCCCTTATTTCCGAGTAGTTCAATTTTATGGAACGGTATTTCTAGATCCTGCAATGTAACTGGATATCCGTTGAGAATCACTTTCACCAAGTTGCCCACCCTTCTATTTTTCTGGAAAGTGAAAAATAAATGCGTGTTTAAACATCCTCTGACGAAGAGAGGATTTTACTGTGCATATTTTTGGAATCGGGTTTTGAAATTTTGTTGAAACCTGTTTTGAAAACTTGTTATCACCTACCTTTCTCAGATGCTGAATCCGTACGGCAGTCCCTCCACTCAAAAGTGGTATTTCGTTATTGGAATTGCCTTGATCATCAAAATCTCCGTCGAAATACCCTGTCACCGAATTCGAATTGTTGCTCCAAATTGGGGCAGAAAATCCTGCCCATTTTCCCAGACCTACCGGCCAAGTGGAGGCTAAGCGTGTCCTCATGACCTAAGCAAACATTTAAATAAATCATAAAATTCCTTCCTTAAAAGTTATATAATTTGATCTGCGTTTTCCTCTCCCGACACCTCTTTAAAGATTCGGTGATGATATGACCACGTTTCCGTTCCCAACATTAGCACGCCATCCTGCACATTGTCAAGTGCCCACTGAACCCCGGCTGCTGACCAATCGAAGTTTCGGTCGTTGTCGTCGAGGGTTAAATTTGAGACGAACCCTTTCTCCAGGAGGACAAAGGGGACTCTAAATCTGGTCAGCGTTTTGTTCAAGATATTCAGATGTGCTTCCTTCTTGGTCGATTCAGCCCAATTCCTCGGCATTCGCAGTTTTCCTACAATATTAAATCATAATATGCTGTATGACCTATGACCTCACTTGTATGACCTATGATTTATCAGCCCTCTGGACGCACTCTTACCCTCGCCAGCCTTCGATGTCCTTATCAAGTCCTCCTCCTCTGTAAGACTCACAATTACCCAGAGGACCCCATCATTTCTCACCGGATATAGCGACTGCGCAATCTTTGTCAATGTCGCGACCTGATCCAGAGCGAATTGTGTGGTCGTGATAAACACCAGCTTGTCCTCTTGACCTGTCGTTTTCATATCATTGCGAAGAGAATTGACAAATAAATTTTTGTCATTATTTGAAAAGTACCTGTCCATATCTCATCCTTCCTTATACTACTCGAGAACTGAACTATACTCGAGATTAGCAGTCCGGCCAAGAATGCCCCTCCTATTAAGCGACAATACCCTTGAGGGACGGCGAAAGTCTTAAGTTTCCGTAATTTGGACGAAAACTGGGGGCATTTCCGGTGGTGAAAGCTTGGATATCCAAAGGTCAATATGAGCAGTGTTATCATCACCAGGATAAGAATGGAGCATAATCCTACGAGAAGTGTCATGATGGTGAGGAGGGCCTTAGTTTCGTTGTCATCAAGTGTCATATTATCATAATTTGACACGGTTGATATCTATTTAATGAGTGCGAGAGCACGAGATTTTCAGTATTCAAATCAAAATAGAGTGAATGCTGCTTGATTTTACAATATCATAGTATGTACAGCCGTTACTTAGATACAGAAAGCCAAGCAATCGTTCGCTTTCACCCAACTTTCACTTTGGCACAACTGTGAACCGGTCAGTATGGTGAGTGACACTGAAGTAGACTAGAATCTCGTCGCCTGTGCATATGATCTCCAATAGTTTCACGTAGCGGAAATGGAAACGAGCTAGAATAAAATTGGTTTGGGCACAATTTTGATAAAGTGAAAGCGGTTAGAAAATTATTTAGTCGTGGTTCCACGGCAAGTTCTACTAGTAAAAGTCAGACTAATGTAAATTGGACAATATACGACCATTTGCATGTTACTTTTAATAACGCTTGAACTACTTTTATTTACCAGATGAATTCAGAGAACGAATCCAGTCCAGGCGGAGACGAACCGGAAGTTGGAGGTGACGCTGATCAACACCTCCGCTTCTTGGAATCAGTCGTATCTCAATATGAATCCCTCGTAGAAGACATTCATGCCAAACTAGTTCAAAGTTGCCAAACTGTACAATCCTACGTCCGGGCCGAGGACGAAATCCTTCCTCAGTTCCATAACGAATATGGTGAAAGCTCTGTCGTGCAAAAACTACAGTTACAGCTTTCTCGGAAGGATTCCATTATAAACAACTTGCGAATGCAGCTCGATGTGGTTCACAGATCAAAGAATGTGTGCAAACACCTCTGGCAAATCTCTCTAGGTCACGTGGAGGATCTGGAGATGTCGAAAATTATACAACCACCGCCACCTGAAAGAATAAACACGTCGAATGATAACAATAATGACTGGCCTTCCTCAGAATTTTTAATCAAGTGGAAAACTTTGTCTTCGTACGCAACCAGTTTAGAAGAACAAGTGGAACATTTATCAAGAAATCTGCACTTTTATCAGAGAAAGCTACTCCAAATATGTGCTCGGTATGAGCACTTGGAAAGAGACCAGCCCACGGAAGATGATGGCACGACGATGACGACTAAAGAGCTGAAGAGAAAGTTTGAGCAGTCCGAGGCAGAGGTTGAAAATTTGCGAAATAACTTTGGGCCTAGGATGGAAAAGCGTTTAGCGAAGGAGCGGGCGTCCTGGGAGATGGAGGAGGCTCAGGCGCTACGCTTGGTCCGCGTCCAAGTTGAGGAACTACTCCTCGAAAACCAAGCTTATCAAGAACGAGAGTCTCAACTGGTCGTTCTTATCCAACGTTTGGACCAGGAGTTTCTACGGCAGAGGTCTCAAATCGAAATGTTGACCAAGACTTCGACTCAATTACAGCAATCATTACAGATATCGAAATCACCTCGGTCAATAAGTGGACCCCCAGAATCAACAAATATAAAGAAAGTTGCAGTCGCTGCGACACAAACGTCACTTTCTTCGCCAATTCTTCACCATCATGACGAACAGGGGTCGGTTATCGAATCCACTCGTGCACAAGTGATGCAACTGCAACGTCAGAATTTAGAAATGCAAAAGACTGAGAGGGAATCGTTGGAGAGAGTGGACATGCTTCAAAAGAGGATAAGACAACTCGAGTCTTTGAACTTTGCGTTACAAAAGCAGCATCAAGAACTTTACACAAAATATGATAAAGAAACCAAAGAAAAGAGTGGACGTGGTGACAATAAGGCAACACTACTCAAATCTTTCCATAGTCCAGGAAGAATGGTTGACCGGAACCCAGAAGAAGTGAAAGTGAAAGCCTTCTCTGAAGTGAAAGCTGTCTCTCCTCCTCCAACAATGACGACGACAACAAATTGGGACATTGGAAAAGTTCAAGATTTTAGCGAGGAAGGCAGAATAGTGAATGACAAGAGGAAGGATTTGCAGATCTTGAGGCTGACCCAGGACGTAGAACGCTTACGTGACATACAGCACAAATTGTTGGAGGTTATTCAAGAACAATCTGTCATCAGTTCAAAGTGGAAACTAGAGTTTAAGCAATTGGCCAAAGCAACCTTGTCGTCAACATCGTAACCTTTTTCACACAGAGTTTTACAATAATTACTAAAATTAGAAGTTTATTAATAAACCGTTTTATTAATAAATTAGTATGTATGAAAAATTATCGCAGCCCAATTTTCTCATCTCAGAACTCGATCATAATTTTTGACATGCAAACATATCGCAAACGATATGTTAACTTTGAATGAAAATAAACATCAAAATGTAATAAATTTAACAATTGAAATGAAATTGATCTAGAACGCTCTAATACAACGTAGAGAATTCAAGTTCAAGGAATTCGTATTCAAGTTTATAATAGGAATTTTTATCTGCATAAAATCCCAACGTAAACAATAAATTAAAAGCAGCGACACTGATAGGTCTATCAGTCTCTAGATAACATGCATATCAAAAGATAAGCCACCGCTATTTGTTTTCGTAGGGGCCGTACATAAAGCATGTGTTGATTTTCGAAGAATTTTGACCTTTGTCCCCCTGGTTTGACCTATAAGCCTTATGTTATTGGAAGAATAGGACGCCATGTCCCCTGCCCCCCTCAAATCGAATACATGCTTTTCGCACGGTCCGTAATTAATTGTCTAGCATTGCATTGAAAGTTCAGCCTGCTCCGGAAACCGGGAGTTTTCGTAGTCTCTTCTCGCTCTGATTTTAAGAAAATCCCTTTTCCCTCAAACTTTTTTTGAAATACGTCTTTTTCGAAAGTTTTATAAAATTGTGAACCATTTAAACTAATCTAGATAAGGCAAAAGCTGCAATAACGTGGTAATAATATCGTGACCTTTTTTATCAAGCAATATTACTCAACGAGTGGTGAGGAAAAAGTTTAGAGTGGATTTTTATTCAAGAAATTCAGAAATTGTGATAATTACTTACCCACCAATTAATTAAAGTGAATTTAAAATATGGAGATGATGGAACTTGAAGACGGTGGTGCAAATCGGGGGCGAAAGTTTTCCTCGGTTGTGGTTACCGGTAGTAATAGTACCGATGTGAATGAAAACGAGAAGATATGCTCATGGAAAAAGTTGACTTATTCCGTCGTCAAGTGTTCCAGCTACAGCTCGTCGTATTATCCAGAGTTAGTTTACTAGTTGTGTTTGTAATGATAATTTAATAGTGGGGATGAATTTAATATAACGTGTATACTTTAACTCCAGGAACGTTCTCGATGACAAGCCGAAAGATCAAACTTCACGATGGTCATCTGATTCGAATACGCCTCCGCAGGTGGGTTTATATTTTGTAAATATTAAGTTTGAGTTTTATAGTTGTTTAATGATGTCAAATTCTCTTACAGTACCTCCTCTTAAAGTTACAACGAGCTGCTATCGTTCGGTCCATTACGTTTGGAAAGTATGAGAAGAATCACGTCTGCAACTTGAAAAAGTTTCGAGTTGATGGTGGACTTTCGGAGGAGAGTATGGTCGAGTTGTTGGAGAGGTACACTAATTAATGACAATTATTTAATAATCAATCAAGTACTGATTGAGTATATTCCATTTTCAGCGGATTAAAAAATGACAACAACCCGGAAACATTTCCACTAAAGTATGAAGTCAACAACCGCCCGTATCCTTGCCGTTTCATAAAAATAATCCCTCTCCAATCGTGGGGCCCTTCGTTTAACTTTTCAATTTGGTACGTCGGGCTCAACGGGATTGACAAGTTAGCAACTGTACAACCCTCTGTGGAACAGTTCATTGCGGTAAATAATGTGTTTTATACATTTATTAATATTTCTGAAAATAACTAATTTTCTACTCTTCTTCTTGACAGTATCGTGAACGGGAAGCGATTCGCGTTTGCCTGAAACATCTCCGCGATCATAATCACATCGAAGCATTTGAATCTTTGCAAAAGAAGACGAAAATCCAACTAGAACATCCCCTCATGACGCATTTATACAACACACTCGTCCTTTCTGGCGACTACGTTGGAGCGGAGAATTTCATCGACCAGTCTGTGCGAGACGGCCTCTTCCAGGAGTTTATTTCTCTTCAGGATTACAAACCCATTTGGTTAGACATTTGAATTAAATATTATTTCTACTTTAATTTCCTTATGCCGAAATTAATTTATTTTGTTTATTTGTAGGTTTCCTCTGGGATTAGACTCTCCTGATGTAAGTTGTAATGACTCTCCCGTTTTATCTCGACCTGGTATGCGGGGCGGGCATCAGATGTGTGTCGACTCCTCGACAGGAATAATTTATCTGTTTGGTGGGTGGGATGGAAATCAAGACTTAGCAGACTTTTGGGCGTATAGTATTTCAGATGGGAGTTGGACTTTGCTTAGTGAAAATACGGAGAATGAGGTACAGGAGTTAAACTTCCAATGTTCGTATTTATTTAGTGTGTCCTGTTACTGATAATATTGTTTCAATCATATGGATATAGGGCGGCCCGAGCCCGAGGTCGTGTCACAAATTGTTGCTTAATCCTGTTCGTCGCCAAATATTTACCCTTGGGCGGTATCTCGACGGACAGTGTCGGCCTCATGAGAATATGGTTAAGGTAATGGTCAAAAGAAAGAATCATTAAAACTAGTTCAATATAAATTCTAGTATAAAATTACAATAAAATCCTTCAAATTCCAGAGCGATTTTTACGTCTACGACATCGAAACCAATAAATGGACTCTGATAACTGAAGATACAGCTTCGATGGGTGGACCCGAGTTGCTGTTTGATCATCAACTCTGTATCGACGACGAAAAGGAGATCATTTATGTGTTTGGGGGCCGAATCCAATCCGATAGGGGCATGTAAGTTGCTATCATTTAATTGTGTATATAAAATTGCATATTAATAATTTAATTTAATTCTGATCCAGTTTACTCGAATCTCTCAACGCCAGTTTGAATCACCAAGCCGCAAGGATGGGCGTAGCCATTGATCGAAACGAAGATAGAAACTACTTTCCTATTATGAATCGTGAGAACAATCCGCAGGACCGAATGGCAGCGGCAGCGGACAACCTTCTTGCGCACATGAGAAACGTTGGCGTGCAGGTGAAGATTGTTTATGTCAAATACTTACTGTGATCATTTGGTTAATAATATTAACCCAACTAGATATTTGACGGGCAGAATATCAACATTGACGCTCCTATTCAACGAAGAGGTTTTCCTGGGGGCGACGCTCGGGCAAGGATTCTACGTGACGATCGCGAACCCCAAATGATGGACGTTCCCCGCGCCGTGGCGGGGGAAATGGAGGCCAACAACGTTCCTCCCCCAGCTGCGCATGGTGGTGTGGGTGGTGTCCCTGCTGGAGGGGGTAATAATCCAAGTTCATTATCATCTGCCAACTCTGAACTTTTGTACTCTGGGATGTACGCATACCATATTCCGACCAATACGTGGTCGTTGTTGAGATGTGACGTTTCTACACCAAAACCGGGGGTTCAGTCAATCCGAAGTAGGGTAGGACATTCAATGTGAGTGACAAATTTTACAACTACGAAGTGGGCAATTTATGGGTACTTGAATTAAATGCTGACGTATTTTTGTGTAGGTTGTTCCATCCTGGGTTGAGGAAACTATATATATTTGCAGGACAGAGGTCGAAAGAGTATTTGAAAGATTTTTTCTCATATAATGTCGACATGGACGAGCTTGAAATAATATCGGATGGTCAACGAAAAGGAGAGTGTAATTGGCCTGGTGCAGGATTCACACAAAGAGCGACGATCGACCAAGATTTGAATGAGATTTATGTTTTTTCGGTAAAACTAATGTCGTTACTTTGTTAGTTGGTGGCACTAACAAAACTTGGTGACTAATTTTAAATGTGTAATTATACGTGCAGGGGCTTTCAAGAGATAAGGACAAAAGAGATGAAAGCGTGCAAAATTCGTTTTGGGTCTTTAACATTATAAGAAAATCGTGGTCTTGCATTTACCGAAATGATACCGGAGGAGATATGAATTGGTTTAGTCAAACTGTGGAGCCGTGTCCGAGATTTGCGCATCAATTGGTTTACGATGACAATGCAAAGGTAAATATGTATAATCGTGAATCATACATCTCAAGAGGTTATATAGTAGCTCAAGTTAACAATTTGAATAATTTCAGTTGCATTACTTATTTGGCGGAAATCCTGGGCGAACCAAGGATCCAAAATTACGTGAGTTGTAATTTACAACTTGACTAGTCAAACAAATATGAAATACTAATTGTTTGATTTCTAGGGTTGGACGATTTTTGGAGTTTAAAACTGATCCGACCCACGGCAGACGAACTTTTAAAGAAATGTAAACTGCTCCTGCGAAATCAAAAGTTTGAAGAGTTGGCCTCCAAAGACTCGCTAAATGCTCTCATCTACCTGCAAACCTCCCTCTCTGAACTAATCGATCATGAAGACATAGAACAGACAAATGAAGTACGAGGTTTTTATACATTTCAAGAGAAAATGATAAAAACTCAAACAAAATCATAAATCAGCTAACTAATGAACTAAATATAATTAACTAGTTTCAACGTCTCACCCTCCTGCTTTTCCCGAAGGACGAATCCACGAGAAAACTGCCTTTCGATGACTCTGAAGAATTCCACTTCCTCCATCGGACCAAGGATGAAGAGCAAATCTTTAAACGGAGCAAACTATTTGACAGGTAATAATGTATACTATTTTAGCTTAGAACATTTGTTTATCTTTAATGATTATTAAAATTAAATAATTATTGCGTTGCAGCCTTGTCCAGTACTTCCCCGTATTCATGACGCAGCCGAGAGTAAACCTTGTCAATCTGCTTCCTATTTAAATTTAGAAAAAGACTTGCTGTACTAATTCATTACTGATCTACTTAACATTTTCAATTTGAGCGTAATTATGTATGCCAAAGGCCACTTTGATTTTAGTTTTTATGATAATACATTCAATTATATAAGGAGCACATTTTTTTCGCTTGGCTGGTTGCAAACTATAATCACAAATTTCTACCAAAGGTTTAACATCACAACGCTGATTAAGATAATTTAAATATGACTGATTAGTGATTACATTATTAAGAATAAGTAAGACGACACGGGTAAACACCTGTCGTAAAGGCTAAATATCTGTTTAATTATTATGATCCAATCACCTATTATATAATTATATATAAGAGCAAGACTGAGCGTTATTATTTATTAAGCTATGTCACATATGGTTATATAAGAGGTTATGAAACAGGAAACATGAAACCAATGTGTGCTATTTAATAACAGTATCAAAAAGTATGTCTATCAGAAATGGAAAGGAAATGATATTCACAATTTAATATGTAAACCAAGCCAAGATGAGTCTCATTACCCAAAAATTGTAGTAATTTTGGGCAAAATATAATTTTATTCCGAAACTAAGCTACTTATTATGATTTGATCAGATGTGATAAGAAAATAGTTAATTTAATTTATCCTAATTTAATGTATTTACTAATTATAACGAAACATTCTATTATAAAATTATAAAGTGAAAATGGGTACAAATTTGTCATTATCCTGTCTTAATTTATGTCCTGTATTGAAAAATATCTTAATTAATCATGCATCGTGTGTGTGTTTAAACTTTTCATGAAATTCCTGTATTATTACATTATAACGAGAAAATTTGAAGAAAAGACAATTAAATAACAGACTTGCATTTAAAGGCGAGCACAAAATGATAAATAGACTTGAATAAAATCAACGCGCAATAATACCAACCCAATTACCCGTACTTATTTATTTATGTAAAAAACATCAGTATTTATAACTTCACACCGAATTGTCTGAACCAGATGCATACACAATTACATATTTAGTTTTTATTTTTACGCGAGCGTTTACAAGGTGCTGCAATTTGGTTCCGTGAAATGCGACATTAAACAAGAAATGCTTTGTTGTCAATCTTTACTATACCGAGGCATACATAATTATGTCTTGAAATTAGTGTCACAATTTTTTTACCCTCTTTTTTCGTAAAGTTCTGCATAGGCAAGCTTTCCCAGTGTATTTAGATTCTGTTGTGCGATGGATTTTTGGTGGAGATTTCGACTCGGTATTTTTTACCCTGATATTCATATCATCATCGTGATCTCTCTCTACCGTAATGTTGAATGGATTACTTACTTGCATAGGAAAACAAAGTGCAGGATTATAAAGGAAATCTTCATCTCCTTCCGACCTATCTGACTAAAGTTAGTAGTAGGTGAATCGGTCTGTAAATACAGAATTTGCCACGGTAGAGAACTACGGTAAAATACAGAAAAGTGCAGTGGAACTAAGGTTTGCTTTGCTATGTTATAGCGAGTATTTTACCGTGCTTGATGTACGTAAAGTGAGGAGATGTGATGTGAATGAATCCCATTTCTCGTTTTATTTTACGTTATTACAGAGACAGACATAGAATCAAGTAGACTCGTTAGTTCTTCTTTAATGATGGTGATGAGAGAGGATTCGGTAATGTGGTATTTAAAATGGCAGAATTTTTTACATTTGAACTGAATCTGACTAAACGTTAAATGAAATTGGTGAGATGGATAGAATTTAGTTTTTGACGAATGTTATTTTAATCTTTGTGTAAGTGTAAATCGGTAAAGAAAAGTGCAGAGTTTTATTATCGGAGTGAAAATGTGACATTTTATTTGTGTTAAGAAATGTGTGTGAAATGGAATGGAACTTTCACCCAGTAAGGTAATTTAAATGATTACCGATTTGTGCTACATTTTAACGACATTTTGACTATTTGTTTGATGAATTTTGAATTGTTATAGTACAACCAGATTTAAAATGGATGTTAAAAATGAATTTGATTTGGGCAGGATAAGGCAATATAACGGATCTGATTAAGCAAACTAGTGCAATAAACGACCCGGTGGTGGTGACCTGTTGAGGCACACCCACCCATCTTCACCCACAATAATGTCTTCTTCTAAAGTGGAAGAATTGGAATTAGAAATTTCCCGACTGACCCGAGAACTTGACCAAACGTACGAATTTATATTTAACTAAATAAATAATGACACATTAATATTCTCATTGGACCATTATATTGAACAGTCAATCAGAAAAGGTCCAGGCAGCCGAATATGGGATAAATTTACTCGAAGAAAATTCCAAATTATCTTCCAGACTTGGTGACTTGGAGGACTTGTATGAGGTACATAATTTTTTTTAAATATTGCAAAATATTCGCGAATAATTTGCACATTAAGATGAAAAATTAATCCGTATGACTAATTGCATGGAAAACATCCAGGTAACCAAGAATGAGCTCGAGATAATGAAAGATGCCTTATCAAAGACAACGCAAACACATAAAATCACGGAAAAATCGGGTATTCAGCATGAAGAAAGTTTGCTCTCAGAAACGGCAGCGTTGGAATGTTCACTCACGACACAAATTACTAATTATGAGGGTGAACTGAGGCTTACCAAACAAGAACTTGGTAATAAAAATAATCCATTCATTTGAAAATACATATCTTTCAAAAAATTTTATACAAATTTGTCCCCCGAATTTCCAGAACGATTAAAAGCAGAACGTGACCGGCTAATCACGGAAACTTCTGAACTTCAAACGGAGGGTGAACTCACTCACACGGAACGATCCGCGTTAAAACGAGAACTTAAAGAAATCAAGTCTCGTGAAGGTGTGGACGATGTTAATTCTACTTCATAATTGAGCAATTAACTAATTATTTACTTTCTTTTTAAACGACATCAGGTCGTCTCTTGAAGGACTACTCTGAATTAGAAGACGAGAATTTAATGCTTCAGAAACAAGTCTCCTCCCTTCGCTCGTCTCAGGTCGAGTTTGAATCTGCAAAACATGAGATTTCTCAACTCATGGAGACCGAGGTCGAACTTCTCCGTCAAGTCGAAGAGCTCGCTGCGTTAAAACGTATCGCGGAAAAACAATTGGAAGAAGCCCTCGAAGCGTTGCAGGTAGAGCGTGAAAATCGCTACTGCCTCAAAAAAGAGTTGGACGCCAAGATTAATTCGGAATCCATCATGAACCTGTCCAACCTTGCGTTGAGTTTGAGAGGTGAGAAAATTCGCATAGTTCAAATTTAAACTGGAGATAGGACAATAAACATTAGCTAAGTGCATATTTACTTGTTAAAACGGGTGAAAGTTGGTATAAATTTTAAATGAGAGACTACTCTGCTATTTAAGTATGTATAATTTACAAATATTTCATTCTACGATTTTGTAAATTTTCTTCAATTAGGATTAGTATCACGAAATCCTTTCCTTTTTTCTCTCAAGTCTTCGTACCTATCTTCGTGATTACTCAATTGCAAATCTTCTGCAAAAATATTGCTTGGCTGCAAGCCTGTACATTTTTTGAATTGTCGATTTTTGCTTGTCTGAACCAAAATTAGTGATGGTAATAATTTTCCAATTATTAAAATTCCAACGAGACAAGTGTACGAAGCGACTCAATTGTAACTAAATATCTAAACAGATATCTTTCACCCCGAATGATATACATAATTCCTGAAAAAATTATGTAAATTAAAAAAAATTCTTGCATTCTCCAGGCGGCGTGCACGATGAAATGAACGACTCTGACAGTGAGAATGACGATAAGATGGTATCCTCCATGTCGCACGACTCCACTCCCGGCGGTGGGGAAAAGCAGGTCGACCTCTTCTCTGAAATCCATCTCAACCAAATGAAGAAACTCGAGGGCGAGAGGAACTCTCTGACCAAAAGTCTTAAAGAAATCCAAGATTTGTCCGACAAGAGCAAAGGTCAAGTCGTCCTCCTTCAAGCTGCCCTCACCACGATCGTGTCACATATCGATGCTCTCAATTCGCTGAAGGAGAAAACTAGTCAGAAAATGGTGGACGGTAAAACTCCAAAGGTATTTAGCGTTCTATTAAATATTGAAAATTCCGTTGAAAATGAGAATTCACTAATTTTTTTTTACTCCTACAGCTCTCCACCTACGAAGGTTGGTACACAATTTCCGCTAAGGAAATCTCCCAGCTAAAGGCGTCCCTCGAAGCGTTGGAGAAAGCGGACTCGTCGCTTATTGCGGATGTAGCCGCCGTTCTAAAATCTGAGATGACGAGCATGAAGGAAAAACTCCTTTCTTCTGAAATGACGATTCAAGAATTCGAAATTGACCTCAGATCCATGGACGAGGCTGCCGCGGATGCTCACAAAACACTCGATTCGACCCAGTCAGATTTGAACATGGTTTCCGAAGAGTTGGCTAATCTTTACTATAAAGTGTGCAATGTGCAAGGCGTAACGCCGCAAAGGGTCATGTTAGAACATATGGATAAAGGTGAGAATTTGCAAATTGTTCTAGCTTTTACCAACTTTTTGTATCTAATTCTTGGGAAATATTTTGTATACTTTCAGACGGAAAGATAAACTCTCCAGCTAAATCGATGGGCTTTCAAGGCAACAACTTTCTCCAAGGTTTGCTGGGTAGATTGCGTCCTAAAAATCAATCCCCGTCCGGAAATTGGGAGGGCGATTTGACATTCACGAAACAAGTGGAAACCATTTCAGACCAGGTATGCATAAACTTAACGAAATACCTCAACAATTTATTTCATTGTGTTCCAATTCACAGGTCAAAACGCTACGTGACACCGTTCTAACTGCCGTTGCTGCGGGTCGTGCCGCTATTGAGGCGCATGGTAACTTTAAAATGAAAAATAGCAGAATAATTTTATTTTTGCACAAGATTTTAAGCAAAACTTGCCCTTTTCCGCAGTCGTCACTCCAGGCATGGACAGCGGATATGAAAGTATCGGTACCCCATCCATGGAAGAGCTTCAAAAGCAGATTTGCGAATACAGATCGGTAAAATTTCATTGGCTAAAGTCAAATTGTGCAATAAATTGCATATGCATTATACAAACCGTACACTTAAATATGCACATATTTTCTAGCTTGTCGAGGCAAAAACTGAGCAGAATTCTGCCCTCAGAAGTGTCCTAAAAGCAAATAAAGCCGCCGCGGAGAAAGCATTGTCAAACTTGAAGGGAAAATACGACGCTGAGAAGACCATCGTGTCAGAAACCATGGTCAAATTAAGGAACGAGTTGCGACTCTTGAAAGAAGATGCGGCCACATTTTCCAGTAATTTTTTTATCCTAACTTTACTCAAAATTTTTATTCAAATTCTAAAAATTCGAATTATTTATTTTTACTCAGCACTTCGAGGTAAGATTTATTCCATTTTTTTCATCAATAACTACATATGTCTAACTACAATAATTCATCTATACAACTAAAAACGAATTCCCGACAAGTTACTATTTAATTTAATAAGGTTCTTCTCTTTCCCATCGCAACAATTCAATCTTTTGTTTGAGATCAGCCTTTCTTTGCTGAAGAGTATTGATCTGAGAATCGACGTCAGATAATTCCATCTCGAGATCTTCCAATTCGTCCCTCGAGCTGAGTATTTCACTCTAAAAAATACATACATCTAATTAACGCAATGCATATCAATTATTTTAATGGATAATTATAAATCTTACGGGATCTCTTTTACGGAACTTGCTCGTCCACCATACTTCCTCTCTAGAAACAAACCCTTCCAATTGTGGCAATGTCTCGAGGTGATCCAAAATTTCAGTGAGGAAAGGGTTCACTTTTTCATGAGCACGATTATTGGAGATCTAATTTTAAAGTATCGGACTGTAATATTATGACTGAATGTTCATGATAATGTTTATAAAATTATTTACCGAGCCAGCTACATTTATAATGTGTCGTCTAATCTTCTGTTTCACGTTATTCATGGAGTGGTTGGACTTGCCAGGTCCAAACGAAAATTTAGCCATGGGTTTCAATCCCATTTGTTGCAATTCCTTACTAAATAGAAAACATTTGCATACAACGAGAAAGTAAAGTTTTCGGAAATAATAACGTAAATTTATGTTTTGCATACATATCTGAACACTGCTGACGACTAATTATCCGCTTTATTGAAGCATATTTGATTGATAACCAATCTGTCCTTCCAACCGCATATGCAACCACACGGGATGGCGTCACATTTTCCTCTGTGTAGGTCATGTCGTCAGTCCAAGGCATAAAAGTATTTTGGTGGGCGTAGTCGCTGACGTCGGATAATTTTGCATGAGAGTGGATTTTGTTGTGCATATCCGTCTCATGTTTGTTTTTTGCTCGTTCAGTTGCGAAAACACAGGAACAAAATCTATGAAAAGAGGAAACAAATTAGCATGTAAAATATGTATGCAGTTACATAAAATATAAAATAATTCCTCTCACGAGCATTGAACTATATTCTCTGGATTATGGCGTGTATTCATATGTCTGGATCGGTCTGATGCAAGCAAAATGTGTCCACATTTTTTACATGCTCTTCATTTTCTTCACCAATTTTGCACGATCCGCTTCACATCTCGCAACTCTTTCATTCTCTAATCCTGTACATGCCATATAAAAGTACTTTGGCTTATTCACTTTCATATCATTTTATTATATGCATGCATACTTTTAAAAAACTCTCCGTCAATTATGCAGTCCTGTGGCTCATCATCAGATTCGTCATCATCATCATCAGAGTTGTCGTCATCATCATCATCATGAGGTGGTGGTGGTGAAGGGGGTGTGACTTCTCGTCTCTTTTTACGAGGTGTAACCTCTTCAGGGGAAGAACTTTTAACTTTTGACCGTGTGGTGGGGGCCATTGTAAACTGGGGTCACTTTACTCAGACCGTGCAGTTTTTAGAAATAGACAGAATTAAATCACACATATATTATTGTTGTTGACTGTTGATAAGCCACGAAGCGATAAACTATAAATCTAAAAACAAACCACAAATTAAAATTAATAACTCTGAGGATGAAATGCAATAACAAGAGTTGAACATACGGGGAGAGTAGAAGGTAGTAAGCGATAAGAGTTTTGAGTTCCGAGTCCTACGCATACCCAACAAATCCCTCGTGAATAAATTAAAATGACGATGACTTGAGATTTTTCGCACAGCAATGTTCGCCGCACGATGTGAAGAATACAGCTCCCAAGTGGACGAGCTGCAGCGTCAACTCACCGCCGCGGAGGAGGAGAAGAAAACGTTAAATCAACTTTTAAAGTTGGCCGTGCAACAAAAACTCGAACTAAATCAGAGATTGGAAGCGATTGAGTTGGACCGTGAAATGAAGTTGCACTCGAGACGACACCCAGCAGGGAGACAGATTGGGACTGGGTTAGGACCCGCGACAGGGCCCAAGACCGGTGGCTTTGGGAGCCCTCGACATCACGTCAGCAGATAATGATCAATCACGAGCATAATTTGTAAATGGAGAACTTTAGTACTTATTAAAAGAAACAAAAACTGCTTCATAATTGGCGACGAGATGTCATCGTCACTTAAAAGGTCATAGGTCACGCAGCTATATACTGAAAAATCTGGTTGTTTATCTAGCTAGCAAGCTTGTGCCGTCCACTGCGATCTTCCATGATGTGAAATGTCTCAAGTTTCTCAAATTTCTCTCAACTTTCTTTTTAATTTTTACATAATGACGAAATTTTTTGCAAATTTGCAAACTTACTGCCCACAGGAATTTCTCCATATACTAAAAAAACTGCTAAATGTGATATCGAATTCGTATTCATTTGAAATCTCAAATATTTATCCTGTTTTTACCCATACACAATTTTATTTACATTTTTTTGCACACCAAATATCAAATTTTAACACTTTTAAATTTTTGACATAGTGTGATAGATTTTGTATTCTTTGTATCAAATCGTCTGCTACTAGTGATAATTCAAATGCTATAATTAATTATGTAATTGGAGAAGGTAAAATTATGAAATAAATACAGCAATCAGCCAAATATAAAATATATCACTCATTCATAATTGTTTGCATGCAGTAAATCATGAATCATGAATTGATGCAAAAAGCCCATTCCATATTTGCATTGTGCTGTAACACAGTGATTGTCGGTAGTTGAGACAATGGTGCATTTATTTTTCCGGAATTAATAAATTGACTTACTTAGGATTAATATAATTGCATATAATTCCTGGTTTTTCCCCACCGGATTTTTCAATTGTCTGCCCAGACAGTAATTTCACAAAAATCGCTTCTCGTGCATTCACCTTCGACCATTTGTGGCAGATTTTTTTAAACTGTTAAGTATGGGATTTGACTCAATAACCTGTAATAAACTTGTCTGGTGCACTCTGATAATTGCACTCTGGACGTGCACATTGGAAGGATCGGGACACCTGATGTCTTCCGAAGGATTGCTTCCCCCTCCAAAAACACTCTTGGAAGACCCCTTGATAACACATCAAAGGACTTTGGTGGGAGGAGGACCTTCAAATCAGTATCAAAGGTCGCTCGCCAGTTTGGATCGTCCCGTCATGGGAAATTTCGAGAATAGTTCCCTCAAGGTAATCTCTCTAGTACACGAAATGCATACTTACAAAATTTTTTTTCCATTTCATAAAGTGTGTTTCATTAGATTGTAATTTAGTTTATTGATCAGAGTTAACCAGCCATTTTTATATTGCAATTAAATCGTAGTCAAACGTATAATTAAATGCGTTTAAAAGTATTGTGTAATCCTATTGCGTCATATCGACGCCAAATTGTATAACTGCTGGTACTGAATAATAAAATTGCGTTCGAAGTAAGCTGTAAATCAAATAACTTAAATTTCAAAGACAAAATTAGTGTGAAGTGTTTTTTTAATTCCTTCCTTTCTGCTCAGATAATGGAGGACGTCAAGGCCGGATTACGATACCTCTTCCAAACAGAGAACAAATGGACGCTTGCCCTGAGCGGGGGTGGCTCATTGGCGATGGACATAATCCTCGACAACCTTGTCGAACCAGGGGATGTCGTTCTTATCCCGACATTTGGTCTGTGGGGGGTCCGAGCAGCGGATATCGTGGAAAGATATGGTGGAATTCCAAAGAAAATTGAGGCTGCTCTGGGCTCTGCTTTCTCCTTGAAAGAAATCGAAGATGGGATCGTGACGTATAAACCTGCCGTCGTTTACATTACGAATGGTGAATCCAGTACCGGAGTTCATCAAAGTTTACAAGGTGTTGGCGAACTATGTCGAAAGTGTGTAAAAAAATAATGCCATATGTATGTAAACTAGAAATCTCAATTTCCCCCCAAATTTGTTCAGACACTACTGCCTCCTCGTTGTCGACCTTGTCGCCACAATTGGCGTAATCCCGTTCCACATGGACTCTTGGAAAGTGGATGCTGTATTTTCCAATACGCAAAAAGCTCTAGGTTCTCCCACCGGGATGGCGCCGATAAGTTACGGGACGCGTTCTATGTATGAAATTCGGTTAAGATTCTTTCATGAAAATATTTAATGGTTACATAAATTTTCTTATTAGAGAAAAAATTACATCACGAAAAACAAAGCCAAAATCTTACTTTGCTGACTTGAAAAATAACTGGATTCGTAACAACTATTGGGGAATTAGTGACCCCGGTGCGGCACAAACGTTCCACTCGAGTTATCCGATCTTGCAGATTTACGCGTTACGAGAAGCGCTCGCATCCATCGCGACAGAGGGTTTGGCGCACGGCTGGGCGCGACATTTCGACGCTACGGCGAAACTTTATACCGCGATTGACAACATGACGACCATTGAAGGAGGATCAGGCGTCACATATTTTGTGTCGAGGGCTGAACATCGGCTCACCGGCACGGTCGCGCTCCTCCCTCCGAAAGGCCTGGATCCGAAAGAATTGATGAATCTGATAAGACAAATGTGTGGAATTATTTATAAACAAAAAATTATTCACAAAAATTATGAACGTTTCTAACACAGGTACAGCATCGAAATTAATATCGGGATTGGACCAATGACTGGGAAAATCATCCGTATCGGTGTGCTCGGACCCAACGCTCGACCCGATATTGTGGATGAAATCGTATCCGCGATAAAGTATGGATTGAAAAATTTGAAGAAATAATAAAAATTTGGCACAGTTTCTGATTTTGTGGGTGTAAAATAAAATTTTGACATTTTTGATAAACTTCAGCCTCGTTTTAGTTTAATTTAAATTTAGTAAATTATGTGCAACATTTTTCAGATTTTAACAGCAGAGCAACGGGTGAATAAGATGTTTCAGTTTATCTTCTTGCAATCATTTTCATAAAAATTTAGACCATTTAGACCTGAGCCATTTATAAAATTGTTTCGCCATGAATTATTAAAGAATTGGAAGTATTATTAGTTGAAAATTTCGGATCGATAATTTATTTCATCATAGAAATGGTATAATTTTTGTAAGTTCTTTCTTTATAAATAAAAATGCATAAGGACATTTAGTGTTTCTTTCCCGCAGATTCGGCGTTCTTGTAAATGATGTCGAGGGCTTTCTGGATAGCCTGCAATTACACAAAAAATATCACAATTAGTGTCCAATTTTACCCAATTTTTGTGCCAAACTTTTACCTCTGGGATTGGTGGGGAGGTTGGCAAATGCTTGCCCTGAGAAATTAATAAAATATATGTTAATGATAATTTGCCTGTTCACATTTTCATACTAAATAAAAGGTCTTACAGTTGGCTGGAATCCATGTTCGTCCTAATTTCGAAAAGAATAATTATTAGTTCACATAACTGCATTTCCAGAAATTAAATATTAACTTACAGCGACGTATTGGAGTTCGATAAGCTCTCCTTCCGGGGAAGTGTACGAGTACGATCCGGAAATGGAGATGCCTTTCTCCTCTCCGATCTGCTTCAAGAATCCAGACTGCTCCTGCTTCTGACCGTCGCTGAGCTCGCTGACCCAGGAGAATTTCTCCCCATCATTTTCGAACTCGGACCGAGTAACGGTCACTTCCTGTTGGGGACGAGCGACGGCGACGCCAACGATGGCGACAAGGGCGAGAGCGACCTGGGTAAAGTTAAAATTTCTGAAATTTCCCTACATACTTGATGATTTTTTGGATGCTAGACACTTACGAATTTCATGTTTAACTTGTTTTTTTCTAGTAATTGACTAGATTGACTGATAAATGTGTGACTGATAAATTGACCAAGAATCCCAAATCTTTTTATACTCTGTAGTAAACCCAACTATTTTGTAGAATGGGATGCTGATGACCTTAACTTTATCTTTGTAGGAATATGGAATCCCATTAAGTAAGAAGATGCATTTGTTAACAGAGATTGGTTATGTATTTATACATACATACATTATATTTGTTTAGTTAGGTTATTATTATTATGCAGTTGCATTTCGTGTCATGTTGGTAACTTGAGGAGAAATATTTTTATTATGCATAATAATCTGCAGAAGGTGTACATACGTAAATATGTACGTGGGTGATCTTTTCAGCAATAATATCTTGTTTGTAGACGTTTAATTATTATTATTTGTTTAAAAAATAATAGTGTGGATTGATAGTTGGATGGATGGATGGATGGATTATATGTCGGCCGGCTTATGTACTTGTATGCATATGTACCAGTGGTTGTTGACTTTTGGCATAAAATTAAGTTATTGGACTTGTTGAGAATGAAAATTTATGGAGAGGTCGCTAATTATTGAGGTACATTTGTATTTTGGGGTGTAAAAGTGTAAGTCCCAATTATCGTTGCATATTTACAAGTGCAAGTGGGGATTAAGGTGGTTTATGAAATTATAGAGTAGTTTGTTTACTATAGTTGTGTAAAACATTATGTCGATCTTGTCTGTATTCAATAGATTTATATTCGTAAAATTCAAATACTCAATTTCCAAAAAATGTGACGGTTTCGCCGTGAAAAGGCTGAATATTTCAAGACCTTCGATGCTACAATCAGAAAAATGGCGATGGAACCGGCATTTATGCAGAATCCTGGTAATAATACAGTGAAAACTTTAGCATTTGTATGAAAATTATTACAGACATTATTACAGAAATAATCACAGAAATACAGGAAGTATTAAATACAAATTATTTATTTAAAAAATTATTTAATTGCATTCAATTATACTATTATAATTTACAATTTATTTCTTCCTAAGTTTTCATCCATATATAAGATTTAGTCTCCTAAATAAGATTGGATTATTGCACGTAATCAGTACATTCAACTTTTTCAGTGAAACCAATTAATCATTTAATTACAAAACTGAATAAAGCGTGCCTGCAGTTGTCACCAGGTAGGATGAAAAATTGCCAATTCCTTCTTGCCTGCCGCCGTGCATGTTAAGTGATGAAAATTAGTCTCGTAATACTATAATTAAAATATCTACTATTGAAGTCGCATCCTTCACGTAATTAAGTTTATAGCTCTTTTTTTGCTGCATGTGGAATCTTCTATTTTTATCACCCAACTAAATTTAACATTGCTGGACCAGATTGAGGTGAACCACAGAAGATGATGGGCAATTAAAAGAATCTCAACTATCATAATTTGACTTTTTAAATTACTGGCATGCAAATTATTATAATACAAAAATATAACAAATATTTAACTACAACCATCAAGATTGAATTGTATAACTAAAAAAAACTTTGTACTTGTCTCAAAATAATCAACCTCTACTTTTTGATAATTCGTGCTTATTTGATAGGAAGGAAAAGTAAGGGAAGACGACATTACATGATCATGTTCACAAATCAAGGGCGAGTATATCGTTAAGTCGATTATTTTGTCTAACTAATCTCACTTTGTATCAGTTCGACTCATGACAATATCGTCAACAAATCTTGGCGTGTAATTATTTCTTCGGTCGTCTTCATTTCATTTTTATTATATAAGCAAATTGATTATGTAAGTGCCAACACGAACACCTACTTTGTCTCTCGTCAGTATAATTTCGTTATCAAATTCTAAGTAGGTACATATGTAAATCTTCAATATTTTTTGTAACAGTTTCCAATTTGTTGACCTTGATTGAAAATTTTTATGATGGAAAGGACAATATTCTAGATTGTGGTGGTAAATAAGGCTTGAAAAATTGCTACTTTTTCAGTTTTGAGAAAAAAATCGAGTGACAAATTCGTTGCATTTGCAGCATATCGGATTTACTTCAATATTTACACTGATAAATTACTGCAAACCTCACATTTTCTCATCTTAATGACTAATCAAATTCCGTAAAGTTAAGTAACCCAAACAATCCAAAAATACAAATAATAGTGGCAAAATCTAGTAAAATTATGCCCATTTGCGATCTAAAGGTACAAAAATCACCTCTACGACACCTCAATTTAACGTGGCGTCTGCCGTTAATACGCACATTTAAAATTCAACTTGTCAAAGGCGCAAGTACTTTGGACAACCGGCCTAAAAAAGGTTAGAAATAAATTCATACCTAGAATGTCAAGTGTCAGTATGGGCAGTTATTCAATCTTCGCAAAACGTCACAAAACAGCACGTCAGATAAGATGTTGACCGAGACACGATTAAGTATTTGGTCTCTTCTTATACAATTTTATAACATTTGTTTATTTAATTAATGTGCGTGTGCACTGGGCAGGTTGTCCCTTGATGACACAATAATACGAAGACGATTCGCGTGATAATTTCGTAAATTGCATCTCCTACGTGTGTACACCTGCACAAGTAACCAGAGACAAAAGTGCAACTGCATTTCAGGTGCAATTTCATGTACTTGGTTAGTTGTTGCTGTTAAGTGGATGTAAGAACAAGTGGTGTGAAGCTGTGAGTTCGTTCTTTGTATGGCAGGCGACAAACGAGGCAAATTAGACGGCATTTTTATCAATCGAAATGTACTTTTTTTATCCTGCAGAGTTCACAGGTGTAAATTTACAAAGAAAGATGAGCAATGAATGAATGAAGCTTAAATACGTGGAAATGTGATGGACAAAAAAGATGGTATTTTTTACGAGTTGATTTATTTGTAAATGTCAATTAATGAGCCGGTGGACACCAGATTTTTTCAATCCGAAGAACCGGACAGGTTAGTTTGCTAATGAATAGTGCTTACAGTCAATGGAACAAGTATTGGCAACACCCACACAAGCTAAATAAAATTGGCTATAACTTTGGCATGCATTATCAAATTAGCATGAAAATTTGTACGCATTTAGCAAATCCAATGTAGTGTTCGATTATAATCATGTTTCTGATTTAAATCTAGTAAACATAACACAATTCTGATTTTGACCTCAACGAATCAGATGCAAACCTGCAAAAAGTATTGGCAACATTTGGCCAAATTAATTACTCAAAACAATTTTCTTAACCATCTTCCACATTTCGTTACGGTAAGTTAATTAGGTGACAAAATATGAGGTTAGCTACATTGTAAGTCTACAGTTGTGTTGTCTGGAGCCAAAATGGCGACACCATATGAGCTGTATTTGGCGCGGCGAGAAATAATCATGTCTCTTTCACAAAAAAGCTTTACTATCGAAAAATCAAAGAGAAAACATACTTTTCCATATTTACTATTGAATAGGTAGCAAAGAAATATAAAATGACAATCTCAGTTTCTACTTTTCCATGATGCGGAAGAAAAAAGTCATCTACGCCCAAAACCTAAGGATGACTCAAGCAACGAACCACTAGAGAGCGGAAGATTTCAGCTTCCAAATCCATGTTAAATTGGAGTATCAACTGTAGGGTCAACATATCATACAATATGGTGATCAATCAAAAATTATGCCTTGGGGTTTCAGGCTCCAGAAGCCCGACCGACGCGAGAGTACCCAAAGCGAACCACCTCAATAAATCGAAATGGGCTAAATATCACCCTAAATAGAGTTCCGATCAATGAAAAAGGGCCTACTGGTCCGACATAGGCATATTTTACTTATTCGGAGCTCATTAATTGGTTCAAGTCTAGCGGATGCAATAAAAGGCTCAGAAATACTAAAACGTTCTTATGGCAGTTTAACACATAGGAGGATCGATTATAGTTTGGGGTTAAATGACCAGTTCTCGGCGTAGTTACCTGGTCACTATCGATGAAATCATGACCAGGAAGGTGTTGTCGATTATTCCAAACGATAATTTGAAATCATTTAACAAAAACCTGGCCTAGGAAAAAATTTCATATTCCAAAAATGCAGTGACCCCAAACATGTAGCAAAATTAACGATGCAAGTTTTTGGAGACCGAAAAGGTTAAGATTCTTTCGTTGGCTGCACAGTCTCCTGATGTGATTCTGATTGTCCGGGTTAAGAAAAGAGAGACCGATGGGAAACCACTAGTCGAAAAACGAACTTGTCAAAAGTTTAAAAGAACTGTGGGCAGCCATATAAAAAATCGTTATATAGAAACTTGTCGAATAAATTCCACGACCTATTTCTGCTCTTATTGGGTCGAGGGGAGGTGCCACGCAATACTAGAAGCACTTTGTCGCAGTAAAATTGGCGTTTCGTTGCTCTATGATTTTTTAAGTTAGAGGGTGCCAATACTTTTTGTGGGTTAATTTCGCAAATTTTCCATCAAATTATTCAAAAACTGCGTTAAACTAATTTTAATCAGTAAAACATGATTATAATCGAAAACTACATTAGATTTGCTAAATGCGTACAAATTTTCATGCAAATTTGATAATGCATGCCAAAGTTATAGCCAATTTTATTTAGCTTGTGTGGGTGTTGCCAATACTTGTTCCATTGACTGTATATCGTATTTAAGACACGTTTTACCGATACAAACAAATGTGGCTGAATTTCTTGGAAAATAAGTACATTCAGGATATGGTGACCATGCAGTTGGCAAAATCCAAGAGATTTACTTCTCAGAAATTCCACTATTTATTCCATCCTGGTCGGGAAAGATTAGAAGTGATGGAACATGTATTTACTCGTATAATAAACGTCATTCTCTTCTCATTTTCATTCAGGGATCAAGTTGACATTTTCTGTGTCATACAACATATTTAAAACTGCCAGTCGTCCGTGTAAAGTTGGATGGATCGGATCACAACGAATTAAATTAAAGCAACAAACCCTACCATTCAAGACAATGTCAGTTATTTCGGGATTAATTAATCTCCCCAAGTTTCCGGTGGATGTTGCAAATTGTCACTTATTATTCCCATCAATTTGCTAACAGCGTGAGCCATCGTTGCATTCGCAAGACAAAATAATCGAATTAAACTGCAGATCCGATCCCACAAGACGTAAGTGCATATTCATATATCAAACCAATCAATGTGAACCCACACGAAAATTATTTTTCATGACGAAACATAGATATTAACCAATTTGTTTATCTTGGTGCTTATATACATTCATGAAATGTGTGGTTTACTTAACGAACCGCAAGAATTACCAAGAAACAGGATAATCCACTTCGAGCTTAACTTGTCGTTCTAAATTAATAACACAAATCCATCCATTAAATCAGTTGACAGTGCGTTGCAGTGCATTCAGATAGAAATGTTAATTAATTTGTTATTTTCACTAATGAAAGAACAAGACAAGCTTTGAATTAATCTTTTTTGCAAGAACAATATAAAAAGAAACGAAATTTGGAGAAAGTTTGCAGATCTCGATTCGCAGACGAAAATAGTGTAATTTTGTTGTGCCATTTATTTTGCAAAATATATAACTCTACACTCAAATATTTACATAATATTAATATTACTGATTATTCTAATCTGATTAAAATTCAATTGACATATATCGACAGAAGAGTTTGCATGCAACTTTTATATACATACTTATTAGCATTTGTATTAAAGTGTCAATTTATTAAGGATTTACGATTATTTATTTATTTAATCACAAAGTTATTCGAGTGTGCCAAAATAACGAGTATAAAAAATATGGAAATTATTTTTATGAGTTTTTTGAGTGAATATAAAAAATAAAAAGATTATCTATATTTGACAAAATCAATTTAGCTTCAAACCTATTCGACCAAATAATAGATTCGTTAAGGGTCAAACTAATGGGTAAATATTTTAGTGAAAAAAATGACAAGAAAAATAATACCTCTAAATTAAACATTGTCAAGGTGTGGCTGTGCAAAAAAGTTGACTATGCAATATAATATGCAAATGTCGCCGCAATCTCTACCCATTTTTCATTTTGTACTCATTACTGCTCTTTTGTCGCTATTGTCCACACCACAAAATGATGCAATTCCTACTTCAGTAGTGGGGGAAATAATATCAGAAAATTTGACAGATTTTGAAAATTATAACTCAAACCTTGAGTCAATTCAGATCTCAAATTCTACCCTTCACTCCAAAATTTGTGAGTCGAATCCTACCGGAAGTTATACTGATTTAATTTGCATTCCAAAATGTTGTCCTGCTGGTCAAGTACTCGACTACGGAGGTGCAAGTTACCACATTCAGGCTCACACCATGCAACATGCAGAGCCTCGTTGCGTCCATTCCGGCGGAATAGATTGGTCACCCTCTGACCTTATCTTAACCGATAGTCAGGAAAATGATGGAATAATATACAACGATTCCATCAAATTACGAGAAAATGTCGCCGTTTTCCACAACAAGTTGATGTGCTCGCCCGGTTTGCTGTATCTCATTCATGAAAATGCTTTCTTTGATAAAGAACTTTTGGAGTTGGGTCCTGACCAAAATATTGACAGGTTATTAGAAATTAGTTAATTTTTTTATGAAAATTCGCAAACGGTAATTAAACAAATATTTTCTTTCAGATTTCACATCTTCCCCAACGGCACGATACATTCTGAATCCGGCCTAATTTTTTCTGATGATATTTGCCTCGACGGAATACAAAATTTTGTGGGGGGTGAAATCCAGTCGAATTATTCGGGTCAACATGCCGCTCACGTCGTTCTCGGGGTGTGCCTCCCAGAAGGCGTGTACGATCCGGGACCACCCACACAACTGGGAGTAATTTGGAACATAGTATTTTCGAATTTTGGTATAAATCCAATCTTCACAAAATTAATTTGGACGACAGGATGACGATGACAAGGTTCATTTCCTAATTTACTGGGTGGTCCTCCCCTTCGCCTCCCTTTTCCTGTTGGGAACCATTCTGATTTACCTCCTGATCTGGAGCACGCATAACATCCACGGTTACACCCTCTTCAGTTATGTCGTCTCTCTGTTTGGAAACTATGTCGTATTGTTCATCTCGCAAGTTGGGGTTGTGAAATATGAGACGCCGGTTTGCGCATTTGTCGGTAAATAGTATAAACGAAGGGAGATTTACAGATTTTAAGGACAGCTTCGTAGAAAAAATCTACAATTCGTATATTACAATACGAATTCTACAATTCGTAAATTACAATAAATTATTTTACATGTAGGAGTTTGCACCCATTTCTTCTTCTTGATGACAGCCGCGTGGCTTACCGTCGTAAATTTTGATGTCTTCCATACGTTCAAGTAAGAATAATGTACGATTCGAAATTAATTCCAATATTTAAATGCATATATATGTTATTCATTCCAATGTGTATGAATTTTGAACACCGTAGCATCAAATAATTTAGAAAATGAATTTTAAATTATGAAATTTAAAATCTATAGACATCTGAAAGCTGGCCGTCCATCTAAAAACTTGGGTCGGTACATGGCATATTTCGTCTTTGCTGTGGGGACGCCAGTTCTTATTGTTTTCAGTAGTGGCCTGTTGGACAATGCTTACAAGTTGGTAGACTGAAAATTTAAAAGAAAACTAGTTTATGGACGAATTTAGTTTAATTTCACTCATTAATGATTTTCAGGAACGATTCATTCGCAACATCCCCCATCATCCTCCCAAACTACCAGAGAAGCTGTGTCCTCTCCCCCCAATCGGTCGCCTTTTACCTCTACGCCCCCTTGGGAATACTCGTCTGTGCGAATCTGGTCTTCTTTTTCGCCACGATTTTCCTCCTAGTCAGTTACCAACGCAGTATTGGAGCCGTTCTGAAAGGAACGTGCACCACGAAAGAGGATCAATCGTAAGTCCATTATTGATATAAAAATAATAATCGGGAGAAAAATGGCGTCACAGCGGAGGTACCAGTGGCAAAAATTGCAGTATAACCTTTGACGTAATTTCTGGTTTCCAACAGACTCCGTCTATTCCTCAAACTCTTTGTCGTGATGGGGTTTTCATGGACGTTCGAAGTTATCGGTTGGGCCGTTGAGAAATCACTTGGCGATGACTTGACCGGTATTTCCACTGCAGTTGCGATCGTGGACGTGTTTAATCTTCTCCTCGCAATTCCAATTTTCTTCATCTTTGTTTGGAAAAAGGCTATCTTTGACCAACTGTGGATTCAGTATCCGACTATTTTGCAAAGTAATTAATTAACAAACTAATTACTGACCAATTAATTCACTAACTGCTTGAATTTGATTACTAAACAAACAGAGCCACTTCGTATCCTCGTCTTCTGCGGATGTGTCGACTCCACGCCGGACGATAAGCGACCCTCACTCTCAGCCATGACGATGTCACTACCAAGAAACGGGACATTTACCAGGAGCGGAACATCGAACAATAACTCAGGCCAGGGTCAAGGCAGGATGTCATCTGGGTCAGTGAGTGAGCTGATAGCAAGTAGGAATCGGAAACGATCAAATGATTCGCAGGGAAGTGAAAGTTGTAGAAAGGCATCAGTCCCCACGATTTCAGAAGTTAGAGAAACCGGTGGTGGTGGCGGTGATGGTATGACAGTCGTTGTAGAGGAAAGTGAGATTCCGGGGGAAGTATTAACCTCTGACCTTGACGATAAAACGGGGTCATCAAATGTGAAAGTCAGTCATCACCCAAATGACACTGAGCCGCCATGTCCTGAAATATAGATTGCTCTACATTTTCTCTTACACAATTTTAAATGAATCAATATTTTTGATCAGTTTGCCATAATGAGTTCATTGCCGGATGTCTGTATTATGTCTGCCTGACATGTTAAGTTTGTATGTACAAGTTTTGCAATATAAGTATTTTCAATAATTGTTTTACCAAATGTCTATTAATTATAAGAACAGATGGACATTACTGATAATTTATTAGCGGATCTACATATGTTTCAAACTGGATTTCCCATGAGTTTATTGTCTCGTAATAATAAAAATATTTATAGTCTGGTTCAAAATGTGCACACACTAATTAATTTCATTTGATTAATATTTTGTATAAGATCCGATAATAAATTACCGTTATTATCTGCAAGAACTGGATGAATTATGTGGGTGAATAATTAAACGGGATGTGTTATATGCTATTTATCATCATTATTGACAGTTTAGAAAGAAGCATGAAAGTCTGGTGAAAAATTCCTAAATTCTTAAGCAATGGTACTATGCATACGTTTGTATACATATATATGCACATATGTAGGTTGATGATGCAAAGCAATGAATACTTTCAAAAATTTATTCACTTTCAACATAACTTTATTCAGTTCAGATACTTATTTTTCGTATTTACAGATATTATTTACAATTTTATTTACAGGGCATATTACTATTACTAAATATTATTATTATTTCTTACAATTATGTACTTATAATAATATATTAAGTAGCAATAAGGCTACTAGAAGTCAACAGTCAAGTGAGATGTGAGATCTACTTTTTAAGCTTTTCAAATAAATATGAAAATTAAACAAAACATACAAATTTCATAACCAAATATTTCTAATCCACTTCCTCCACCGTGGGGCCACCATGGTGTCCACCAGCTTCTCTGCGAGCCTGTTGCCCACACCCACCAGGCATCCCACCAGCACCAGCAGGACCCGCAGCACCCCCACCGCCATGCATTTTCATCATGATCGGCTTGAATTCACCTTCTACTTCCTTCAACTTGAATTCATACTCTTCCTTCTCTGCCAGCAAGTTGTTGTCCAACCATCTCATCGTCTCTTGACATTTGGCGAGAACTTGTTGCTTATCAGAGGCAGGAAGTTTGTCGGGAGCTGCTTCCTCCACGGCTTGTTTGACGCCAAAGACGTAGTTCTCCAGTTGGTTGCGAGCCTGAACCTTCTCCCTTTGCTTGGCGTCTTCTTGCGCATATTTTTCCGCATCGGACAGCATTCTGTCGATTTCTTCCTTGGACAGACGACCCTTGTCGTTTTTGATGGTAATCTTTTCCGTCTTTCCACTCCCCTTGTCAGCCGCGGACACGTTCATAATCCCGTTGGCGTCAATGTCGAAGGTGACCTCGACTTGGGGAACGCCACGTGGTGCTGGAGCAATCCCGCCGAGGTTGAAGGTGCCCAAGAGATGGTTATCTTTCGTCATGGCTCGCTCACCCTCAAACACTTGGATTGAGACGGCTGGCTGGTTGTCCGAGTAAGTGGTGAAAGTTTGCGCTTGTTTGCATGGAATTCGGGAGTTTCGCTCAATGATTTTCGTCATTACTCCTCCAGCAGTTTCGATTCCGAGGGAAAGTGGAGCCACATCGACCAAAAGAACGTCTTGGATTTGTGAACTTTGATCTCCAGACAGAATCGCGGCCTGGACTGCGGCACCGTAAGCGACAGCTTCATCCGGGTTAATTGACTTGTTGAGTTCTTTCCCGTTGAAGAAATCTTGAAGCATTTTCTGAATTTTGGGAATTCGAGTGGATCCTCCGACCAGGACGACGTCATGGATTTGGGACTTATCCATTTTTGCATCTATCAACGCCTTTGCCACTGGTTCCATGGTATTGCGGAACATGTCCATGCAAAGTTCTTCAAATCGAGCTCGGGAGATCTTGCTGTAAAAATCGATCCCATCGTGTAACGAGTCCACCTCGATGGATGCTTCCGTGGAGGAGGAAAGAGTTCTTTTCGCCCTCTCGCAAGCGGTTCGAAGTCGTCGCATGGCTCGGGAATTGGTGGTCAAATCTTTTTTGAATTTGCGCTTGAACTCGTCACAGAAGTGGATGACCATCCTGTTGTCAAAGTCCTCACCGCCCAAGTGGGTGTCTCCGTTCTGTAATCAAAATACAAGAAAATTAAGTTTTGATTCTCCACAAACTCTCCAATTTTAAATCAAAATGACAAAAAATCCCAATGCTTACCGTTGATTTAACTTCGAACAAGCTTCCTTCATCAATCGTGAGCACCGAAACATCAAAAGTTCCCCCTCCCAAGTCAAAGATGAGGACGTTTCGCTCCCCCTTCAAGTTCTTGTCCAATCCATACGCCAACGCGGCAGCCGTAGGTTCATTAATAATTCGAAGCACGTTCAATCCCGCAATGGCCCCGGCATCTTTGGTGGCTTGGCGTTGCGAGTCGTTGAAATAGGCTGGCACAGTGACGACCGCGTCGGTCACCTTTGTTCCAAGGTACGCTTCCGCCGTCTCCTTCATCTTGGTGAGAACCATGGAGCTGATTTCTTCCGGCATGAATCGCTTCGTTTCTCCCTTGAATTCCACCTCGAATTGTGGTTTGCCTCCGCAGTTGACCACTTTGAATGGCCAATGTTTCATGTCGGCTTGGGCGTTCTGGTCGTCAAATTTTCTTCCAATGAGACGTTTCGCGTCAAAGATGGTGTTTTGTGGATTCATGGCGACTTGATTTTTGGCAGCGTCTCCGACCAGTCGTTCCGTATCGTTGAAGGCGACGTACGAGGGGGTCGTCCTGTTCCCCTGGTCGTTGGCGATGATTTCAACTTTTCCATTCTGCCAGACACCAACGCAGGAGTAGGTGGTACCCAGGTCGATTCCGATGGCTCGTTTTTGCACCATTTTTAGGTAGTTGTGAATTCTGACAGGATTAAATTAGAAAATATTGTTAGTATAACGAACCCTTAAAATTTTAACAGGCACTTTCTTCTGTTTTCTCAGTACTAAATATTTCAAGTCTGAAATTGTATTCAAAATACAAACTTACCAGTTGAAAATGATCCAAAAAATGCAGAAAACTTGAAGTTTGTTGTGTATTGGTAGTTTTTTGAAAATCTTTGTGAAACTGTGTCGTAAATCGCTCTATTTCACGTTAGTAGATACGAGTAGTAGTATATGCTTATGCACTTTGTCTCAAAACTGAGCTTTTTCTCTTGTTCGCTTTGTAGGTTTCAACTTGTGAATGTTGATGCTGGGCAGACATCGTGTGGCTTTATATATGAAAGTTGGCCGGTATCTCGCATTCGCACGTATTCTCAACTCTGCTACTCTTTACGAGTAACATCCACAATGTTTACGTACGTTCCGGCTCAAAAACACTTATTATGATGACGAAAGTGCAATTTGTGCCAAAATGACTGCATATTCACGTTAGCAGTGCAAATATTTTATTATTAAGTTTCATTTATTTTTTGTTTAAGTTCAGTTCCAAATCAAACATTTAATCCTGGATTTAATTTTAGTACATATGGAAGTAACTATACTTGAAGTGAGTTAGTTATGTGCTGTGCGAATGGAGCTAAACTCACGAGAAACCCTAGTCTCAGCACAAGGTACTTCAGGAGGCCGTAGGTTTAAGCTCCACCCGCACAGTACATAACTCGTTCACTTTATGTATAAATATGAAGTTACATGAGATTACGTGAAAAGATGTAAATATTTTAGTAACATGAAATTCATAATTTTTAGCGTAATAAATTATTATTGGTGCAACTAGAATCATATCATTTGTATTTTTTAGTCAAAGTATAACAAGAGTTTATATGATTACTTATTGGATTATTTCGGTTCAAAAATTGTGGTCACGTACATATTTCATTAATATTTTTGTCTTGGTAGTAAATGAAACGATAACAGGAAATTTTCCTACAGTGGATACGTGTGTAATTGGAGAAGTGTTTTGTTTTGTAAAAAGCATATATTTAGTAACGGGTGATGGGAAATAGTAATGAATTCCCATGCATTTTGGTGTACGTGAGTCGTTCTGTTATTGTTTTGGTCAACCAACTCGATCCACGTACAATATTCTCGTATTTTCTGCTCCATGTCATGTATCCTCTTATGCACAAAGCTTATGTAGAGAAAGTCCAGTATTTCTGATCAACGGTTACTAGTACATGTCTATGTGAATGCTGCCAGAGTTTCTGGAAACGTGACTCACTCCGGGTTTCCTCCAGATTTTCATAGAAAGTTTCATGGTACGTGCATAAACTTTTTCGCAGTGTGTTACCATTCTGGGTTATGCAACCATAATATTACGGTTTGTAGTAGTACTAATACGCCACTTTTGTCTTTTAGAAATCCATCCTTTATAACGGCAAAGTTTGTTACAGGTACAAATTGTCTTGTGACGTATAATTAGTTGCATTTTAAAATACTAACGTTAAAAATTATTAACTTGTTCCAGTTCGGAGGTAGGCTGCTCGTGAGGGAAGTTAGAAAATGTCACCGGTACTGAAAGTTAAAGCAGCAGAAAGATTTTTTGAAGTATGTATGGAAGCTTTACGCAGTATGTAGTGTAGAAAAAATGTGTTAGAAAATATGGGTATATCTGATTCTATATGGAGATAAATTGTAATATTTCGGTTCCGAAATAATTAACACTTATGCAATTCTCGAGTGTTTTTAAAAACTAGTCAAATTTGATGAGTCAAATTTTATCTACAAAAGTTCATAGATTTGCGTATTTTTATGGCACTAATCTTTTTTTACATATTTCACATATTTTTTAAATTTTATTTAACACAATATTTATCGTTTCTCTGATTCATTTAGACTAAAATATTTATTACCATTCAAGTAATAATTTGAATGTGACTTAGTTACAGGCAGGGACCTGTGACAGGGACCGATGGAATGCGTAACCCATTTTGTATGTAATTAAATGTTAATGATTGTGTTGAATTTCAACAATTGTGGAAGCTACTAAAAGTAGTATGAATATTTTATGGAAATTGTGAATAATAAAAATTTGCAAAGTTGATTCATTTTTTCTCAGAAACAATATTGCGGATAAATTGTATTTCATGCATCTGATTCATACGCATGGTAGCATACAATTTTAACATATTTAACATATTTTCATATTTAAAATATGTAATTTTAACATGTTTTCGGCATCATCACCGATACGACATTCATCTGTTTATAGTCTGTCTTGTAATTGTAATACCTATCAACTTTGTACTAAATAAATATTTTACTCATTTTGTCTCCCTCCAATTTATCTAAATACTTATGTACATAAACTATCCAAATAGTATAAATGTTTAAAATTTATGTACCACAATTAAGTTATTTCCAAACGTTTTTTCAGTATCCGTTAACTATTTTTCACATTTTGTAAGATTTGTAGGATTTTCATTATCAATTCATTTATTTACTCAATAAGCAATTCATTCATTTAATTTAATTTATTTTTTACAATATATTTTTGACTCAATCGCACATGCACGGTCTTGATGTGGAAATTCCACAGTGCAATGCATTGTATGTACGTACAATACACTCTAAGAAGCTGGGTATTGATTCTTAAAAAATATCAATACCAGCAAATAGTATTAACAGTTATTACTATTATAGTACTAATGTGCAGTTTTAAAATAATACTGATATTTAAAAAATTAATACCAGTAGAGTTTAAAACTTATTTAATACTGTAAAGTATTGATCAATACTTTTCCAGTATTGAAATTATACCATGTTTTTAATGACTCAAGTTTGTCCGTTACCCCACGCGTACCCGGCACATTCAACTCAGCAATTCGTCAACATGAGCTCCACAAAATTAGTTCGAGTATCAAATTCTTTTACATCAAAAAAATTAATTCCAAGTGACGGAAATTTTGAGGATTTTGTTACTTCAGGTAAGAAAATTTTAAATTTACACACGATTTACTTATGTTAATAACTTATATTACATATATTTAACAATATTTTAACCAACAATCTTAATTATTTTTTCTAGTGCGAACGAAATTCGATTTAGGGAACGAAGTAATTATCCGACTTGAAGATGATCAGGGGGCAGAGGTGGACTCGGATGTTTTTCATATTTTATTAGAAATTGAAAACATTCCAAATATAGTCTTTAAGTTGGGTGGAGAAGAATCTCATCATATAACAATTAATTTGAATCCTGACGACAGGAACAGCTCTTCAAGTACCGAGTTAATGTGTGAGCTTTTTAATCGTATATTTATATTCTTAAATGTCTAAATATATAAGTACATAAATATTTATTTACTTTTCAGTCACCCATTCACCATCATCCAAAATTCAACGGCTGCAACAGGATGGTTTTAATCAGGTAAAAATAAAATTACTAATTACCCACAGTTAAAATATTATTATTTATTATTTATTTTAGGTGCTGGGTAATTCAATTAATGATAATCAAGAAATTAGCAGAGTTGTAGCAGATTGCAACACAAAAGGGTTTGTCGATGACAAGTCAGCTGTGATTCTTGTGCAAGAATTTGTTTCAAAACTTGTGGAGCTAAAAGGGTAAGAAGTATTTATTTGTATTTAAAATTCCTCCATAAAATATTTAAACTTGATTTTTGTATTTTTTGTAATTTTAGTGAATCTCCAAGTTCTTCTGACCAAAAGAATTTGGCGTCAGCAATTATTCAATATATTCCATGTTGGCGATACGCTGGGTCAACTGAAGGCTTGGTAAACCATACAACTTTTATAAATAATTAATTCATATTTAATTTTCGTAATTAAATAATTTTTATTGCATTGCAGGATATACTTTTTGATGAAATTGGACGGTCAGGACTAATCCAACGGAGATTGAGGACAATTCACCAAAAACTGAAAACCACTGAAAAAAAGAAGGAATTAAGGGCAAAGAAGACACAGCTTGGAACTGGCGGACCTAAACCTAAAACTGCAAAACTGGATGACAACGTTGACAACGGACAATATGACGAGTTAGTTAGGAGTTTAAATGGCAGCAGTGCAAAATCGGGATCCGCAGAAATAATTAAACTGGCGCAAGACACCCTCGAGCACAGAAATTACTTACGACGAGTCAATCCACAATCAATCCTGCTGGTTTATACAAAATTTGCGGACTGCGACTTTTTAGTATAATCCGATTAAATCAATATTATTTGTCAGTATTTTTAATTATTTGAGTTAAACATTAATTTTTATTTATGTTAGATCCGCTTGGAATTTTCTCTTCTTCAAGGAGAATCACAAGAAAACTTTACAAGAATTTGGCCGTCATTTTCCTCACAGCTGCTGGAGAAAGTGAAAGACTTAAAGCAATCCCCGTCTTTATGTAAATTTCTAACAGAGGAGTCTGGTTTGCAAAATACTATTTTTTAAAAATTTGGTTTATTTAAAACAAAGTTTTCCTTGAAATTTATCAAAATTCGTTTTATTTTAAAGATAATTGGGACTCTGAAGTAGCAGCACTCTTCGTTCTTCTTTATTTAATCCCCCCAGCTGCCCAAGGGAGAGGAAAAGGGAGTCAGTGTACAATTGATGAAGCAAAGAATTTGCTGATCTCATTTTATAAGGTACATAATGACTTTTAAATTAAAATGTATTCTAACTATTTTAATTATTCAAACTGTTGTTATGAATTTAATAACATTTTTTTTCCAGACTGCAACTCCTCTACCATCCATCCTGGATACTTGGAGCGAGGATAAGAGACAACCAAACCTTTTGTGTCTTGGAGAAAACAAGAAAACACTTTCTTCCTTTTATCTCGTTGTAGATAAAGTACTGCTGCCAATTGACGCTAAGAATTCTGCACAAGCAATTGACCTCCTCTTCAAATCACACTACGTCTTCGGAGCAGAATACGACAAGAACTTGCAAGGCCTATGGAAATTTCTTCAAGTTTATATTTATAAGGTTGACGTGGACAGTACTGATCTTTCGGGAAAGGTGAAAAGTGTTTTTACTCAATTAAGTAATATTTTTAATAATCTCATTTAAAAAAATGTTTACTTGCCCAGTCTGTCAGATATTAGTTTTAAGGGCGAGTGAGTTTCAAACTCATTTAAAATTTGTACATAATTATGGACACAGTAATTTTCCTCAATTAATTTGCCCTTTTAGTTCATGTAATATAACGTTAGGGACATGGAGTGGATTTTTACGTCATGTAAAGTCACACGATAAGTTTCTAGAAATAGGCTCCCAGATACCAAATCTATTTTTTGAGCCAACTTTAAATAGTTCCAATTTTAGTGAAGCTCAACAAGAAATTAATATTGACTTTGAGGATCCCAAAACTTTTGAAAATATCTCCGTTGATACTGGTATAAAAATAGTTTCAGAAATTTTAGGTAATTTCTGTTCCTCTATAATTGCAAGTGGTGTTAATAACTCTGTAATGGATGTAATTGTAAAAGAAATGGAATATGTATTTGTAGAAATTATTAACTTAGTTACTAAATTAGGGAAACAAACTTTAGGTGAACAATTTGACATGGTTGCTATACAAATACGCTCATTAGTATCTGGTTTTGTTAAAGTTAAGTCCAGCTATCAGAGGCAAAACTTGTAACAGAGCAGAAATAATTTAATTTTACCAACTGAGATAAGTTTAGGGAGCAGAATAGACTCTAAAATTAAAGATGCAAAAAGACAACAAGTAGTCGTGGAAGATACGTTTATGTACGTACCTCTGCTGAAAACACTTGAAAAAATAATCCAAATTCCACAATTATACCAATATTTCGAATCTATTTCAAAACCCAATGGACAAATTTTTAAATTCTGTGACTCTGAGTCATTTAAAAATAACAAACTCTTTTCTAAATATCCACAATCAATCCAGTTACAATTATTCTATGATGACTTTGAAACAGTTAATCCTTTGGGATCTAAAAAAGGGATCCACAAACTTGGGGCGCTTTATTTTATTTTACGTAATTTGTCCGATTTTATAAATTCTCAACTTTCGCAAATTCATTTGTTAGCTTTGTTTTATAGTGAAGACGCAAAAAAATATGGTTATGGGTCAATTTTAAAACATGTTTTACCTGACATTAAGATTTTAGAAACGACAGGAATTTCAATTGGGGGAAATATTTTTCGAGGCACAGTTTGTTCTGTCGTTCACGATAATTTGGGTGGAAATTCGTTACTTGGTTTAACAGAATCATTTAATTCTAATTTTTTCTGTCGAATTTGTTATATTTCAAAGGCTGAAATCCAAAATGAATTTGACCATAATTATATGCCGATACGAAATTTGACCAATTATAGTTTACATTTAAATTCAGAAACTTGTGAATTAAATTCGCTTCAATTTTACCATTTTCTAGATTCTCCAACAGCTGACATAATGCATGATCTCTTGGAGGGAGTCGTGCCATATGAAATTAAATTAGTTTTCAAAAAATTAATTAGTTTGGGATGTTTTAATCTTGAAACAGTCAACAACAGAATCTCCGCTTTTGATTTTGGATATTTAGAATCGAAAAATAAACCAAGTCCAATAAAATTAGATGGAACTGGAAATAGAATCGGTCAAAAAGCTGCGCAAGCTTGGTGTTTAATCAGGTTTTTACCAATGATTTTGGGAGATTTAATTGTCGATGAAGTCCATTTAAAATATTGGGATTTAATTTTGCAATTATTAGAATGCATGAGCTTTATATTTTTTCGATCTTTTAATGAGTCATCAATTTTAACCTTGAAATCGCTTCTAATTAAACACCATTCGCTCTTTAAATTTCTATTTCCAGATCAAAATTTGCTACCCAAACACCATTTTATGTGTCATTATCCATTTATAATTAAAATGTCTGGCCCTTTAATTTCTCTATGGACAATGCGGTTTGAAGGAAAACACAATTATTTTGCTCAATTGGCCCATAACAATAGAAACTTTAAAAATATTTGTTTTTCACTTGCCATGAGGCATCAGCAATATAGTTCGCATGTTTTCAAAAATTTAGATTTCCATCATGGAATTAAGACTGACAAAATTTGTAAAGCTACTATGTCTGAGTTTGATGATTCCTTCGATATTGTAGAATCATTAAAAAACTATTTAAACGATCATGATATCTGTATTAAAACTGAAATGATGACAACAAATCAGATTTGGTTCAATGGCTACAATTATAAACACAACTTTGTGGTTTGTTTCGAAATGGGAACAATATTTCCAAAGTTTGGAATAATTTCTGAATTTCTGATTCAAAATGATAATTCATGTCTGCTTATTCTCAAAGTTCTGGAAACTGAGTTTTTTTATCGCCATTTATTTGCTTATAAGGTTAGAGTAACTGAAAATTTGTACAGAGTAATAAATGTAAAAGATCTAGTAACACATGATGCGATGGAGATTAAACAAAATTGTAATTTGTCAGGATTATTTGTAATTTCTAGACATTTTTTGTAGTAATATTTAATTGTAAGTTATATATATATATATATTTCATGAAACTTTGTCCTGTAAAGTAGTAATAGTTATAAATAATTTTATTTATTTATTATAGCAGTAATTTTTATTTTAAATTTGTTAAAAGTTGTAATTTATTGAAAATAAAATATGATTATGTACAATGCATTTTATACCATCAATTAATGATTTAATACCGTGCAGTATTATTTTTCATTATAAAGGCATCAAATTATAGTATTATTTATAATACCGGGCAGTATTATCATGCTTTAACGTTTTAATACTGTACATTTAATAATCAATACCGAGAGTTACAAGACGATTTATACTGAAAGTTCATTGTTTAATACTATAAATTAATAAAGTAATACCGCGGCAGTATTACTCATAATAATACCGCAGGGTATTATATCAATACCAAAACGGTAGAGTCACCATATAATACGGCCGTGGTATTAAAATGGTATTGATTTTATTAAGAGTGTAGTAACTAAATAATTTCATTACGGTTGACGGTCCCAACAAGAAATCTTTTTATAATTTTCTATATTTTTTGTAAGCAGAACTTGATTTATTAAACACTTCAATATAACATAAGAAAACATTTAGCACCCTAAATTTCCATTTTGTGTCACACTTGCAATTGTTTTTCCACAAAATGTTCAATGTAAAATTATGGACCATGTTTCTCCCAATGAATATTTGCACAAGGTTATTGGTACGTTGTTAGTCCAATTATTGCAAAAAATGTATTCTACCTACAATTCCGTATTATTAATCGTGTCGTCCGTCACTGTGTGCAAATTTTTTGATACAAACTTGCACGGAAGGATGCCTGCATGGTCGGAGCTACTTACTTAATCGCCAGGTTAAACTGTGTATAACGCAACAAACAACTTTGTCATGTTATCTCGTAATATGTAAATTTTGGAATAAAATTGGAGTAAGACATGCACTTCGACATCACTAATATCGGCTAATTTGTGACTATCGTGACGTTATTAATAATTCTTTATAGGAATACGTACGAATATGTACAAGTCATTAAACGGACCAGATGCAAAACTCTACATATTCTTTTTAACCTTTGAATAATAAATGATGATGATACCAAATGACACTGAAAAAGCAAACTTTATATGAAATTTCCTACCCGACTCTGTTTAGTTTAATTCATAACTTGACGAGACAACGACCACAGGCAACAACGATCAGCAGATCACTGCTAATAATAACTTACTCAAGATTAGTGAATCATTAATTAATTCTCCAAACCAATAATTTCTCAGGTAAGTCAATGATAAATCTTATTCTACGAACCAATCGTAAGTAATTCGACCTGAAAGGAAACTCCGGAATATTTTACTCTTATGTTCATCCCAATAAAAAAACATACATATTTTGAACTATGTATGGAACTGATGATTCAGTCACAAAAAAATACAATTAGCACATAAAATTTGCATATTAAATTAAATTTAGCAGTGAGACGAGACTTTTTGTGTGGTCATCATTTAGTGTTTAGTACACACTACTGAACGTCTTAAGTACATCTGAGAATCTTAATTTAGAAAAAAAACACTGCAGATTGACTAATTAAAATTGCATTGTTTGTCTCATCCTCCAGGATATGAAGGTAGGTATTTATATGCCTGTATGTACAAATAGGTATACCATTAACCATAAAATATTTATAAATAGCTAGTTATATTCTGCTCACATTGCAACTATTTTAGTTCGTTATTGGCTGGCAGTATAGAGTAATAAATAATTTATTAAGTATGTAATGTATATATTTTTAACCATGAAACTGATTATTGTGTTATTGTGTAGGTGAACAATTTATTTTACAATTGTGTTTATACAGATGGTTGAAATCTGCAAGCCTCCCAAGTTTTATTGATATTGGGAGAAGATGCTTTGTTCATAAAATTCAAATAAAATAGGTAAGTGTTCAGTCAGAGTGGCTGATTTGAGGGAGGTATCTGCATAACTACTATCTCGTTAAACTTATGAATCGAAATAGCTCAACACAGCACGAGCCAAATTGATTAAATATGTACATACGATAGGTACTCATCATTCCTTAATAGTTAAAAATGTGTATGTATCTACGTGTTCAAGTCCTCGTAGTACGAATGCAGTAATGAACTTGATTTTGGCATTGAAAAACTTTTGACAGTTTTTTTCCTGTAAATTAATTCGACAAATTGGTACAGTTTTTTTGGGGGAACATTTTCGAACATGTCTTAAATATATAGACGCCCAGCAATCAGCATGTTTTCAACCTTCTCGCCACAAATAATGCGTAATTTGTAAAAAAAGCACGTGAAATTAATTGATTTTAAACTCCAGCTAGCTTTTTCGCATCAGTTTTTTGCGTCAACGTAATGTTATTGGCCCGTCTGGTCAACCAAACCACAAAACCTTGGATGATATGTATGTATGAGTGATCATCATTTCATTTTCATATAATCCTTCCTTCTCTGGTATCCAATTTCAATTAGATAGATGGAAAATTTACCTTTAATAAATCATATCGTTATTCTGTTATACATATATTCGCATCGTTCTCGAACTCGGCAGAATGAATTTTCCTTCACTTACAAGTACACGTCGCAGCAGGACTGCTACTGCTTATTAACAAACAGGCACCTCTAATTTGCCAAGGTTCTTAAATTTCAATCAGCAAAATTTAAGTTAATCTCTATTTGAGATTCATTAAACGTTTTACTAGTCTCGAGCCACTTACTTATCCTGAATATTGAATTCTTTACGTATATATAATTTTGCTCCAGGAGCTGCAAGTGCCACGACGGAATACAAGGACGCGCACCATTCGATACCTTACAAACCAGTGAACAAGTGAACACTTACCAGAAATCTGTTCCATTTTACCTTTACAAATAATCAAGTTTAAGTTTAACAGGTGTCACATTTTGCATGAATGTTTTTCTACAAAAGCCTTCTCAACAAGGAGAAAAAATATTAAATTGAAAAAAATTAACATTACATTACAACAACAATTGATCGTTAACAAGGGCAGAGAATAATAAGGATAACAACGAAATTAATAGTAATACGTATGACACTGCTGGATTGACGGTGGGATTCTTTTGGAAATAAATGTGTCACAGATAGCATAAACTCATGTACAAATATCTGAAAAGATTTTTAGCCACGTTTTAGCTAGGTAAAGCTAGTTTTTCTTTGTGCGTCTGATTTCAATTTGATATTAGCAAAAAAAGTTTGCAATTATTTGTGTGAACTTGAGAAGATTGCAACGCCAGGTTGCTTTCTCTTCGCAGTTGTATAACTACGTACACCACCTGTCCTGGAGTTACTCATTTGTGTTCAGTAATTAGATATTAGTTAGTTGTTTAGTAATTAATTTGTGCATAAGGAAATATTACGTGAGATACGCTGGGATATTAAATTCGATACAAGGATGAGGATGGCCGAGTTGCCAGACTTCTTGTGGGACCTCCAGTCGAGGTGGCCCTTCATGTTTCGTTTAAAGGGGACCGTTATCCTCCGGATATGGTGGCAGGTGAGACGATAAGAATCATAATTAATCAATTATAATTAAGTATTTCGGTGTTTGAGGACATTTTACTTGATAAGCAAGTTTATATCTGTATATCTGAAAACTTTCGGTATTCATTCGGAATTCCTTCGTCAGGCAAACACTAAAAATTCATGCATAGGTTCCCTCAAATATATGTAATTAATTAAATATTACAAAGTTAATTGTCCTTAATTAAAGGTCCTCTTCGTCTTGGTGTACACGAGCGCTGTGGTTGCAATTCACTCTTACGTTCCCCTCATGAGGATGTGTTTTCCCATGTCTTTGGTCCAAGTGCTTGGTGTCGTGATTGGGTTGCTGTTAGTGTTCAGGACGAATACGGCGTATGACAGGTATAGATTTTAGGGCAGTTTTTGAGAAAATTGGGGCTACATACAAATAATTTAATGAAATGACAGATATTGGGAGGGGCGGCGTCTCTGGTCTTCCATGACTCAGAATATCCGTACCTTGACGCGTTGTATTTGGGTTGGAGTGAGGGAGTCGGGAACTTCGAAAGAGATTGTGGAGAAACGCTCAGGTATTTCAACTTTGTAAATTGATAATTAGATAGTTGCAAAATTCGTGCAAAAATTTGCAATTTAGATGACATTTTCCAAATTTTCCTAAATTATGTAATTTTCAATTGCTCATTACAAGATTTCATGAATTTGAATTTGCTCGACTTGAGCAATAATTACGAAAATTGTGTTGATCATGATAAAAATTTATTCTCAATTCATAACTGCTACTTAAACCTGAGTTTAATTTCTAGTCATAAATCTCCTCATCGCATTCGCTTACGCCACGAAGAACTACCTCCGTGAAGAATACTCTTACGACTCTGATGGGATCAGGGAGTTGATAAAGCACATCCCCAAGTTTTGCACGCCCTCATCCAACCAACCTCTCGAGCACCAACAGCTCATCCAAGAGCAGCAGCAAGCCGACCAGCAGTGCAATAATCAGGAAATTCCCAGCGTAACGGTCACCGTTCCAGAAGAACAAGGAAATGAACCTTCAAAAACGGGTGTAATTCTCCTTCCGGGAAAGTTGACGGCAGAAGAAGACAAGTCGAAATCAGCGTCGTCTTCAGCAAAAAGGAGAAAGTCGTCGACGACACCGTTTCGAAGGCAGGATGCTAGGCGACGGTCGAGCAAAGCGCACTCCAGCTTTACGGCGCATGATTGTGTAAGGTTGATATATAAATTTTGACATAAAAGCTTTTATGAATACATGCATGAAATTAGAGTTGGGTTAGAGATTACGTAATTAGGAAAGCTTGAGAAAATTCATTTTCATAATTGGAAAAAAATTTAGACAATATTTTATAAAGTTTTTATCTGTTCGACTTTTGCCCACATTCCGCATTAAAGTTTTTAAATTGATTCGATCTGACGTAATATTAAGACAACATTTCATGGAAATGAGAAACAAATTAATTTCCCCCAAGTATGGGAGAAAGGATAAAATATGGATGTGGTGGACAGAAATGAAAGTTATGCGGCGTCAGTATATCGCAAATTTTTTTGCAATGATGCAAAAAATTGGCTAATAGCAATAAATTAATTTTTCCCCTTTTATCAGGTTACTCCGACCAATATCCCGATTGAGCTGTCCTACTACATCGCCTCATATCTCGGCACGGTCTCTGTAAAAGGACGAGACTTAACAGATCCGAGCACGATGCTTATTTGCAACCATGGTCAGTACTAAATTCTTGCACTTTTTTAATGGTCAATAATTCCTCCCTTTATTTATTGCACCATAATTTACACTTCGTACCTATATAACTAATTAATTAACTTTGCTACTCGTCCTTGCTCTCCAGCCTTAAATAATTTGGTCGATTGTCTCACCGGATTCGAAAGGATTTTACGAACCCCAATCCCACTCGCGTATTCGGTCCATTTGCATCACTCCATTTGGCTCTACCTACTCGCACTTCCGTACCAAATGGTAACTCAATTAGTATGCAAATTAACTACAATTACTTATAAACTACTAATTAATTGATTATATAAGGTCAAAGAGCTGGGTTGGTTCACCGTCCCCACCGTCGTTCTCAGCTCGTTTGCTCTGCTTGGAATTTTGGGTATCGGTTGGGAAATAGAAAACCCGTTTGGATACGATGACAATGATTTGGTAAATAAATACATACATTGTTTGTGAAATGAGTTTCAAAATTTTGAAAAAAAATTTAAAATTATATGAAACAACACAGCCACTGGACGACTTTTGCAAAGTTATACATAAAGAAATCCAGACCATTGTGGGGCACAAAGTCCCCACGCCGGACACTTGGATCTTGTCGACGAACAATCACCCCTTTGTAAGTAATTGTAGGGTAAATAGTAATTTCACGAGGAAACGAATATATTAGTGGTATTCACAGTAACCGATTATTGCGATTATAATCATTATCGATTATAATCACCCAAAAATTCTCTATGGGGAAAAATAAACCAATGTGATTATAATCGTCAAAAAAATAATCCTCTCCGAGGACGATTATTTGGATTATAATCCTTGATCCAAATGCAATTTTTTTAAAGCATCCGAAAACGTAGCCGTTGCTATGATGCTATTTAATGAATCCTGCTGGATATTTTAGGGAAAATAATCAAAATACAATAATAATCTGGTGCGTTCATGGTATATGATTATAATCGATTGTGATTATAATCGTCCTCACGATTATAATCGGTTACTGTGAATACCACTATTGTAGTAACAAATTAAGAACAGGAAAACTTAAAACAATTTGAACAACACCTTTCCACTCTTATCTGACCCTGGTCATTGAACTCTCATTTATTTTATCCTAAATAAAGGCGCCCACCTCGATGGAAAATGCGGTCGAGTTGAGTACCAAACCAGTGGAGGAAGTCAGGCTCAAACTGGCGATGGGGGCGAGTAGACGACTCACCAGTAAAGAAAGTGACAAGTAAATATTTTAGACGGTCCGGTGACCCAAAGACATTATGCAAATCATGGATAGAAATTTTATGAAATTTGAGACAATATGAGAAAAAATGGTCATATTTTTAGCCAGCTTTTCCTACCAGACTAATATTAGTATGCAAACATACATACATACTTTCACTTTGTAATTGATGGTATTTTACTATGTATTTTTATTCGAAACTGTTTTTTGCCAAGATTGTTAACAGTGACAGTTTTCTACTCATTATGTATGCAGATTTTATCCAATACTCCTCTGCAGCTTTGTAAATAGGTAGTTGATATTTGCTCCGATTGTACAGTAGTAAGAAGTCACTTATTAATTAAATACATGAAATAAATACATATCTATTTAATAGGAACAGAACACCCCTCACAAGAAAGAATTATCACAAAAATATCTGATTTACAGTTTCTCACAAGAAATTAGTTTAGCATATTTCACCCATTTTTTCGAAATTGTAACACATTAGAAAGACCTCGCTCCAGTGACAACTTCCCACAACAAGAGCATGTCCCCCATGAGCTGAAAAAAATATTCATCAATTTCTTGACCAAACTTCATAATTTCCCCCAAAAACATCTATCAATTTGCAAAATCTCACCGAATAAAACGGATGCTTGAACGTGGCCGGTTTGTTCTTTTCGAAAAAGAAGTGACCAATCCAAGCGAAGCCGTAGCCCTGAACTAGCGCCACAAGACCCAAGTACAACGGACCCACGGTAATCATGAGGACGACGAGAAGAAGGGAAAATGACGTCCCGACGAGATGAAGCCGTCGATTGTTTATATCGCAATGTTCGCCGAGGTAAAAGGGATAAAATTCTTCGAAACTCTTGTACCCACGGGGGTTGTAGGACTTTCGGGTGTAATTGTGGTTCACCACGGTGCCGCGTACGCCCATTTTGCTAAAAAATAATAACAAAGTCTTCACAAACTGATACACGTGCTTAAATAAGATCTATTTTTCTGCAAATTCTTACAATTCTGAAATATTAGTTGCAAAATTCGCACAGTTTAATGAATATGTATGTGCACAATCTCGCTAAGAAATCACTGTATCACTGTAGCTATTTAATAATGCATATATTTATCACACTCTAAAAATTAAATACGCTGATTGGCTCGGATTGCTTATCTGCCACTTGACAGCTTGCAAAACATTATATCAATGTAATCGTAAGTGATAAGGTTTAGTCATGGGTTGGTTCAAGTCCCAGCGAAATACGGAGATGATGATTCCATCATTATATAGTTTAGTTTAATAGCATGGGAAAATCAGTCCAAAGTGTATAATTAAATGCTGCACTATCACCACCACTCCACTAGATTTAGCTAAACTCGAGTTAAACTACTTAGGTATCAAGTTAAATAATAATATTTTTATTACACTGGTGCACACCGCAGAAATTTATATGATGCAAATATATAATTCTGTGTTGCAACGTTTAAGTCACGAATGCGTATGTATCATGCTACAATTCTCGTGTAGTGAAATAATTAACCAAGGACTTCCTTCCTTCATGAAAATTTGTATGTATATGTTGTATTGTCAGCTTGTTCATATAACGTTTCTACGTCCCCTATTCCTTCCGAGAAGGATGTACTTACACATGCATATATAAAAAAAATGAGTCAATATTACTGCCTGCACTTTACTTGGTGCGTATAACTAAAGGGAAGTTGGACATGATGAAAAGGGAGGAATAATACAGAGTCAGCATAGGCAATTGTCTCATCAGACGACTAAAGCGCTAGCAAATTCATGCCATGGTCAAAGTTGCAGAGGACGCGTCCAAATTGGTTTTGAGAATGTGTAGAGGAATCCTTAACTAACTTTAGCTATTAGCTTCAGCTTTAGTTAACGTTGCATTAAGGGAATGGTATGGTTGTCTGTGCACTTTAAGTGAACACTTCCCTTTCCATTACTAAGCGTTTCATTCATGTGCATTTCATGTATCAACAACCAGCTTCATGTTTATAATGACTGTAATTAAGTTTCTGATGAATAAATTACGTATGAACCCGAAATCTAGGAATGTGCGAAATGAAAAGTTGTGAAATTATTTATTGTATTCGAATTTGTTGTTTCTTGAAATTGTAGCATGTTACGGGAAACTTGTAAATATGACTTGAGTTTGTTATTGCTATATAGTTTGTATCATCCTACATTTATAGAAATTAATTTTGCCAATTCATCTCTAAATAGTCTCAAAACTTATGACTAAACTTACAAAAATTAAATGGAGAAAATTGGATAATATCGGCGCCATTAATTAGGAACTATGAAAAAAATATTTTAATTACTACTATTAGGTAGTAGACGATTCAAGTGCTAAAGCAAGCAAAAATATTTAGAAAATAATTTATACTACTATTTTTCATATTATTCATAATATTTTCTTCCAGAAATCCATTTTCATGAATTTCATTATTGCTAAAAAAAAGTACGCAAGACGCATACGAATGCAACAAAGGAGAAACGAGCGTTGAGAAATAAAACGAGATGAGACTTGAGTTGAATTCTACTGACCGGGTGGAAAGTGAACGAGCGGTTTCATACTTCAATCCAACATTCCAGCTATTTTTCACGAAATTCATGTATTTTGATATTTAATTACTGACAATTGTTTCAAAATATACTCAGAAAGTTTTGATATCTTGACGGGACTTCAACAGGGCTGGGTTTTAACATGGCGTAAAGGTGAAAAAACGTTGACTATCCGTACGTGACTAGTTTTTACTACTTTTTACTTATTATTTTGCTTAGGAAGATTTAATTAGTTAGCTCTTTCTGTTCTATTTCATAGCACAAAATAATTAACTTGGGGTCAAATCTGAAGCCTTGTCCGTTATTTAATTATGCCTTTTCTCCGTCGAAGTCGTGCCCCCTCTCAAGCCCTCCACCCCCAACTCAGCCAAAAATTTCCCACCCAGAAAAACGGTCGTGTCACCTTATCCACAATATCGAAATCGTCTTCCCGTCCCGGACGTGCTGTTAAGAATAAGAAGACAAAACATATCGACTCTGAAGATGATGATTCGGAGAATGAGGACGAACCAAAGACCAAGAAACTTAATAACAATGACGATCGAACCCCACTCGCAGAACTGACCCCACACGAACAATTAATTCGGGAAGTGCTAGTACTGAAGAGACCCTTCAAAGTACCGATACCTGGATATGTCGCAGGTTATTCGGGGAGAACGCTCGGCTACCGGAAAGACGTAGGGAAACGTGCCCTTCATGACGAAACTGCTCCGGGGGCGTTGATCTTGTACGTACCTGAGCCAGTACCGATCGGGGTCAAGATTGTGAGTAAATGTTACTGATTTAATGATTTATATAAACTGTAGTTTAATTAGACTAATTATTTTCCCAGGAACCGGATAAGGTCGAAGTCCACGTCGTCGTCGATCCCGTTCTCTCAGCCATCCTCCGTCCCCATCAGCGCGAAGGGGTCAAATTTTTATGGGAGTGCGTCTCTGGGATCCGTATTCCTGGCAGTTATGGTGCTATCATGGCTGATGAGATGGGCTTGGGAAAAACTCTCCAAGTTGTCTCCCTTATTTGGACGCTATTGAAACAGTCGCCGAGTGGAAAGCCTGGTGTTGCAAATGCAGTCATTGTCGCGCCCTCATCGTTGGTGAAGAATTGGGCGAACGAATTTGTAAAATGGTTGGTAGAACATATATTTAGAAACCAGCAAAGTAGAGGTTACGAGTTAATTAATTAAATTAATTGTTTCATTTAGGCTGGGCAACCGTGTCCCCACTCTTCCGATGGATGGCGGCTCCAAGGATGAAATTGACAAGAAATTGGAAGCCTTCGTCATGGCTCCTGTATACTCTGGCGGTCGTCGAGTGACCACCCCTGTGTTGATTATTTCCTATGAAACCTTCCGACTCCACGCCCACGTCTTGACGAAAGGAGAGCTCGGAATTGTCATCTGTGATGAGGGACATCGACTTAAAAACAGGGAAAATCAGACCTACGCCGCACTAGGTAGAGAATTTATAGTTTTTATCTATTCGCTCATTTTTTAACACCACAATTTTGTCCTCCATAGTTCAATTAAAGTGTAAGAAACGCGTCATCCTTTCCGGCACTCCCATCCAAAACGACCTCCTCGAATACTTTTCTCTCGTCCACTTCGTCTCAGAAGGGATTCTCGGGACGGCACAAGAATTCAGGAAAAATTTTGAACTACCAATCCTCAAGTCCCGTGATTCGTTTGCCTCCGATAAAGAAAATGCTGCTGGACAGGAAAAATTGAGAGAATTATCAGCTGCCGTAGAAAAATGTATGATCCGCCGTACCTCTGCCTTATTAACGAAATATTTGCCTCAAAAGATAGAGCTTGTCGTCTGCTGTAACTTGACCCCGGATCAGGCCACACTTTACAAAAAACACGCCCTGAAATTCACATCCTCGTCGGCAGGCGGAAATAAAGCTACATCTACTCTCGCAGCGATCACCAGTCTGAAAAAGTTATGCAACCATCCCGATCTCATAGCAGATCCTCTCCCCTCGAAATTAAATGTCGAGGCTTCCGGAAAATTCAAAGTTCTTGACATGCTACTCGCCGTGATTAAATCGACAACCGATGATAAAATTGTCCTTGTATCAAATTATACGCAAACAATGGACTTTTTCGAAAAGTTGTGTCAACTTAGAAAATATGGATTTACCCGGCTAGACGGATCGATGGCTATCAAGAAGAGGATGAAAGTGGTGGATCGATTTAATGACCCCACGAATAAATCAGAGTTCATTTTTATGCTAAGTAGTAAGGCTGGTGGGTGTGGGCTTAATTTAATTGGGGCGAATCGTCTCATAATGTTCGATCCAGATTGGAATCCGGCGAATGATGCGCAAGCCATGGCCAGAGTTTGGCGAGATGGACAGAAGAAACAGTAAGCCAATTACTAACTAATTAATCTTGATACTACTGAAGTGCTAATTAATGACCTCGTAATTATTTTTCAGATGCTTCGTCTACCGTTTCTTGGCCACTGGGACATTAGAAGAGCGTATTCTACAGCGCCAATCACACAAAAAGTCACTCTCTTCCTCAATCGTGGATCAGGATGAGGACCAAATGGCTAAGAAATTTGATCTCGCTATGCTCAAAAAGTTGTTCAAACTGGAGGAAGAAACTGAATCGGATACGCACGATAATCTTCATGTAATAAATAATTGTTACACTATGCATAAATAATCCTGATAATTTAGTAGTGTTTAAAACTAATATGAAATTTTAATTTATGCAGTGCACCCGATGCGTGAACGGTATCCAAATAAAAAAACCTCCAGAAGGCTCCGATTGTAATTCGGACTTGAGTGAATGGAATCACACGAGAGACCGGAAGGGGATACCAGACGTCGCTTTGAAACAGGTCCACGGTGCGGGAGGAATCTCGTTCGTCTTTCATCACATATCTCATGAACCTATCGTTATACCTTAAGGAAGAAAGTTTACGCTTATTTAAGATGATTAACTGCCAATAATAATTTTGGTTAATTAATACTGAATGAAAGCTTTTATTCATTTTATTTATATAACAATTCTTTGAATACGAATCGTTAAATTGAGAACATGTCAGGAAATTGTGATGTCATCTTTAAAAAATATACATTTCTTACAATTAACTTTTGTTACAATTAATTAATACAACAAACACGAGTCAAGAAAAAATCCTTAAAAATATTTAATTATCAGTCAATTTGATTCAAATTAACTCGACTTCTTACCCGGAGATTTACGAAACGGTTTGACTGGCCGAAGAAATGGATTGTCAATCAATTCCCAGCTCACACTGACTGCTGCCTTTTTCGCTGGCGGTGCTACGGCACCACCCTCCTTGGTCTCGTTATCAGAGTCATCGTCATTCAACTTTGGCAAATTTTCTACGACTTTCTCCTTCCTGACGAAATTTAATCGCTGGGGGGTAGGATCCTCTTCGAAAATCTGATCCCGTGGAACCAACGGATCCACACAAGTTACCGGTTTAGGCAATATCATGGGGTACATGGATTGATTTTCGGGAAAAATGTAGTAGCATGGCGAGGTCCGGGCGATATACTTTGTTAACGAGCGTTCCAAGTCGCGCTTTTGTTGCGACATCTTTTCTCGGCAGGCTGAGTAATCAGTGAGGGGTTGTTTGTGGGTCTGGCAAAGAAGTACCGCAATTAGTATTTAATAAATTATATACAGTGCTTAGAACTGAATTTATGAGACTCACCGGAGTCCGAATATACGCGTGAGGATCCGGCATGGGGGGAAAGTAATCTGGAATATAATTTGGTAAAGGTCTCTTCTTCCCTGCTGAAAGAATGGAGGGCACTTTCGGCAGAGGCAACCCTCCTGGGGCAGGAATCACGGGTTTCGTACTGCGCCGACTGAATGCTCTCAACCCAACAGGATCGACTTTAATTCCCATGTCGACAAGGGCCATGGTCACATCGCCAACTGTGGGCTCAACCCGGCCAGCCAATTCAGTAAACATTCGAGTAGTGCGACCCATCTCGGTGAGTACTGGAAGAAATAAGTTTAAATCCAATCACAAATTAATTTAAAAAAACAACAGCGAATTTGCATTTCCAATAAACTTACTGCTTTGAAACATTTCCGTCAACATTTCCAATGCGACACTCTCTCCGCTTTCATACCCGACTTCTTGTACCATGAGGGCCACTGCTTGGCTGAGTAATTTGCGACGCTGATTTTGTGGGGGGTCCATTGTTAACCAAAGTTTAACCAACCTTAAACGTTAACATTTTCAAATCAAAATTGTAACTCAGTTCAACAACGAATATAAATTCAAAGTACGAAAAGTTGTACGAAACAATCACTTACCAATGGGTATATAGTCAATTTTACGCAAAATGTGTCAATTAATTAATTTTTCAAATAATTAATATTTTTCGTCACAAATAACATAGCCGGGATTTTGTGTTTTGTTTTGCATTTTGGACTTTTGATTATTTCGCCGACTTGACTTGTCTCAGTTCGACGTGAAACTCCGCCAAATTCCATACTTTGTACAACTCACTCTTCTCATCAGTGTCATACAAGATTTATTTTGTGTCGGCATTTCAAAATCAGTTGTACTCTTTCGAAATTTGGGTAAGTGTTAAGGTCACCGTGTTATTAAATCAGGTATCGTCGTCTGCAAAGAGTTAGCAAAGGCCGTTATTTTGTAAGAGTTGATTATAGTGAAGATATAAATGTTTTATGTAACATTTTTCTCAAGTTGATTTCATAAAATTATAATAATTCGAAATTTAACTACTTCTAGCGTTTCAGATAAGATGTTAACGTCATTCTCAATCTCACCCTGCATGGGGAAAGTTAACAGTTTATCGTTCCTCTTTGTCTTTTCCGTTCTTTCAAATCGGTTCGTGATCTCGGATAATTTAACACCTCGTGGAGTTCCTTTATCAAGTGAGTATTAAGTATTCTTTTATTTTGTGTATAAGTGTATGAAATCAACGGTTTATGCTTTTGGTGTGTTCAGGGGCTGCCTTGTACGACCCTCAAAAGGATTTCAGTTGTCTCGACGGCTCAAAACTTATCCCGTTTTCAATGGTTAATGACGACTATTGCGACTGTCCGGACGGAAGTGATGAGCCTGGGACATCGGCGTGTTCACGAGGGAGCTTCTTTTGTCAAAATGCTGGTTTTGTGGCAGGATATATACCGTCAAGTCGGGTTAATGATCACATTTGTGGTAACGACAAGATTCAAACTTAGTTTATAGTGCTTAATTTCCTGATTACAAATTAATTTTTGCCGTGTTTTTCAGATTGTTGCGACGGCTCCGACGAATCAGGAACTGTTCAATGTTCCAACACATGTGACGAGCTCGGTCGTGCTGCTCGCGAGGAAGGGGAGCGCCTTGCCAAACTGTTGAAAGATGGTTATCAAAAACGGGTCGAGATGGCCAGCTCGGGCAAAGAATTTCGCAAGTCGAAGGACGAGGAGAAAGCAAAACTAGAAGTGGAGAGGCAAAGACTTGAAATTATCAAAACTGAGAAGGAGAGGATAAAGGAAGAAGTTGAAGCTCCAGAAAAAGAGGCTTTAGAAAGGTATACAGTGTTAATTTGCTTAAATAGCTAATTATTTTATTTGTAATAACTATGTATGAATTTATCTCCAGGTACCGCTTGATTGAGGAAGAGAAACAAAAACTCCTCAATGCCGCCGAGGAAGCTAAAGCCGCCTCAGAAGCTGAAAACATGTTCATTCTTTTGGATTCCAACGGGGACGGAAAGCTAACCAAGGATGAAATAAAAACGCGACAGACTTTCGATAAAAATAAGGATGGCGAAGTTTCGGACGACGAGGCCCTCTTCTTTTTAAACATGGAGGAGGAAATGTCCAAAGAAGACTTTCTCACGACTGGATGGATGATGGCGAAGCCCTTCTTTCTCATGGACCAAGGTATGTTCCAACCTCCAATAGAAGACCAGGAAGAAGAACAAGAGCCATCCTTAATGTCAGGAGGACAACCCATCACGGTGACTGAAGCCCCGTTAAAAGAATTAACCGAAGAGGAAATCCAAGCTCAGGGAGACCACGTTTCGTATAATGCAGCTGGAGAAAAGGAAATCATTCCTGGCGTCGTAGAGGAGCAGGAGGAGGAGGAGGAATTGTATGAAGAAGACGGCCCCGCGTCGGTGGAAGATGTCAAAGTTGAAGAGTCAAAGTATGACGAGGCTACGCAGCAATTAATCGATGGTGATTTAAACTAAATTTGTAAGTTAGTTTGCATATGCTTGTTTTAGTTTCAAGATGAAATTATTTATTTTAGCTGCTGAAAAGGCAAGAAGCGAATTTAACGAGGCGGACAAAAGTGTGAGAGACATTGTTCACCAACTCGAAGAGCTTAATGACGTCCTCAACCTCGACTTTGGCGATGATGAGAGATTCGCCCCCTTGCACGGACAGTGTTTCGATTTCGAGGACAGAGAATATGTTTACACGTTGTGTCCATTTAAATCGGTACATAGAGATTTCATAAAATTTATGTAAAAATATAAATGCATTTATTAAATTATTTCGTGGTTATTATTCAGGCCACCCAAAAACCACGCAATGGCGGAGGTGAAGTAAATTTAGGTAAATGGGGTTCCTGGACTGGTCCGGAGGACAATAAGTACACGGAAATGTTTTACGATCGAGGCCAAAATTGCTGGAATGGGCCAAATCGTTCTGCCCGGGTAGAGATATTACTTACACATAGCAGTTTAGCTCATAATTCCTATAAAATATTGATTATTTCATTCCTCATTCATTCTTTAGGTTAAAATCGCATGCGGAACAGAAAATAGGTTAACTGGAGTGTCCGAGCCGTCCCGGTGTGAATATCAGTATGAATACATTTCTCCAGCAGCATGTTCTCAACCACACCATGGTCATGATGAACTTTAATGTCTGTGTTATTTAAGAAGAGGATTATACAGAATAGGAATACCCACTCCTTCTCTTGAAAATATCGATTAATCATTAAACTCCTACTTATATTATGTACGAAGTGGGCACCATATTTGTAAATTGTAAACGAAGAAAGAAGATATGACACCCTGAATATTATTAGTCAATTATTATTTGAGATTAAGTTTTAATTTAATTACTTAATTATTGGGCTTAAAATAGTGTTTCCTCATTCAATGAAAACGTCATAATATTGTAAATACAAGCCCACATTTGTAGTGTGCCTCTTTACGTGTTATCCAATATAATGTTATCAATAATCAATTATGTTATCTTGAAGTTTCTCTATTCCAACTCAATTGTTATCTCTGCATTTACTTTTAACGAGTCATATGAAAATTAGTGATAAGTTTAAGTTCGATATAAAATGTGATTTTCATTCCAACAGAATTACCTAAACATAATATAATTGTTATTTAATGCTGCTGGTTTAACTGATAAAATTTGCATATGGATAAATTATTATAACTATTTGATAAATTATTATGAGTAAAGATTGTGAAAAAAACTTGACAGTTATTAGTTCATAACTTTCTTCTTGATTGTTATATTTTGATTTCATAACGGTTTTTGCTTTTTGATTTATTTTCTTGAATTTTAATTTTTCATATTGTACCCTATTTACACAATACAGTAGAGGAATGAATTCGTCTAGAATTTTACTCTTCTAGCATTTCATTTCATTAAACACGAATGAATTTTTAATTTATTATTAGACACGAGTACAAGAAACAATTTTTGCTTTTTCTTCTTCTCCATCACCAAAGTTTTCGATTCTCATGAAAATTTCATTTTTTAATTTATGATTTGGTTTCATTTTGGTGATTTTGATTCTTTGTTTGCTAAATCTGGTTTTAATTGGAACTGAAATAATTAATATATAGGGCAGCTCATCGCATCCTTCTTCTTTTGAGTTAACAAAATTGTTAACTAATAATTAATTAATTATAGCATTCATTCTTTACTCTCGTCATAAATAAATTTGTGCTCTGATATCATCTTTCCATCGCAAGACAATTAATAATTAAAAATAGCCTTTTAATAATTAATTAAACAAGTTCACTTCATTTGCTGGTGGTTTGGTTAACTAATTATTTTAGTCGTTTAAAAAGAATATAAGGAATATTTAAACCGAAGCATTTTTTGGTTCGGAGTAAATATGTTTAGTTTATATAGGTATGTATGAATCAGGAATTTAAGCAGAAAATATTTTAAAAAACATGTCTCTCTGTGTAATCAATGAACTAATTTTAATGATAATATGAAGATGAATACCCTTCAGTATTAACTGTGTGCTATCACTTCGTGTAGTTGACTTGACGTTGACGCATAAAATTAAATGATTATTAATTAATTGCCTATTTAAAAATTAACCAAAACTCAAATAGCTTGACCACCTTTCACACACACCTTTCCACCACATTCTACATAATAAGTTAGTTAATTGCTTTCTTAATTCTTCGTCTCCTCATTTTTTATATAGCAAATATATCAAAATATCAATCATCGATGATGGATGCGGCTCCTTCTCATTTCTCAACTTTTAATTAATTAATTCATATATATGTATATAGCTAGAGCATCTTGTTTCAGTTTTCACAGTTGTAACAATATTAGATTATGTATGCATTTTAAGAGTTAACAAAATTAAGAGTTTTTGTAAATAACAGACACATGCTTTTTAAGGTTCATCAGGTGACTTTAAGCTAATTTTATATAAGGGAGGAGAAAAAAGCTAGAGATAATGTTTCAAAGTTTTTTTCTTTCTTATAAAAAATGTGTTAATACAAGCAGCGTATTAAAAATGCATTCCTTCCTTCTTAAGAACGACATTTTTGTTTATATTAAGTAGCAGTTTTAGATTTGGTAGTGATTTTTAGTTAGAGACACATTTAGATTTTTTCAATACGGACAGTGAGATTTTTTATAAGGTTAAATATAAAATGGTTAAAATTTCAACAGTCGGTTTTAAATTTTAAAGTTCTCTGACACATTATGTTTTATACGTATTTCTCAGGAAGTCACTCTTTTAGTACGTCATCGTCGTCCTAAGTATATTAAACTCGTTCTTCTTGTTGTGTAGTCATCATTTTCATTTTACTGTCAGAGAAGGAAGGAGAGACAAAGGGCACACATTTTGCTCATGAATTAATTTTTTTAGAGTATGTAATTTAAGTGGAGTTTAAGTTTTTAAGACATTTTAGCTAGCTCTTTCCTGCATGCTGAACATGAAGATAAGATATACATATATATATATATTTAAAGGAGAGGAAGATAAGGTGTTGTGGAATTATGTAGTGATTGTAGTAAGTAATAAGAATTGTGGTGTGGCTGTCGTGTTGAAAAAAATACAAAACATTACAAGAAACACAACCAATACATTTCTGTTCATAATATATCATCTACCTAGGAAAAAAAATTATTACTTTTTGTGATGTGTATATAATTAATTAAAATGTGTTGTTTAAAATTCATTATATCTCGTAGTGTCTGGTGGGAGGACATGATAAATACGAAGACTCTGGGAGGCAACTACTTCTATTTAATACCCTACACAAATTATTCATTATTATATTATTATTATGACGGGCTGACAAGAAGTAAAGTAATGACCACACGTTATAAATTTAAATTAATATAATTAGCTATGCTTAAAATTGGGGTGGATTAGAGAATTGAACATTTCCACCGACCCGGACGACCACCCCCGGGTTTATTTCTCTTGTCTTTCCCTTTCCTTTCCTTCTGCAATATTCAATCGCATCCACACATATTAATTAAACGGGGGCCATACAAGTTGGCATTTAAAAAAATAATCCACTGTACTCACGTCTTTTCTAATTTCTCTCACGAGTGTATAAAAAGCCTCATCTACGCCCATCCTTGTTTTGGCAGAAGTTTCGACAAAAGGAATTCCATATTGTCTTGCTACATCTCTTGCTTCTGACATCCGGACCGTTCTCGTTTGAAGGTCACATTTGTTTCCTACCACTTCATCAAATCAAGGCGTACCACATATTAATTACACATGTCGACATTGTAAAACTGCTCTTAATTGACCAATTTCTCCACTTACAAACCATGGGTACATCGTCAGCATCCTTAACCCGTTTAATTTGTTCCCTATACATACTGATATCTTCAAAGGATTTGGAGTTATTGACGGCAAATACTAGTAGGAATCCCTCTCCTGTCCTCATATACTGGTCTCTGTTTAAACAAGAAAAAGTGAAGGTGTTTTTCTTGTCACATCCGCCATCAGATCTTAACCCTTTAAACTGTAACGACGACAATTGTCGTTTTATAAGAAATGGTTTAATTCGGGAGTACGACAAAAGTCGTCCTGAAAAATCGTGGTCATGGCGCGGAAGGAAGACAATTGTCGTTTCTAGGAGGTCATTGATTTTCACCATTTTCTCTCCGCGACCGAAAATTTGTTGCAATTTTGAGGGATTTCTCCTATGCCAACACAATGCTAAATTTGAAGATTTTCTTCCCAAAAATTTGGATATTTCCCTATACAACGCAATGTTAAATTTTTGATTTTTCAGTTTTTCGAGTTTTATTAAAAACTCCTGAATTTCTCCTCCCGCGCCATGACCACAACATACTTATAGTGTCCCCGATTTAATGCATTTTCTTGTCGTCAATCATACACGTTAAAGGGTTAATCACAATCTCTTAAATTCTCTTATCATCTGTCACCCACCTCATGGCACTATACTCCTCCTGACCGGCGGTGTCGAGAATGTCTAGTAGACACGTTTCCCCATCGATAACAACCTGTTTTCTATACGAATCCTCGATCGTGGGGTCGTATTCATCTACAAAACTGTAAATTGACACAAAACAATTATTCATCAAACCCCACGGAAAAACGGAAATTACATCATTAATTACATATTACTCATCTCTCTTGTCACTTACTGATTTTGGATAAGCTGAATTGTCAAGGCACTCTTGCCCACGCCACCAGCTACAGGGAACAAATTCGTTTCATTTTTAAATTCACATACACCTTAATATCACTAAATTGCATTAAATTAATGTCGTTCTTACCACCAACAACGACCAACTTATACTCCGTCATGGTCTCGTCGTCCACGTCACGACAAAAGGCGACGGCGACGACAAAGTAATGACGGACAACCCACCCACCCGAAAAAACTCGCGATATCCTCCCCGAAAGAAATATTTGTATTCGAAAACAATACACACTTTGATAATATGTAATAATTTCTTTACACTTTTACTTAAAAATAAAAAACCACCAGTACGAGGATAGCCTAATTTTTTTAAGTCGTGATAAAATTTTCAGGAGTTTTTCGCATCGAGAGTGACTGAGTAAAAGATGAGCTATTTTGTAGCAATTTGTATTTAGTACTCGATTTATGCTGGAAGTGGATGAGAGAGAAAATTAAATCACACTACAAGGAGTAAGTAACCAAAATGTAGTAGTAGTATGAGTCCAATAGTAGTTTTGTTTAGTATATAAGGGCTGGTTTGGCTATATAAGTTGCCTCCACTACTCATCCGGCAGATGACACAAAAGACGCACTTCACATTACGCCAGCAGTCCAAATCATGCAAAAATCCATTTCTCCACTCGGCAAGTAGGAGACTGGTTCTATTTCGGCAAAAAATTTGGGCGAAAATGGGATAAAAATGGGTGGTGAAAAAGTCGAACGAATTTGAGCGGTGTCAAAATTGTGATTTACCTTTCCGGAGTAAAATTCTAGAAATTTGAATGTAGCTAATTTAAATTTTCCATAAAGTCGAACAATATTTAGACTTTATATAATGTATGAAAGTATACACAAATATACGAAAGTCGTGAAGACGTTATGGTAAATGAAATGAGGACCACAACTAGTTCACATTTGCATGTATACATATTCGCTGGATATTTGTTGTGAAATGCAAAAAATAATTTCTGCCCTATTTTGAATATTAAACTTTATGTAACTGTAAATAATTTAAACGGTCAACATGCAAATTAACCCAAATTTTTCAGTTTATTTGTTAATTTAAATACGGAAAAGTTAGCAGCAACGGTGAAGAACTTAAAGTAAGGTTCAGTGCAGACTTTTTAATTTCCATACTTTGGAAGATTCGAACACAGGTTGCATATTTAGGCAACTCTGTGGATACGAATCTCAACAGAACTTGAATTTAGCTTATGAATTAAATTTATTTTCAATTAAGTCAAATTTGTGAAAAAATTTAATAAGTAGTTTAATCTTTTCTAAACTTATTTTCTAAATTGTATCTAATTTTTTTAACTCGCTCTTTTTTAAATTACTGTAATAACAATCGTTTCAAAAATAACTTCATCGTAAAATATTCTTAATAAGTACATAATCGCAATGACGCGAAAGTCATAAAGATAAGTGAAATAAAGAGCAATTAACAGTCAGCGATGAGCATTTAAATTTCTCGGAATGTCATGAATAATCTACAAATCGCCATTATTATGACATGAACACCAATTACTTCCTTAAACGGAAAGCTATCAGGATTGATTTTATTTTCTATTTCGTTGTTTTGCTTTCTCCTCAACTTGATCGCGTGGAGAAGCAAAAATCGTTAAAGTCATGATTCATAAATGGAATCATGACTGTAATTGGTTCGATTTCGAGTGAATTTCATTGTTAGTCAGTCTGCCTCTTTTCCTCAGAGAAAGTCTGTGATATGGAAAATATATATATTTGCATGATATTTGCGTGGATGGACAGTTTTGCTGGTAATATGAAACCCACCACACTTGTCACTCGTCACTCAAAAAGGGTTGGATGGCATTAAATAATTGACGTTTGTCTCACAGGAAAGATTTCCTGGTAAGTATGTAAGTATGATGATTATTGACAAGCGTATTAAAGAGACGATTTATATGATTAAATGGAAATATGCAAAGTCTTTAGTTCGTTATATTTCTGTGCTTCAAGTGGTAAATACTAGAAAATTCTCGTATGATATACAACACACGGAAAGTGACACAGTTTTGCGGTACTAATGTACCGAGAGCTTTCTCTTGTCGAGAAAGGTGACATTTTTTCAAGTGGATGTTATCCTTCAGCTTTCAAGTGAAAACAAATAAATCGACATTCTTGTACTTTTTAAGTATTTAGAAAGCAATACATGTATCGTATGCAAATATGACAATGGATGAATGTTTTGCAGTGATACGTAGATAAAATTTGACCTAGAGAAAATATACTTCAATTTTCCCTTCTCTCATGCATAAAAATTGACGATAAATAAATGCAAAGATTATGCAGGATAAAGTTGTCTTTTCAAATTCTACATAGGCTTAAATATTAAGTAGATGAGAAAGGTGAAAGTTCATTCTTAAAGTTGCCCGACTTTGTTTAATCATACTTAATTATGCATATTATGTATTTGACTGGAAATGTGAACTGAAATCGATATTGATTATAATGTGACCATTAAGACATCGACAAATATTTTGTCTTATCCATTTATCCAAATCATATCAATACGACATAAATGTGTATATGTACATATACCATTCATATTTATTATGCTCATCTCATTAGTCTAGTCTCATCTCCCTCTTGTCAATTCAACTCTATATATTTAGCCCTGGCAAACGACTACTTATGTCCTGACATACAAAACGAAATAAATGCGGATAAAACCTTAATTCCCTTTTGTGCATGGACTTATGTACACGGAATTAAAAGAGAAAGTCTGGAATTAAATACCTATCACGACCAAATCCATGCGCCTCAACCTTTCCATTGTGACCTATAACTGTCCCCTCAACACTTATTTCTCCAATCAATCCATCCATCTCGCTTTTGTTTCTCAAGTTATGAATGTGTCTCCTCGTTCGTATTTATTCATTTAAAAGGTGGACACACTTTCTCCACAGTCCATTCAACCCTTTCTTTAACCGAAGACAAATCGAGTATACGCATCAAGAATACGTCTACCAAAACCACCACCAGGACTGAAAACGTGAACAAAAGAGGGTCTTAATTTCTAATTAATTCTTTATGAATAGCGTGGACGTGGACTGCGTAGTCGACAGCCATGAACTCGTCCTCGCTGGTTGCATGGTTGGCGAAAAGCTACATTTCAACATGCCCGTTTCTTTCATTGTCCTCTGGAAAATGACCAAATCAATGGTCGCATACAATAAAAAAGTAAAGTACAAAGGAGAAAGTAGTGTCCATTAGTTCTGCTCTATTTAACTGGCTGTACTGTATGCAACTGCCTCGCTGTTATCATGCAAGCAAATATAATGACAAGTGACGCCCAGGCAATAACTGACCAATTAACTTTACATTAGAAATATTTAAGTGAAAGTTAATAATTTACGTATGTATGCAAAAATGGGCCAAAAACTGTACAAACCAGGCAAGATTTGTCTACAATATTTCTCTTAAATTTAAATACAATTTACTTTTCTACGTGGCAGATCCACGCAATTATTAAAAGATTCTTACACACCTGCCACCAAATCGCTTTCTCTCCATGCCATGATTCATTCCGTGTCTCCGTGCCCAATCCATTATTAGTTTAGCTTAAGGAGAAAGCTCGCATATCGTGGATTGAATGGCGTACACTCGAGTTGTATTTACTGGACCTATGTATTCCAGGCCACGTTTCGCTTATTGAAAGCAATGAATGTGTATGTATGTACAAACCTATGTATCTTGTCTTCCCAGGATACCAATCTCTTCTGAGTTTCTGCATGAAACTGCATGAAATGATTTAAGAAAATAAGTAACATGGGCGAAACTGTGTTGCACATATTTTTAGTTTTCTCCCAGACAAAATTTCAGGAAATTAGAGTCGAAATTGAATTTTTTTGTGGAGAAAGCTACCATTTTTCGAAGTTCTCAGGTTAAAGTAATAAGTCAAAATTGTAATATTTCGACTTATACAAAACATGTTTCTTAACATTACGACGATAATACCATGAAATGCATATGCAACGATAATTAACCTTAATTTTACCTATGACTTGGCCCATAAAAAATAATTTTGCTAATTTCCTTTCTCAGAGAAAGTGAGCGAAATATGGCAATATTTTCGCTCATGTGCAATTTCTTCTCCCACGTCTGTGGCGGCACACTGGTTGCAAAAAGTAATGCCAATACCAATTCCACCCTGCAAATCCTCCAGCAAATAGAATACACCTGCTGCCTCTGCGAATTCGATTCGATTGACACGTATGAAAAACATAACACACGGCGGCATAACTGTAACAGACGGGTGACACTATAACTGTCCCAGTGATATTTAACCAAGCGCACGACGACCATCATCCCATAATCCTGCCAGGCTTAGTTTACTTATTACTCGGAATTTTCTCCGAAAGGTGAACATGACACGTTTGGGGCTTAGTTAGTTCCCTGAGAGAAAGCGTATAAGCGACGACGCTGGTTGTGGTCGGTCGGCGGAGAGAGAAAGTTGACATTTTACTTTATCAATACACATATATCATCGCATTTTATAGTGTATTCTCTCCTTCTTCCTGGGTATTAATGTAGAATCAGTTCTTCTTTAATAAACAAACAAATATAAAAGGGTCGTCGTTTCCCTTTCACCTTTCGAAAGGTTTGATGGGTTTATACGGCTCTTGGTCAATCATGACAAAATTGTTGGGGGTTGGTATTCCGGATTGAGATCTACTTGCACTTTTGTCGACCAGGTAAATAAAAATTGGATGAAATATTTAGCCATTTAAATATTTTAGGTGAAAGTCTTTTATTACAGTTTTGTTAAAAAACAATATTTCTGGGATATGAAATCGGTGGTGAAAGCAGGAGAGGAAATGACTCGATTTTAACTCTAAGAAAGCTCAGGTGCACGGAATGTTCGATACTCATCGATAAGCAATTAAATCCTTTTCCTGGAATTGTAGTGCATACGCAATTATTATTTTGCTGAGGCAAAAACAAGGCACAACAATGGCAATTACGCAGGGAAATTTAATAAGTATGGTGAGGATATTAATCCCTCTCAATCTGAATTTCTGATAAAGGATATCATTTAAATCTAATAAATTTCATTTAGCATTTTCTATTGCAAACTAAATTAATTTCAAATAACAACAATAACAAACAAACAAAAAGCAAATCATATTGTAACAAACACAAAAATCCATCAAAATGTGAACAAGAGTTCAATGCATTGAAGTGAAAACTCTTCACTTTTGTTCACATTTTCCATACGACTCACAACTTTCATCGCATACTTATTTACTGCAAAGAATAAGACCGACATTTCTAAAAGAACAAGAACCCATAAGAAAAGTGTCATCTTTTACGTCACTCAATAACCAAAGAACAAGTAGGAACGGACATATCAATAATGAAAGTTAGCATTTTCCTCTCATTATTACTTCTTCGAAAGGTTACCATTGTTCGTTTCTAGCACCCTTGAAATTTCGAAAATTCTCTAATTCTCAGTTCAAGGAAACTTTCTGCGTAACAAATACGCAAACAGAATCATTAACTCAAACTTTGACCATTGTGATAAAATATTTTGTAAAGGATTTCCTTCGAGATTAATTTATGTCATCGTGATATGTCGATGGCTAAGCTCAACCTGCTCTCTTGCAAAATTAATGAGCAGTTTATAAATATTTTATTCTTCGTCTTCTTTACAATGCTCTAAAAACTTGACAAGTAAAAAAAACGAATATGCCGACCTTGAATTTATACCTGTTCGTTATGTCTTATGTGAAAGTTACCCTCGAAACTTTTCACCGTGAAAGTTGCACTCTACAATAAAACCGAGGCAGGCTAATTCATGTCATTTCATGTCATGTCAGCTCTGTGCACATAGAAATATACATATGTATTTGTGTATAATGTATGTACACAGGTCTCTTCAGGTACATATGTCGTAATGCAAGTAATCAATTCTAAAGTCAAATCCGTACCTTGTCTGTATTTTTTTGCGATGCACTCGGCCAATTGCATGTGCCAATTTCCATATAAAATAAGTACAATTCTGCTAATAGTGAAGCTACAAAACAAACATCAATCCAGCGAAAAATGCAAAGATATCAAGTTTAAAAGCTGACTAAAAATACGTATGCTTTCTCCATTCACATGTCCAGTCCACTAACTAAAGAGTGACGAATATTTGTCCACCATCAACCATGCTTAAAATGGTTACAAAGCTTTCCCCACCTACACGAATAAATAAACCTCTCTCTCTAAGAATTTGCATATCCATTATTAACTTGACTGACTCCCCATAACTAAAGGTGCATGAAAAGTTATATAGTCTAGGATATTGATATTGATTATGAACATTTAACAAGAAATCGATATTATTTATCCTCACATTCTCCTTTAAATATTATGCAGAGAGAGGTGTCCATTTGTCACCATGTACGGTCGCCACAACGGCATCCTGCTCGATCTGGAGGATGATGACGATTTAGAATATCAGACCAATTATTCAACTTCCACCAACAATGTGGAACCATCTTCTTCTTCTTCGTCATCCCGATTTCAGCAGAATTTGCTGTTTCAACAACGCCAAACTCAAAATAATGTGGTGCCCAAAAAAGTGAACCCGGACCTTCTGGTGCCACCCACGATACAGTATCACAATCCAAAACCAATGCTCAATAATTACTCTCGGAGGAAAAGTGTGAGTGCAGAACCGCCCTGGAATTCACCTCCGCCTCCGCCACCAGTGATTACCTCGTCTTATCATCAAGACCAACCATATCATCATCAGAACGGATATCATTACAATAACTTATCCCCGACTAATCACCTCACTGTACCTGTGTTTCAACGGGACAATGCGATTACGGTGGCTCCCTCGCGAAATTCTCTCCTCGAGCCGAACGTTTTCGCTGGAGGGAGACTGACCACACCTTCGAACAACAATAATCATCACCACCACAAGAAAGTGCATCACCGGAAGCATAAAGGTCGCTCGAAAAGTCCGACGAGAAATGTACCACAATCTGAAAGTGGTGGTGCTGCAGGTACGAATGGGTGTTCCATCTTGGACAGAATTGATAACTCGATCCTCTCCAAGTTTGGGGATTGGTCAAAGATGGATGACAACAATTCATTACTCCGCTCAAACTCAAACAACACAAATAACTCAAAAAATTCTACTTCAACGAGACCCTACTACTTTCCGAAAAGAATGAGCAGTCTAGATGACGAGATATCCTTTTCAAGTAACAGCACCACACCCATCGGGACGGGGAGTAGTAGTGGTGGCGGTGGTGTTGGGTTGCCAAAATTATTCAAAAATTACGATACTGTCCTCAAGACGGCGAAGTTGGCTGATCAAAGTTATAATAAGATTGCTCTCAGTAAGGACAATAACGACCCAAATTCGATCCTTAGTGAGGCAAAACGGACACTGAGCCGATTCGGGGGACAGGAAATTTGATTGAAGAATATTTCTCTTAATATTTTTGAAAATAAATGAATATCAAATACAAACAAATCTATTTTGTAGAAAGTATTTTATTACCAATTTTTTCATACAACTTTGACAGGTTTGGGTGGCTTGGGTGGCATAAAATTAGGGGTGTGAGGTCCTAAACTTTCATATGCATAATAATCCATCGGGTGACCTTTATACTCACAGGAGGAGCTCTGATTTCCTGAACACCCGTCTCCACAATTTCTGCTCCCCCACATCGCCTCGAAAGGTGTAAGAATAGGAACTTGGAAGGCATTCCCCCAGTCGATACTTAACCTGGGACAAGCGAACTGTACCCACAAATCGACATCTTTAAACAACGCTAACTTAGCCGGGATCACTTCTGACATTAGGATGATGAAACAGTCGTGTCTTTCAGAAAGTTTATTGTAGACGTGCTCAACAGGTTTGGGATTACCTAAATTTATGAACAATTATTGTTAATATTACTTTATCAACTAATAAATTGCCAATTATGATTATACAATAATTTGTTTGATTATTTACCTTGTCGCCCAAGGGTGCCTTGAATGATTCCGATTTTTAGGCGTTTCCTTCCCATTTCGGCGGAAATCAGGGGAGCAACGGAGGACTGTCGGGATACGGAGAGAGCACCGTGGTCGAAAATTTCTTCTGTGAGGGAACGATTGTAAGGGTCGTAGCTGTTTGAATCAGAGAAGTTTTCATTAAAGTTGGTAAGTCAGTCATCGACAACATAAACAACCATACAAATTTAGGAAACTATTTTGTAAAATCTATATTTTCATAAAGATCTGGCTGGAATCAGTATTACTGTCGTATTGTTCTTAAAAATTTAGCATAAAACTCACCGATAAGCCAACATGGCCGGATTCGCCATCATCATCGCCTCCAAATGAAATCTTCCATCGCCGACGTAAATAATAACATCGTCCCCCACCTTGGGTGCCGTACATCCTAAAATCTCCCCCGCCGAGAGTGGCTTACTCCTCGGAATGTTAACCATGATGTGTTTCCTCCCAATTTCTTCGTTCCCATTTCCTGCCTCCAACCCTTGCTTAATTGCTGCCAAACTGTTCGCAAACTGGATTGTTGACACTAACGCGACCTTTACTTTATCCTCCGGCACATCTTTCTCTTCCTCAATGATCCTTCCTCTATTTCCTGTCTTGAGTTTGGCCTCCAGCTCGGATGATTGCATTAGAGAGGAAATAGATTCGATGGCCGACTCGACGTTGAACTTTATCGTGACGAAGACGTAAATCGTCTCGATCCTGTTGGCCACCGAAGTCGGGACGAGACACGAGTGACCGTAGTGGACAAGCAATTGCGCCCCGAGGAGGGAAGCGGTGAAATCATCGACACAGCAGGCACCATACGTCACGTCGCCCATAAGGATGGTGTCCACACCAGTTAGGGCGTGGAGAACTTGGGCGATTTTCGAGGCGAAAATTAAAAGGCCTGTAAGATGCAATTGATGCATAATGTTAAATACGTTTTCAATTAACATGACGTAATATTAATGTTGTCGCTTACCTTCCGGCATCTGCAACGCGACCGTGTTACATTCGGCCGTCTTCTTGATGCGCCAAACGGTTTTGGCAATTTCGAAATCATAATTCGGTGGGAGATATTTTTCACACTGGGCGAGAAGAGCAGGGTCATTTTCAAGGGCCTTAATTTGCGCTAAAGGCGACACGGAGGAGGCCGTTTTCTTGGCAAAACTCATATTAACTGCAACTGTAAGATAGCCTAATTTTACAAATTACAATTAATAATACTTAAGGCGGAATATCATGCTGGCTGATGCGGGGTTTTTTGTTTGAATTGTTGTGTCTCAACTTTCCCTTCCTCCATGTATTCAAATGGCGATTTTGAAAAATGTTCACCGCCTTTCGTTTTTAACAATATGAAGATATTAATGCACCTAAAAATCGGTAATTTTTAGGCTTACATAGTTAGGAGATAAAAATTTTGATTTTTTTCTTCAACAAGAAGATAAATATAAAATAGATGAAAAATAATCAATAAAATTTAAATATTTCCTCATTGAAGAAAAAAATCAAAATTTTTATCTCCTAACTATGTAAGCCTAAAAATTACCGATTTTTAGGTGCATTAATATCTTCATATTGTTAAAAACGAAAGGCGGTGAACATTTTTCAAAATCGCCATTTGAATACATGGAGGAAGGGAAAGTTGATACACAACAATTCAAACAAAAAACACGTGATACAATGCCACGTTAAAAGTTAAAGTCAAAATAATCCTCAATTTTGTTACAGATTGAAATGAGATGAGCATGTGTTGGATGAATTTGCCGGCAAAGCAGCTGACTGATCCAGAGCCAGAGTGATAAAAAACCTGCTGATTTTATAAACAGTGAACATTTCACATTTGTTATTTCAAAAAGTTTAACTTTAATTTCGAATTAATAAATTTGCCTTTCAAGACTTTAAGTTACTGTTTAACTCTAATGCTACTGCTGCTATTATAACGGTGGATTCGTCAAATAATCTCCAGAAATGTAAGGGTTTCTGTATAAATTGTGTTAGTTTTTGCACTTTTTGCTTAATTTGTTTCATTTTTCATATGAAATTACAATTAAAATTAACCATCGCTAGCTGTCTTTTTGATATATTAATTCTTGAATATTTAATTACATTTCAGATGACGAATTCCCTCACTTCCCGTTTGACAAACGTGTTTATTCACAACTCAAGCTTTCGACTTATTAATGAGCCATTTCCCAAAAAATATTCCTTTATATCACCCTCAACTCGTACTCCCTTGAAGTTAAAAGGGATAAGCTTCGCCCCTTGTTTGTGTCTTTATCGGCAATCAGTTCGTAATTATGGCATTCTTGTGCCAAAAAACGCAGGCAAGTTGTTTAACGGACGAAGCCAGTTTTTGGGAATTCGAAATTTTTGGAACGGTCCAATGTCCCCTGAAAAGAAAAAGACGCGGATAACATCGACAATGTACTATTTAGCAGCCTTAGGCGTATTAACGGTGGGGGCGTCATATGCAGCGGTTCCACTCTACAGGATATTTTGTGCGGTTAGCTCATCAACACTTGTTCCTTAATATTTTAGCGATGATAAACCTGCAACTTATTGTATTGTATCTATATTTCCAGTCCTACAGTTATGGTGGGACAACCTCAACTCATGCCCCAGACAAGGATTTGTCGAAAATAAAGAAAGTCATGAACAAGGAAATCAGAATTCGATTCTTTGCAGATAAATCGTCATCAATGCAGTGGAATTTCAAACCTCAACAGTCAGAGATTATTGTAAGTGTAGCTAATACCCAACGCATTTAACCACGCATCATAAGTTATATTATGCTTACTAATTATTTTTTACTTATCCGTTAGGTCACTCCTGGCGAAACAGCACTCGCATTTTACCGAGCTGAAAATAAAACGCCTCTACCCGTCGATGGGATTTCCACCTATAACGTCATCCCCTTCGAAGCTGGACAATACTTTAATAAAATCCAATGTTTTTGTTTTGAAGAGCAGCGACTTAATCCGGGCGAAACGGTTGAATTGCCAGTCTTTTTCTATATCGACCCCGAATTTGTTAAAGATCCCAAGATGGAAAACGTTACGGAGGTCTCATTATCGTATACGTTTTTCGAGTCGAAGGAAATGCCCGGATTTAATTTGGCAGACTTAATGCGACCTCATGGAAGTAGAGAAAATGCCAAAATGGGGGTCGTAGCGGCGGCCGAGAGTTCTACTAGTCCACCTGATAAACTGATTGCAACTAATTAAATAAGTTAGATTCCAACTATTAAGTTTATCATTTATTTTAAATTTATCAATCATTTATCATGAATTGAGGTGACAAAAATTACAATAGTAAATGTATAATTAATTAATTTTCTGAAAACGTGAATACATAACCAGTGGAACCTACAATTATTTGTTTATGACGCTGACATCAAATTTTCATACTCCTTCACCAGGTCGATCATCCCTTGAGCCATTTTTGTCGATTTTACTGGGTTCTTTACAATCCAGGCGTTCATAATTCGGTTGAATCCTTCCACCATCTCTTCCGACGTTGTTCCAGTCATACTTTCAAAATCTAATTCGTTATAAGCTACAAGAAACGCTAAAAAGTTTAAATTGGTCAAATATCCATAGTATGCTCGGTTCTTATAGTCGCTGAACAGTTCCTGATAATTTGATTTAAAGGATAATTAGTTAAATAATACTAATGATAATCTATAAATTCTCATGCAATATTTTACCTCGAAGGTGGTCGGGCATTTTTTGTTCAAATGGATCAACGTGTCTGAAAAAATTTTGTGATAATGTGCCAACAAATCTTTCAAGTGTTTCCGTCTGACTTCTGGTTTGACGCTGGTATGCAAAAAGTAGGTAAGGTCTACACTTGGAGATGTGAACCGTGTAAGCTGCATGAAAAAAAATCATAGATTTCAGAAAATTTGTATACCAAAAATTGTTCATATGTCAAGTAGTTCGAAGTAGAAATGAATGCAAAGTCATATCATAATCTGAATTTTTACAACGCAATTAGACAAAATTCAAATAATTCTTAATACGCAATTTTGATAAAAAAGTTTATGACTTTATATTTTAAAAAGCTTTTTTTCAAATTTCACATATCAAAAGTCAGTAAATATTATTTTCCATTTCTAGTAAAGTTGGTCGCGTCTGTAAGCATATTTGCAATTCTTTTTTGTTACAAAGTAACAATTTGCAAATTCTCGAAATGCAAAATGTTCTGGTTGCTACTTATCATAAAATGCAGGTGAATTATTGAATTTATCTTCAACCTTATCTTGCCCCCATATACATACACAAACATGCATACGTACAACTTTGTTAAGAAATGTCACATGTTAGGACTTTTTTCAAAATGCTTACCTGCAGATCTACAAACATGTGCTCCTTGATGAGCTTCTTTCCATCTGAATCTGTATCAACTTTGAACAGCATGTTGTTATTCCAGCAGTCGCCATGATTCACCAAAACGACCTTGTCCTCAGGACTCACGGCCAAACATTTCAGAACGCCTGTGAACGTTTGTCCAATCATGGCTGCTAATTTGGTCGTAGTTTCTTCCGCATCAGGTAATGATACGCCCTTTCCAAAAAAATATAAGAATGACTGTTAATAAATAGCTTATCAAAATAACTGATTATCAGAATCATCTATTTTGCTACCTCAATTAAATACGAAATATAAATTGCTCTTAACCTTTAATATTGTTAAGCAGGTATTTATCGCATTATCAAACATTCCATGGACTGCAACATTCGTCTCCGAGATAAGGGCCTCATGGCAGATAAGCTCCCATTCTGAAGGGAAAGTTGCCCTTCCCCCATATTCGTCAACCATGCAATGAGTCACGGCATGAAATTGAGCAAGGTTTCCGAGAACGTGTCTAATCAAAATAAATGGATATTGCAATTACTTAAATGACTTAAATTTCAAACTCGCATTAAAATCGTTGCAGGTATGAAACGGACAATATTAAGAATCCTGAGCATAATTTAGAATGCAATTAAGTATTAATTTGCGAAAATTTTAGCAATTCTGCCATCACCAACTCCATAATTAATAAATATTTTGTGTTAAAACATACTATGAAATTGAAATCTATAAACTTTCTCTGAAAAACACACCGACTTCATAACTCAATTTTTTCCCATACTAAAAAGCAATGTACATTTAGGGAAACTTAAGTCCGTATATTTTTGCATCCCCCAATTTCCAATAATTTTCACTTTCGTAAATATTATCATTGCAATTAACTAAGTTCAATTACTTAGCAGTTTCCAGATCTTGTAACTCTTCCTTCGGAAGCATGACAAATTCATCGTTCAAAACGTGATTCTCCAGAACAACCATGTTTTCGTCCCCGTAAAGACACGCTGGGAAAAAGTGTAGTAAATCTTTACACCTTTATAAACAAATAACATTAAATTATGTGGCTATTTAACGCATTTTAAATTAAATTTATACCATTTTATCAATAACTTACCCTTCAAATTTAGCACAAAATTCTCTACAAGCTGGTAAAAATTTGTTGAAAAATTCCGACTCTTTGTCCATGATTTTCATATCTCGTGACGCCTTCGTATAGAGTTCACTATTCGTGAACTTTTTGACGAAAAGATTCTTCGCTTTTTTAGTGACATCCTTAAAATTGATGGTGACATAGACAGTTGCAGTGGCAGAGTGCTCCCCCCTCAGTTCTGGGGGGTGAACCATCGTAATTGTGTCGATCTCATCCTTTATTCCGTGGTCGCTCAGAATGGACGCCAATTTCTCCTGCAGTTCTAACGGCACGTCCTCAGCAAGAGGGGTGGTCATTTTGTTTGTAAGGTATTTGTACGTATTCTTAAAATGTACTTAAACTAAGAATTTAGAAAACTTTGGAACAAATTTAATTTATTTGAACAAGTAATGTGATCTGTTTGTAGGAATTATCAGTACTGTGTCATACACATATGTGGCTGGAGATTATACATGTCGATTGTCGAACGATTCACAACCCAAAAGCACATGCACCGGCACAAAAATTATGTACTAGAGCAAAGCACACTCCATAACCATAACCTTGACGGTTTTTTATTATTCCTCCACAGAATGATCGTTCTTGATTCGTTTCACATTTCATTCGACATCCTACGATATCGAATCGTAGGATTGCTTCACGTGAAGGAACTGTAATACATAATTACATTGTTACCTTGTTGTGGTATGCATATGCCAATCATAGATTTGTATATACTGCATGTAAGTATATGCATACTAACAAAAATAGTTGGTACATATGTATGTACCATGAACTTTTTAGCAAGCAAAAATAATCGGTTTCCGTCGGATCGGTTCGGTCAAGCGAAGGTCGGACAATTTATGAATTAGAAACTGAATGGGATGAATTGCAGATAAATTCTGAAATAATTTGAACAGTCATGCAAACCATTCATGCTACATGAGTTGAGCAGCTACATAAGTTTTAGTGGTGTTACTATTCTGCTAGCGCAAAGTTTTTACACTTTTTGGCTTTATTTGCACCAATTTTTTTTTACAAAACAGATGCAAAATTGTTCACACCAGGGATCGAACCTGGGACCGCCTGTGTGTTAGACAGGAGTGATAACCGCTACACCATGTGAACTGATTGAAAGTTATCGTTAAGAAGAACATTTTTAAGATAACAGATAAGCGCTTGCCAATTAGGTTGGCGATGAGATGTTTTATGGCTGTAGATAGAAATGAATGGGATCAGTATGCAGGCATGCGATCTTAATCCTTTCTATTGCACACATGCCGCTTGGATTGGATTTTAACATGTGCAAGTAATGAAACAATTCAAATTGTGCTTGTCCATAGCAAACTGATGACAAAACTTTTAAGTTGCGACCAGAATATCATTCAGGTCAAACAACTTTGTTTATTTATTTGTAGGAAATTATGCATGCAAAGAGATCAGGAGGAGCAACATGTAGCTGCATTTATTACCAGTTTATGACATCCCATGGTGAGGGGTGTGTTAGCCGTAAAGTAAAATACGTGTTGTTTCATGAGGTTCATTATCCATTTGTTCACATGGTGTAGCGGTTATCACTCCTGTCTAACACACAGGCGGTCCCAGGTTCGATCCCTGGTGTGAACAATTTTGCATCTTTTCTTAAAAAAGTTGACGACTTTTATTTTTTTGTATACAGTAATTTTTTTATATGACTGTTAATGTCCCATGTCGGACATAATTGGTCTGGAAGAAACCTGGCAAATGTCAATAAAGGTTCTTTTTTTACCAAGATACAATACAATCCATTATTTGGCAAGTAATAATAATTTGGTAACGCTAAATAAGTCATTTGCACTAATTAAGTAAGAATTGAGAAATATTTCAATTTGTGACTTTGATTAAATTGGAGTGCATTAGAGAAACGTGCTCGAGAAGCAAGCGTCTAATGCATGGCTAAATCCTTAAATCATCACATATTAATAACGGTGTAGTTTCATTCAATAGTTGATGACATGACTTGTGCTAATTGCTTATTTGTAAATCTTGCATCAAGTCGTAAACGGTGCGATATGCTTGTAGATATTTATGAAGGATATAATTATCTAAAATGTGTAACACCTGGTTAATGATAAAATCCTGTACTTAATCGAAAATAAAAATTGTAAAATAATTAATTACTTATTTTCACGATGTGTAACAAAAAGGCAGGGGGACAAGCTCGTGAAAATAATATGCGGCCATGTTTACATAAGATGCCGCATCATTTATGACCATTATTGCTCTTTGGAAAAAGTGGTGGCCCTTAAAAGGGCCGTTGGGTTGTAGTTGTTGTTTTGTGACGACAGTTTAGGCACGTTCTCCACGGATTCGACGAGCGAGTTGGATGTCCTTGGGCATGATGGTGACCCGCTTGGCGTGGATGGCGCACAAGTTGGTGTCCTCAAAGAGACCAACCAAGTAGGCCTCGGACGCCTCCTGCAAAGCCATGACGGCGGAGGATTGGAATCGGAGATCCGTCTTGAAATCCTGAGCGATTTCTCGCACAAGTCGTTGGAAGGGGAGCTTACGGATGAGAAGCTCAGTGCTCTTCTGGTAACGACGGATTTCTCGTAGGGCGACGGTTCCGGGCCTGTAACGATGGGGTTTCTTGACACCTCCGGTCGCAGGGGCACTCTTCCTGGCAGCCTTGGTGGCGAGCTGCTTGCGGGGGGCTTTCCCTCCAGTGGATTTACGAGCAGTTTGCTTGGTTCGAGCCATTGTTTTTGTTTGTGGATTGGAGTTGTTCTCAAGAGAAAGATGAGACAGCGAGTGATGAAGTTTTCCGTTTGAGCTGCTGGTTTTATAGAGAAGGGCTGAGTTCTGAGCGAGAAAGAGGATTGGCTGAAAGTAAGCAGTGAAAGCCCGCTCGCTCCTCAGAACTCAAGAGGTCTGCTCCGCAACTCAGCCAGTTGGTATAAATTCAAGCTCGATTCCAACAAAGTTCATCACAAGCTTCTCACATCTCGCTCTGAGAACAACTCTCCAAGTTCAAATACAACCAACTACTAATCAACATGTCTGGCCGTGGCAAGGGAGGAAAGGTGAAGGGAAAGGCAAAGTCCCGATCCAGCCGTGCAGGACTCCAGTTCCCAGTGGGTCGTATCCATCGTCTTTTGAGGAAGGGGAATTACGCCGAGCGAGTGGGTGCGGGTGCCCCGGTCTACTTGGCTGCCGTCATGGAGTACTTGGCCGCTGAAGTCCTCGAGTTGGCTGGAAACGCTGCCCGAGACAACAAAAAGACCAGGATCATCCCCCGTCACCTCCAACTCGCCATCCGAAACGACGAGGAGTTGAACAAGCTGCTCTCCGGGGTCACCATCGCCCAGGGAGGTGTCCTTCCCAACATCCAAGCCGTCCTTCTCCCCAAGAAGACGGAAAAGAAGTCCGCCTAATCAGCTTTCACAAATCTACACGCTCAAAACCCAACGGCCCTTTTAAGGGCCACCACATTTTCCAAAGAGCTCGAAAAATCCAGTACCGACATAATTATGACTTTATGACCATGCACTTTTTTCGTTCATATGCTTCATCAATTATTTTCATGCGGTTATTAGTTGAGAAATTAATAACAAAATAGTGCGGTTAGTTAATGGTGTAAAACAAGATGAAACGGGTCATTCATTATTTTTCCTTCATTTTCAGAGCATTTACTGTTTATACAATCGAAATCACTGATTTCAAATCAGGAATCTCATCCTCTTCAAATGCATACGATGAATAATAATGCTCCTTCATAGCTTAGTTATGATATGATTGACTTCGATTCCGGCTCGTGCATAATAACCTAATCCGAATAATACTCGTTGTTTTACGCAGGATTTTCAGCATTTTAGAAATACATACATGTAGATTTTATAAATATATATCGCAATCTCTCATCAAAATTTCATATAATTACATATTTGTATGTACTGACTGATTGCAGATTGTGACTAGCACGACAAAATTGAATAGTGTAATAAATTTTTATAAGAAATAAACTAAAATTATGTTCAGCTTATTTTGACAAAGCCGAGTCGAAATTCAATTTCAATTTTATGAGTTGAATAAATAGTGTTTACATAATCATGATAATCCAACTACTCGACTGCATTTGATTTTGATCCTAGTTTTTAGCAACATTACACAATCTCAATTTTATGTCAGTAATATGTATGACTGCAGCGTATCAATAAATTGTGCAATATGATCAATGAATAACTGAGAATGAAAATAAATGCAAGTAACTTTTTTTTTAGCTCTTTGGAAAAAGTGGTGGCCCTTAAAAGGGCCGTTGGGGTTTTTTTATGGGAGCCGGAGCCGGTCAGGTCATCGTCTACTTGGAAGAGGTGTATTTGGTGACAGCCTTGGTGCCCTCAGAGACGGCGTGTTTGGCGAGTTCTCCTGGGAGGAGGAGTCGGACGGCCGTCTGGATTTCCCGAGAGGTGATGGTTGACCTCTTGTTGTAGTGGGCCAGGCGAGAGGACTCGGAGGCGATTCGCTCGAAGATGTCGTTGACGAACGAGTTCATGATGGACATGGCCTTGGAGGAGACGCCAGTGTCAGGGTGGACCTGCTTGAGAACCTTGTAGATGTACACGGCGTAGGACTCCTTCCTCTTGCGGTGTCGCTTCTTCCCGTCCCCCTTTGGCAAGTTCTTGGACTTGGACACGGCCTTCTTCCCCGCAGCTTTCCCTCCAGTTTTTGGTGGCATCTTGCAAAGTTGTAGTTTGAGATCTGCTTTTGGTGAATTCAGAAAATTGAATGATGATGGGACGGAGACACGACGAAGCTTTTATATGCGGAGGCTGAGTTGTGAGCTGAGTCGTGGAGAACTCAACGGAGTTGCGGGAATGGAGGGAAAATCTTGGGTTCAGTTGCCGAGAGAATTCCTGAGTTCTCACTTGCGAGGGAACTCGAGTGGAGGGAAGAGAGAGGAGGAAAAAGTCTACCCGGTTCACCAACGTCCGCTCTCGCTCTCAAGGTGTATATAACCAATCTCATTTCACTCATTCTGCATCACTCGACTTATTTTAGCTTTTACAAGTCTAAACTACTTCTCATCAAATCATTTCAAAATGACTGGTCGTGGCAAGGGAGGAAAGGGACTCGGCAAAGGAGGCGCCAAGAGACATCGTAAAGTCTTACGTGATAACATCCAGGGAATCACCAAGCCTGCTATCCGTCGTCTTGCTCGTCGTGGGGGTGTCAAACGTATCTCTGGTCTTATCTATGAAGAGACCCGTGGAGTCCTCAAGGTCTTCCTTGAAAATGTCATCCGAGACGCCGTCACCTACACCGAGCACGCCAAGAGGAAGACGGTCACCGCCATGGACGTCGTCTATGCCCTCAAGCGACAAGGCCGCACCCTCTACGGATTCGGCGGTTAAACTGATCTCGTCCCTTCATCAAGCCCACCTTATCAACATCTTATAACCCAACGGCCCTTTTAAGGGCCACCACATTTTCCTAAGAGCTATAAATTAATCAATCTACGTAATACATTAAATGCATACATACATACATGATGATGTTTTTTTACTTATTATTGCACTGGTCAAGTTTATGATAAGAGATATATCTATATCTATGCGATTTATATTGGATTCGGTGCATGGCTTTGTGTCGGTTGATGATTATATGGAGGAAAT